GCACAAATCACTTGTGCGTGTGACCGATAGATTATTAGTGCCAGTGACAAGTACTACGTAGCGTGTAAACCAGGCATAATAATAATACCGGATAACGGTGACGTCCGCATTGTAGCTAAAGTGTCATCGTATTATTATAATTACGTTTAAAAAAAAAGTTTTAATATTCAATTTATTATTATGGACAACGTTATCGTTTCGTCTTCCAATTTCAAATTAGTATTTTATTATATATTAAAATGTATAACCGTAATTCATCTTATGTCAATTGTCAATATGCAATGTAAGTTTAACGTACCTACTCATTCATTATTCTTATTATGTTAGTTTGGTTAAATTTTAATTCGCAAATCGTATATTCGTAAATTATATAATATTCGTTTATTAAAATATCAAAAAATTTAATCCAACTAAAAAAAAAAAATGGAACAGAAAAAATGAGACCCAAAACAAAAAAGTTGAATTTTTTTCACCTACTTGGTATTGGTTGCACATCCAACAACAAATAATTTTTTTCTAGGTAAGTGTACAAATCCATTCTAATACTATATTAAGTTGAATCAAAAGTAAACCAACATGTTAACCAAAAGTAGAATTTTTAAATTTATAACTATAATATATCTAAATACCTACTGGCTAATTATCCACTTAGCTATTTAAGCTTATATTTATAATTATAGCCTATATAGGAGCCCCATGGAGATATACTCAATGTAATATCTCCAGAGATAATAAAAATAATTGTTTATTATTTTTAAAAAGTTTGAAAATATTCTTTTTATAGAGTTTATTCTTCTGAAAATTTTAACGTATCAACTTTTTGTTTTTATTTAATTTGTGATTTTTAATAATTTTTTAAAGTTCAGAAAAAAGTAGTGTACAGTCATTTAATCGTAGATTAATTGTAATAACAATAATCAATTAGAGATGTGATTACAGCTTTCGGTATAATTATGTACAATTTTCTCTGAACATTTTTAGAAAAGTAAACTATACATATATATATAGGACAGTTAATAGATCATTTTTGTAAGATTTAAAAAAAATTAATAGTTTAATATTATTTACAAGTTTAAATTTCTTAATAACTTTGTTATTTAATATTAGTTAATTTTATTGGTAGGTAGTAGTTACATATATTTTTTCAGAAATATATTCTATATTTCCGACAGTTATTAATTATAAGTTTTAAAATTATTAAAACCCCGTTACCTATACAATTATATTTAAGAACATTTTTTTTTTTTTATTCAATCATAAATTATTTTATATTAAGAGTGATAATAATAATATACATACCTACAACTAGTTTTCTGTATAATATATAATTATAATGTATCTTGTATTAAATATTCAAATATTTCTTTTAAATCATATAATTTTAATAAAAAGAAATACCTACAAAATAAAAGTACATATGAAAACATGAAAATATCAAATACCTACAAATAACCTAAAAGTAGTTTAAATGTTTCAAAAATATTACTACACCTAAAGAAGTCCAATATAAGTATTTTATGAAAATTTTAATTTTCTACAATAAATTTGAACTGAAAACAACAAAAACCAAAATTACTAACAATATGTAAATTTATTAATTGTTTATTTTATGTAAAAATTACAAGAGTAAATTGAAAATTAATTCATCCATAATAACCTTGGAAAGCATTTGAAATAATTTTGGAAAATTCATATTGAATAACCCCTCTGGTGTGGACAGGAAAACACTTTAAAGGTCGGTGATATATCTCCCATACTCTGTACTCTATACTTATTGTTTTCATTTTTTTCATCTTTACTCTCACTGATTGGTTCTCTTTTGATCTGTATATATGGATCAAACAAAGGTGCGTCCACATTTTATACATTCTGTAAATAAACATATTATTCTTTTAACTCTGTAAATATTACATTATCTTTATACCATTTTAAAGGTGGATAACAATGGTCTTTATTTATTTTTGTATTTCAGGAAAAATGTGTAATACAATTGTAGAGCATTAATAGAATATGAATTGGTGGTTTGATATCCTTAGGAAAAAGCATTGTTGAAAAAATGGCACAAATCTGTATGAATGTTCTTAAAATGATTATATGGACGAAGATTTAGATGTAATAGCCAAAGAGTTCAATCTCACTAAATTAACCATAAGAAGGATATCTATACATATTCTATAGATTTATAAACTGTTTCATAAATTTATCAATTGTACAAAATACTAAAATTGTTAACTTTTATTGTCCACCATTCCCAAGAAACCAATGTTCCATCTTCCATTCTATGTTTCATCTATGGCATTTAGGCACAAATTAAAATCTACATACATTTTTTCTTTATTCCCGTGATAAAAATGTCTAATTTATCATTACAATTTTTTTTATCACATAAGTGATAATACCTCTCTTGTTATGTTATATGCTTCTTTACTGGTAGGTTCGATTTTAATTTTTTTGTATCAAGTGGTCAGGATTGGTTCTCATTAAAAGGGCTTTCTTCAATTTGTACAGTCTGAAATATTGTAAATATTCTGTAAATATACTTGTTATTTTCATTTTTACCTTTTAAACAATGTTTTTTTATACAGCCTTTATATTTTGATAACAAAATTCCTTAATTAAAAAAAAATAATAAATTACTTATTTTTTTTTTCTAAGACCACTAAGTAAAACTTAAATTTTCAAATATTTTTGTTTAGTCTAACATTTTTATCCTCAGAGTACTTACCAAAAAAAAAAATACCTACGAAAACATAACTAAATATATAACTACTATAAATGATTCAAAAATATTTTTAAAATTAAAAACAGTCAAACCTTAATTCTACGATTTCGCATAGATTTATTACGCACCGATTAACTATTGCTAGATTACAATAATTTAAAAAGTTATTGTTTTAATTTTTTAACTGTACAAATTCCATTCATTTGTTTTTCTTACTCATCAGTGTATGATTAACTTTAATAAATGACAGAAAAAACAATTGATTGTTTTTTTTTTTTTTTTCAAGTACCTAGTAACTATTGTATTTATCCCATACCCCATAAAACAAAAAAATGGTGATTTATTTTCTGTGTTTCGTCCTTGGAAGATTTGTTTTAGTGTAGATTTTTATACCGATTAATGAACAAATCCCCCCCCCCCCATAACATAATTATTTTGTGATTTTCCACAAAATTAATAATCCATTAAATAATTTATATAATGATTGGAACTTGTGTCGTTATTTTAGGTATCTACAATTAGTATAATTATAAATTTGATAACATTATTGTTCCAATTTATAATGATAGCAATTTTTCTAAGAGGAAATTCGACTGAGGATGTACTTTAGAGACATCATTTTTCGATTTTCTCAATGAAATCTACATCTACAATTTTCTGAATGTATTGATTTTACTTAGATGTTTATTTTTTTTTATCCTGTGTACAAAAATTTGACCATAAATTTTGCTCAGATATATACCTGTGACACTATTACTGAAAGGGCATGTTGTCCAGATGATACTTTTGGGAAGTTTTTTTTTTTTTATTTTCCAAGCAGTTTTTATAATATCAAGTATTAAGTTTACTAATCTGTGTGTCCAAATTAAATAAATATATTATCAAATAACTATCAATTTATCTTAATTTTATTTATAATATGTTTATATTTGATATAATTAGTAATAATAATATGACAAATAGAATTATATACTTGAGATTAATAACTAATTATTAATTGCTTCATGTTCTTAGTTTTTTATGCCCAGGAAATAGTATATATTAACAAAGATATAATCTGGGACAGAGGTTGAGAAGGCTCAACTTAGTTGTTGCATTATTGAAAATTATTATTATATTCCAATATCTTGGATTAAACTCAATAATTCCAAAATGGCAGAACCATTACTCTCATACTCTCAGTTAGTGGTACTTTGATTTTCCCATCATCATGGTTCTCAGTACAGGCGAATAATGGATGTTATAATTTAACGGTATTTGAAAACTAGCATTATTTGGCCATCAATTTTTTAATAATTGTGTAATATTTAAAAATAATTTTAGATTAGTGATATTCAAAAAATTGATGCTGTCATATCAGTGTGCCATGAATATTAAAATTTACATACAAAATTATTTGCCCAAGTTATGTTAAAAGTGAAGAGAAGTTCGGTCATACTGAGCAACTCACTGACATCTTCTTTTGTTACTGTAGGTCAAGAAATTATATATATTAAAATATTTAATATTATTGTTATTTATTCAGTTTAAATACATATTACAGGTGAAGCCATAAGCCTCAAATACTATGCAGAGGAGTACCCTAACCCGAAGATTTTTTGGAAAAGAGTGAACGCTAAAATATTACCAGCTCCACATGTTGGATCAGCATATAGGTACATACATACCTATAAATAAAAATATATTTTATTGTTTTAAACAATTATAAAATAATGTATCCATTCTAAAAGATAAATTTAATTTTACAGAAGAAACATTCTATAAATTAAACAGGAAAGATAGAGTAAGATATAGTTGTATAGATGATAATGGAGTTGGCCATGGTATCCGATATAGTGTTACTATGCAAGTAAAATGTGCACCATCCATAACAATCCATTATATCTCTAAGTTCCAACTAGATCAAAATTGTTTTTTAAAAATGTGGTACACTTGAAAATTGGAACCTGATTTTTGGTAGAAATTTTGTACACTTCTTCTTCTGGCTATCTACTCTACAAGAGTTTTTGCCACCATCACAACTTCACGCCACTTCTCTCGATCATAGATTATGTTTCTCCGATCATCTATTCCTATTCTTTTTAGATCTTCCTCGACCACATCCATCCATCTTTTCCTCGAGTGTCCTCATGGTCTCTTACCCGTTGGTTTCCAAGACATTACTGATTTGATTATCTTATCATCACTTCCACGCATAATGTGCCCAAACCACTGGATTCTCTGGCCTCTTATGTAATACTTAATTGGAGTCATTTCTGTTTCTTCAATCAGTTCCTTGTTAAACTTTCTCCTCCACATACCAGTGTTCGCACTTAATTTGGGTTAATTTGTGTCCACATATCGCACGCCATAGCTTGTTTTCGAAGGTAGTAAGTCTTCGTTCTGTTACGCTTATAGTCTTATATGTCCATGCTTCGCATCCATATGTTAGTATAACTCTCACTATCACTGTATAGAGTCTAATTTTTGTTTTCTTTGACAGCATTTTAGATTTGAAAAATTTGGATAATGCAAAGGACGCCTTCTCTACTTTCATTATCCTTAACCCAATCTCTTGTGACCAGTCATTCTTTGTATTTACACATACGCCAAGGTATTTAAACTCGTTAACTTTTTCATATATCCAGTCATCTGGGTCAGGGTCCATTACGTCTGCATCTGTGTCTAAAAGCTCCATGATCTTCATCTTTTCGATGTTTATTTTTAGTCCTATTTCATCTGCTGATTTTTCTAAAACTTTTGTTGCTTTTTCTAAGTCATCTCTGGTATTGCCTATGATGTTTAGATCATCAGCAAAACCTAGGATTTGAATTTTTTTTTTTCAGAACTTTCCAGTTCTTTAGGCTATTAATAGCAATCTTGACTTCCTCCAATGTTATATCACTAATCATTGGTTCCGCTGTCTGATATTGTGTGTTTCCTATCCGGTTCACTGGTATTTCCGCATTTAGAAGATCTATGAAGTACTCCCTCCATCTTTTAGCTTTATCATTTGGTTCCATAAGAGTATCTCCATTACTGCCCTTTATTGCCTTTAGGGTTGGGTTGAAGTCCTTATACTGTCCAATAGTCTTGAAGAAGTTTCTAATTTTTCCTTGCGGCGATCCTTCTCAGCTTTTTCCAAAATCCCATTAATGAACTTCCTTTTTTTTCTCTGTTATATTCTACTACAATTTTTCCTTTCATTGAGAAAAGTAGTCTTCGCACCCTGATTCTCAGATCTTATAAAATCTGATCTTGCTATACATCTTTTTTCTACAGCTTCCCTACATACCTCATTATACAATTTCTTTTTCTTACTCGTATTCCCATTTTGTACTCCACCGATGCTTCGCTCCGCTTTTTCTTTTATGACTAGGTTAATCTTGTTCCAATCTGTTTCTATATTCCCAGTTCTCCTATCTTTCAGATGTGTATCAATACTATCTACATACTTTTTTCTAATATTTTCGTTCTTCAATAGGTCTACGTTAAATTTTACACTTTCATTTTACTTTTCATTTTACATTTTCCTCTCTTTTAGGCTTTTCATGCCTTGTAATTTGAGCTTGAATTTCGATATCAACAGGAAGTGATCTGTATCCGCACCTCTGTAGCTTCTTATGTTCTTTATGCTGGATTGAAATCTATTCTCAATTAATATATGAACAATCTGGTTTAGCATATTTCCATCTGGAGACTTCCATGTAGCTCTATGTATATTTTTGTGGGGGAATGTTGTACTTCTCACTACTATATTATTTGACACTGTGAATGAGATGAGTTGTAATCTGTTTCTATTATTAATGGCATGTAAGCTTTCTTTTCCTATTGTCGGGGCATATTGTGGTTCTCTCCCACATTTAGCATTTAAGTCTCCCAACATAATTTTGACGGTATTCCCACATAAACTATCCCATGTTTCATCCAATTTATTATAAAACCCATCTTTCACTTCATCTTCACTAGTTTCCATCCAGGCATGCACGCACACTAATATAATGTTAATTGGTGTCGTGTTTAGTTTTAGACATGACATTCTCTCTGATATTGGGATAAACTCCTTGACATATGTTTCTAACTTTTCATGTACTGCGAAGCCACTACCAAAATAATGTCCATCTGCTAATCCTGAAAAGTATACTATGTAATGTCCGACTTTCATTTGTCCTATTCCAGTCCATCTAATCTTTTGTAGAGCAGCTATATCAATACTGTATGCATCTAGTGTCTACCAAATTCTGGAATGCGCCAGTTCTAAAAAGGCTTGTAGTGTTTCATGTTGCAATCTTTAACTCCGCTGACCGTTTCCCATGTCCAGTATTTAATCCATTTATCCCTGTCTGAGGCTTGGTTTGTGGTGGTATCGTAACAGTATTTTTTTTTCCTGAGGAAGGGTTGTTAGCCCTTCGCTCAACCCTCAACCTGGAGGACCAGACTACTCCAACCAATTCAGATCAAGATAGGGCTATTGCGGTGTATTTATTCAAATGCACCGGGCAATGGGGACGCCACCTTCCCTACGCCAAAAGAAATTTTGTACACAGTATATATATAAAAAAAAAATAAACATCATTATAAAATCAACACATTTTTAATTTTCATTTTTATAAAAAAAAACTCAATGAAAATTGTAGAAAATTATAATAAACTTATCATAAACTTGCTCTAGTTCTATCATTTTCTTCACTATCAAGAGATATGAGAAACTGAAAACAATGGTCCAAAGTTTACACTCTGTAATCTGTATGGTCTTTTAGTGTTATCAAATGAACTCCACATATTTACTTTAAAAGATAACAATTTTGGACCCTATAATTTATTTATAATACTCCAGACAACACATTCATTCATTTATTTTGTATTTCTATTTATAAACTTGTACATCTTTCAAGGTCATTGCATACACTTAAGCCCTGTTCTGTTCCTAATAGAATGGGACAACAAGCTGTTTTATTATTTTTAGAAGATAACAATGTTACACTAAACAAATATAAGAACATGATCCTTAAAAGTTGTGAATGCCATTAAAATATTTATTTTTGCTATGTATACTATTATCAAAGATATTATATAATGGATAGGTCATATTGGTAATTGGAGTTCTTTTATTTTCTGTTTTACTCTCTAAAAATTTAATTATTTTCTCATGTAGATTACTCATGCAAATATTGCTGAGTAGGATAAAATATATCTCTCCTTTGTTCATAAACAATTAACTGATATATACAATGTATACATTTCCTATTCATTATAATATTTTCCATGGTTATTAGTGATGTTTTAAACTACCATTTTAAATGTGTTCATCGGAAAAAAACATTGCAACAAATAATCGTAACATAGGAACAAATAATAAGCAATATAAAAATTAAATTGGATAAAATATCAGGGTAGTATCTAACCTTGATTTATAACATACAATTGGAGGCATTAGTCTAAAACTGTATCTTCTAAGTCATATTATTTCTATTTATTTTGTTTGCTTTTTCACAGCAAGGTTTTTAATTTTATTTATTTTCGATATTTTTAGTGTTAGTTCTATCTTTTAAGTGTATTTTTAAGTATTACGTAATTGTTTTTTTTGTTTTAATTTTTGTATATTTATTTGGAGGTAAAAACTTAAAAATATGTGTTTTCTTAATAAATCGTTGCATAAATAATACAAAACATACAATGCGTTTTAATATTAATGAATAATAAGTATTGTAAAACAATGCAAATATTAAAATGTTTGAGATCCAAACCTCTTCTGCATCTTGAGAATGAAAACGTATTTAAAAAACGCGAGAGTATTTTTCTAGCATATTTAACTAGTAGTACAGATATAATATAATGTATTGTATTTTTGATTATTTACAATCACCCCTATTAATTTTTAGTACATTTATAGGAGTTAAGTGAAATACAGAGTGATCTATCTAAAATACCATGTTCCTGAAGCAGTCGTACTGCTTCCTTTTCGCTATAGGGTAGAGACCACATATCCATATTAAAATTAATTATAATGTTAAAAACTGCAAACCCTGACAAATCTGTAACAAGTTTAGATACATAAATATTCTGTTCAAAAACCAAGTTATTTGATTAGGTCTAGTGTTGTTATTATGTATACCTATATACTTTTCTATAATATTAGCATAACAATTTAAATTCTGAATACTTAAGATATATGTTATTTAGAATTTTTTTAATTATATAAATCAAACAAAAATAGTAAAAAACACAAAGACAATTTTTTTTTTTTTAATATCCCTCTTTTATTCTAATTGCTTTATTATAAAAAAATAATAATAACAATGTTATAATAGCTGAGCACAAAAAAAAAACTAATACTTTATGAATATTTTAAAATGATTAAAATATCCAATTTTTTTTTCACAAACTGAACTTAACAAAATTTATTTATTCCGTAAGAGATTAATTTAAAAATAAAGAACTGGTTACAAACTATCATATCAACAAAAAAAAAAAAAAAGGGTTGGGTTTAAAATGATAAAAATACTCACCAATTTTCAAAAATTAAAATTTTTTAATAGGAACTTAATTTAAAAAATATAAAATAAAACTTGATATCAAATTTCTGGAATACCATAAACACTATCACCATTGTGATGTGCACAACATTTAGTAGAATATTTTTTCAATATTTGATGAATAAGATTACAGTGAAACTCAATTAATGAAATTGAATTTCTGGTTATGGTTTTATAAGAAGAAAATGCGTTTAATAAACACAGGTCAATAAGATGAAAAAAAAGTTTTTTATACCACTTTAAGTTTTTCATTAGGACTTCTAATGGGCAGAGTAAAGCTTCAGAGTTGTCAATAAACTTCATGTATTCAATATATTTATTCAAAGATAATGGTTTTGTTATATCATATCCATGAAGATGGGGTTTTCCAACAATATCTTGTCTATCTTCAAATTGTGTTGTCAACATATAATTGTAACCAGGATATTTTGTTTTAATAACAAGCATGGTGTCTGTATGATTACTGTCAGTCTGACCAGCTTTCAGATTCCATTTCAATTTAGGTATATCATAACGGTTTTCTTTAACAGATCCAGTCATGTTAGTATATTTTTTTAGTAGAAACTTAGCCAATAATGGTGTCACATACAAACTGTTAATAAAGAGTTTGTACCCTTTGTAAAGGAAAGGTTCCATTAATGTGTTTACCACATTCCCAGAAATTCCAAGGTTTGAATCAACTTCATGAAATTCTGTTTCGATTCCAGTATATACAAGTAAATTAACAATGAAATCTGTTTGTATATCAACAAGTGCAAACACTTTTAATCCTGAGTATTGAGGATGATTGTTATGAAACTGTCTGACATCCATAGGTTCTTCCCACAAAACAAAGCTTGCATCAATTGCCAAGTTTTCATTTGGGATAGTTGCGTTTTTAAAGTTATTAGTTATGTCTTCTAATGGCATGCGAATCTTTAATAAACAATCTTTGGGTTTTCGATCCTCATTTATGCTGAAGTGCAGCATTTTCAATATTAACGAGTACCTCTCATAACTCATGTGAAAATTTAACGAGGGTCGACTAAAAAATGAATATTTGTCCCAAAAATCCTTTACATTATAACTGTTAAGCATGCCCATAGTCAGGGCCAAAAAAACATACATCTCACTAACATCAGTATCTGTCCAATTATAATTTCTGAAAAGTAAAAATATTTAAATAGGCACATCAATTGGTTTTATAGGTATTATTAATATATATATATATACTTAGAGGCAGTTGGTTGTTGAACAGTAAATTGATCCCAATAAAGATTCGTTGCATGAGCAATTTTTCGTAATAAATCAGGTGTTACAAATGCTTCAAAGAAGTCCAAGATAGTTGATTTCTCAGAGAGTTTGAATTCTGCTTTACGAAAACCACTCTAACAAAAAACAATAATAAACATATTATAAGTACCTAATTTAATATATGATATTATATAATATATAATCACAGCATTGTCTTAATTGTTCTAAGATTGGTTAACTAATGTATAGTGGCAGAAACTACTGTAGTGGAAACACATTCACCAGTTGACTGATTTTTGTCAGCCCTAATTTAGAACAAAGTATAAGTATACTTGACAACAATATGAAGACTTTATATAGATATAACAAAATCCAAATTTACATAATCCTTATCAAGTATCATTAAAGATAGCATTTTGATAAATATTGAATTTCCCCCTCCCCTTGATCTTATAAAATGCTATTTTAGATAAAGCCTAAAAATTAATTTTATGCTCCCTTGATTCAGAATGTGCTAATTGTATTTTGCATATTTTAGCATTTTTAGCTATAAATGCATATTGTTTTTTTTACATAATTTTATTGTATTATACATTTTATTATAGTACATTTTCTGTAGTTTTTGTACAATGTGGGACATTTTTCTCAAATTTTATATTCAAAAAAATAATTTTATTAATATTGGGAGGTTTTTGTTGCTTTTCAATTTATAGCGTATGGATACAGATTACCATTCTCATATTATAATACAGTTAACCATATCAACATTTATTAACCGACACATTTTTATTTTACCTATAGTGTATCAGAAGGTAGGTATGCAAAATAACAACGTTTTGGTTTTTATTCATTAATTATTTTCTTTAATGTAAATTGAACTTAAAATTTAGATAAATACTATCATCTATTAATTTTACAATTCATATTTTAAATTACTCCAACGCCCATATTATATGTATTAATAATTATTATTTATAAATTAAATGGTTTTCAATTATTTAAGTAAATTTGTTTGGAAATTTTTTAAGTGCATATTTTTTTTTTGAGCATTTTTGTGTGTGTTCTTTAGGTCAACACCAAATATCTAGTTATCATTATTCATTTGATTAAGTCATTCCATTTATTAAAACTATTTTTAATTTTTAAATTCTTAATTAGTTGAATGTTAAATATTTAAATATTAATCTTGATTGATTGGTATTTATTTAATAGATAGAAGTGTATGGTAAATACAAATAGATCCAGTGGATCTATATATGTACTAAATATGTAGTGTACAATTATAGTGATAGTAAATTTATCTATTGTAGTCAGTATTAACCACTCATCATTATTTATTTTGTTTGTATGACTAATAAATAAATGTATACAATTCATAATAATATTGTTACATGAATGATTACAAAGGTGATCTACTCACTATAACCTATGGCTGTAGTATGAGTAGGGTTCAGGATAACAAAAAATAAACTAAAATAATTATTCATGAGTAAACAATAAATCTATTTTTACTCTAATGATGCCCATATCTATATGGAAACCAAGTATTGGCTATTTTAGTAAATAACTGAAAACTTATTTCATCGTTCTTCTGATGTTCAGACTGTTTAGATGCTAGTCATATTACTACTTATTTTATTAACTTTCATAAATAAATACAATTAAGTAATGGATAATTTTAGTCAAACTATTTTTGAACTCATTAAATATACACAATTGTTTTTATTTTAAATAATCATTAACCTTTCAGCAAATGCACCTCTAGATTTTACATGAACAAGCGGATGTTTTTCAAATATATTTAATTATAATAAATGATAAATAAAGGAATTTTTATACAAATACTGTTTGGGAATATTTTACTCTTATTCACATATGTTTGTATACATACTTTTTTATAATATTTAATTGTAGCTAATATAAGATATAATTATAAATAAAACAAACATTTTTTTTCTATTATTAATTAATCTATCCTGATTAACTGTATTTATATTTCTGATAAATTATTTGTATAAAATATAGACAAAATAATTCTTTGTATATGAAAAAATGAGCATTCCATGCAAAAAAATAATTGAAAACTGCTAGTCTAAGGTCTCGGATTTAGATAGTTGGTGGAGTAGACTTATGTTATATGGTTGAGAGAACCATGAGTCTCTCAGGAATCATAAGACTGTTGTGATGTGCATAAACATTGTGAAGATTCAGAACTAAGGTAGCCAAGCCCAAACAGTTTAGGAACAGATATAAAGGAAAAGAGTGATTTGTGTAATACAATGATTACTCAGAATACCTAGTAATTTTTAAATATTACTATACCTTAGATGAGTCAAAATGGTAGGCTTGAGGTGTAAACGTTCCATATTTTTCCCATTTTGGTTTGTTTGTTAGTTTTGTCTCAGTAGATTCAACACAAGACTGGGCAACCGGTAAAACATCTATTGTGAAAAATAACAATCATAAAATACCTACCTTTAATAAAAATCACAATGTATAAAATTATTAAATTTAAAAAAGTACCAACCCGAGCCAAAATATTCTCGATCAAATTCAACAATTTCGTTAACAATTTCATCCTCTGAATCGGAATTCAGGTAAACATTATCTAATTTTTGTTTACTATCGCAGTCGTCAAAGGGGAGTGCGTACACATTTATAGAAAACTTTAAACCAAATTTACTCATGGCTATACCGGTTTATACGTGGATAGTTTATACGTACCTACAAATTTATTACCAAATAATATACACGGAATACTAAACTTATATTACATAACTTCTCAAATTATAAAATAGATACTTACCGAGTTGAAAATCTGCAGAGAAACATATCCTTCGAGATAAATATAATAAGGAAAATCGAAGTATTACTAATGGTACCACCAATTGGTTTAAAAACCAATGGTTCCCAATTTAACTTGACCTAACATGCGGTTCGCCGTTGAACATTAAATCATGGCTACATATTAATGTAGAAAATAGAATACAGACGGGCTTGTATCGTATAACAACTATAAAAAAAGTCGTTTTCACAACACTAGGCACTCGATCGAAGCGCGACCCGTGGACTAAGTTTGTAATTCCATTGTTTCCCAAATGCGTAAATATTAAATAATAATGTAAAAATAATTATATAAAGATAGAAGTAATACCTAGAAATAAAAATTATAGTTCCTTTAGAAACCAATTAACAATAGTTATTTTATGATCAGATTTAAGATTACATTTTAAATGTTTTTTTTTATATTTAATAGCATCAAATTAAAAATAGTCAATGAATATTTTTCCAATATTTTTAGTATAATAAATTGAGATATTATAGGTATGTTCTATTACGTTTATAATAAATATTATTACTTATCGAAAAGTTTTTCATTATAAACAAAATTGCAAATTTTTGTAGAGTAAATCAACAGATAAAACACCAAAATTGTCATATGATGACATTTAATATTATATAATTATATTTCAACTATTTATAAATATTAATTATTACATTTTGATTGTATTGTTTTTATCAATAGGTATATATATATTTCTTTTAATTATTACAAATATTGAATAAATAGGTTCTTTGATCAACTTTCTTATTATTCTGGTTATTGTATCATAGAGAGAACTGTTTCAATTTTAAATGTTAAGCTGTTTACCGTAAGCGATTCCTAAATAAACCCAGATTTATACTTTACACATTATATATAAAAAAATTGGTTTAAGTCTAAATTCATAGGAATTAGTTTCTATTATGATTAAATACATTTCCCTACAGTGATATATAATTTTTATATTTATGTGGCTGCACCTCACATAACCATTAGATTATATTATAACACTGTTCATAGGTTTTCAGCTTAATTTTAGTTAGGACAATAGTATATTTTGACAAAAAAATGATTTCAACCGATATCTCATAAAATTTTCTATAAGAATCAATGTATAACTTGATTTTGTTGAAAATTGAGATAACACATTTTGCATAGAAACACCGTATCATAACTGTCAATGAAAATTGTTTGCAGCTGTTCAATGAACACATTGTTTATTTGACAAAATCTCTGAAAAAAATATTTATTTTTTTTTTTTGTAAAAGCTTTATTTAAAAAATTATTATACAAAATGTACAATAAGTAATATTAATAATATACAGACAGTTGACATTTATATAAACATAAAAAGAAAATCACACATTTGTAATACTTCGTAATATTTCTAAGTTATTAATTCTTAAGTTTTCAGGTCTTAGCACCAGTTTCTTTTGAGTTTTCTGTTAGGATTTCCAGGAAGTGTTAGTGAAGTTGGTTTGGAATATCTAGTAGTTTGGCGTGAAAGCATTTATAGTAGGTAGCAGCAGTTTCATTTATGGAAGGTAATTTAAGGTCGGAATTTAGGGTCTCCTTTGAGACCAACCATGGTGCACCTGTGATTAACCGCAGACAAATGTTTTTGAGTGCTTGTATGGTTCTTTTATTTGAGTTCTTTGCAGAGCCCCAGATTACTATACTATATGTCCATATTGGTTGAAGAAGTTTTGTATAAAATGATTTTGATTGGTATGGTTAGATTGGAACGAAGAAGAGGCTTTAACAGGAGTTAAGTTTCTTACGAAGGTCTTTAAGATGAAGAGATCAGATTAAGCGCCTGTCAAAAGTAAGATCAAGATATTTAACTTCATTCGAATGAGAAATGATAATGTTGTTGTTAGATACGGCTGGGTAGTTTTGAGGTTTGAGCGAGAAGGTGACAAAGGAAAACTTTGATTCATTGATTTTAATTTCCAGTTGGTGAACCATTATGAAAGAGATTTTAGGTAATTTTGTAGTTGTTGAGACTTAATGGTATGGTTGGAAGAAGCTGATAATAAAGAGGTATCATCAGTGTATGTTCAGACTATGGTATTTTCAAAGGTAGGCAGGTTCGACTTATACATGGTATATAGGAATGGAGAGATGTCACTTTATTGAGGGACACCAGCAGATAGGATATTGATTTTGTGTTATAAATTGTGACAAACATTAAATGAGAGGTTTTCATGATAGGATTTAAGTATTAGGTATAAAGGAGCTGGACAAATATTTTTAAGTTCGAAGAGAAGATCTTTATGCCAGATGGTCTCAAAGGCTATTGCAACATCCAAAAAAACTCCGGTGCAGCAATTTGTTGGTTTTGAGTGCTGATGAGTTGATGTCTGCAACATGGTGAAGTTGATGAATTGTGGCATGGTGTGAGTGGAAGCTAAACTGGAAGTTTAGGATACTGTTTCTTGCTTATACTATAGTGGTGATACGCTTGAGAATGATTTTTTTCGAGTTTTTCCCAAAACCGGTAGTAGGCTAATGAGACTGTAAGAGGAGAGGTTTTCTGGAAGCTTACCAGGTTTGAGAATTGTGACAATAACTCAAGATTTCCAGGTAGTTGAAAAGTACGATAAAGGAAGGGCAGCCCTAGAAATATGAGTTAAATTTCTTTTGCAGAGAGATTTTTAACAACTCTGTTGGAGATAAAGTTGTGACCTGGGGATTTGTTGTTTGCCAATTTTTTTTATAATAAACGCTATCTCAATTGAGGAGGTTGGTTTTGCAGGAAGGGCCATAGATAAAGTTGAATGGAGAGACTTCATGACTGACAACATATGAAGTACTGTTATGAAAATGTGGTGAGGTTTGAATACTCCTGGTAGTTCTTCAGTGAGAGTATCAGCTTTTTCGCTGTCTGTGGTACAAGTGAGTTATCTAGAGGAAGAGTGGTGTCCTTAAACTGTAAAATTGATTTTGTTTTGCGCCAGAGAGATCCATTTTTAAAAGAGATTTTTAATGTGATTTTTGTACAGATTGGTTTTGTGAGTTTTGAAAAGAGACTTTAGTTTGTTAGAAAGATAATTGTAGTTAATCTTGTCCATCGAGTAGTGTGTTTGTTACCATTTTGAACTGGTTCTGCGTTTTTCAGCAATAAGTTGTCCTAATTCTGGAGAAAGATTGAGTGATTGAGAATAGGAAGGACTCTGGGTAGATGAGTCCTTGGCTGATTTTTGAATGTCATCAGAAAGTTTGAAAATTGCTTGATCGACATCAGTAGATGATTTAAATTTGGTATTAAGAATTATTTTGTTTGAGATAGTAACTTTGAATTTGTTCCAGTTTGTGATACCCGAAGTAATGGTAGGTCTATTTTGCTTCAAAGAGGGTTGGGCTCTGATGAGAAGCAAGACAGGTGTATGATAAGAAACTGGATCATATAAATGTATAATTTCAGTAGAAAATTGATTAGGGAGATTTGTAACAAAAAATTCAAGGTTGTCAGGGTGACGGATGCTATGGGATGGCCAATGCGTTGGAATGGGAGGCGCTATAACTTTGAGGTGATTGAGCAAGATGAAATTTTGAAGAGCTCAGACGCTGGTGTTGGTGTAGCGGCATGTAGATAACATGGGTAAAGCTTAAGGTTTGAGAGAGAATGCTCAGTTCAGTCAAAGGAAAAGGTCTTCCTGGGGGAAAAAAATATAAAAATAAATATTTAAACATTTATATTTTAGAGGTCTTCAACATTATTTTTCTTTTGTAATGATACATGATAATACGAAAATAGCATAAATTGTATTTTAAAACTCAAATATTACAATTGATGTTATCAAATTAGTTTAGAATTTCAAATATGTATTAATACAATTTTAAAATTAAATATATTTAACATTTTTTTTAACTTGGCACACACAAATAAAATATAAAATGACCAATTCATATTGTTACATGTAATTGCTAATGTGTATCATTCTGTTTAAAATCATAACCTGCACTTTTAAAAATTTAAACAGCCTCAGAAGTAGTGACAAAGATAACATCCCAGAAGAGAATGCTTATTGTTATTCCAGATTGTATAATATCAAACAAATTAAAAATTAATATACATATATATTTTAAGATTATGGTATCCTATGGTAAAATATCATTACCAGTAAAGAGAAATATCATGTTGAAGACCATTAAAGATTTCATAATCAAGGGAAGAATGTATTGTTAGATACATGAATTTTCGTAATGCACTGATGTTTGTAACCGCTTCTCTTTCTTCTAAAAAAGAAATACTAAAATTATATTTTAGTATTTCTTATATATAGTAAAAAATATGTCTTTCTATATAAACAAAAAAGATTAAAATAATTTATCTAACAAATATAATTTTAAATTAAATTTCTTTACCTTATCCTTTATCATCATCATTATCTGATTCGTCTTCATTGTCTGACCTTAATATTTCTGTTCGCAGTGATTTGTAATGTTCTTCATTTGCTTCAAAATCGGGATCAAATTTATAAACATCTAGAAATCAAGTTCTGCATTTGTAATTAATCAACTGTATGGTCCATGAATAAATAAAAACAGTAAAAAAACAATTAGTAATTATTACTTAAAATATCTTGTAAGTTTTAAGCAAAATCTAAAGTTTATAAATGAGTAAATTGTTAATCCTTTTTCGACTAAATCGAGTTGTTCAATTACAGCAGGATGATCTTTAAATCCATCCTTACAGAAACCATCCTATTTGAAACATCACTACTATTATACATTGCACCTAATGAATTACCAATATATATAAATAGATATTATGTAATAATGTAATATTTTAAAAATGTTAAGAAACATATTATTTTATAAATAATCAATCAATTATACATACATACTTTTAAATATATTATTGAGAAATTGCATAAGTAATATGTTTAAAGTAAATTTTTGAGCAGTTAATATTTATTAATTATTATATATTTACTTTTTTATCAAATTGTCCGTCATGTAAAATATCAAAAATCACATTGGTTGCTTTTTTACTGACTTTGGTCAATTTTTGACCGCATTCTTTTCTTTCTGCTATTACACAGATGAAGCTTTAATAGCTTCTAGGCGTCTCTAAAAATAAAATTAATAATTCTCATTCCAAGATTTTCGTTAATTTTATGTACCTAATAATTATTATTATCCACAATAATATACATAATACACTGTATATTATATTTATGAATATAATATATATAAATTACATAGTTACCAAAAAAAGAAATAGCCAGAAAACCACAAGACAGTCTTATCAAGGAAAACAGTTTTTACGAACCGCTCCGTGTGTAAGTAACAAACGGTAGCTGTTTCTTATCTATTCAAACCTATCTATTCTTTCTGTAGATATGAATAAAATTCATATTTTCTACGCAATAGACTCATTGTACAAAAAATTAAAACTATATTAATTTATCAATTTATTCTACAATTCGGACTGTTATTCTTTGGAGTGTGAATTGTCATCTTCAGTAATTTGATAGCAACTATCACTGATAAAGAAAAAATAGAATAACAAATTTAATTAATCTAAAATGAGAGTCCTCAATTCGTCGTGTCGTTTTATTTTGTGTGAAATACTCTTTTTTTGATTGGCTTTTATTATATTGGTAGATAGATTTTGATCATGTCTACCAAGACGTTACCTTGGATACCGCAGAGTTGAATAAATTCAACTTTTGGACGTGCCAGTTATAGCTGCTTACGTCATTTTCTTGTTTTAATTTTAATAATAAATTAAATTTGTATTAAAATTTCAATATGAACTTTGTGAAGATAAATAATAACTCATGTTATGTAATTGTAAAATATACATTTTTTCAGGGACATATGCACTTTATGCAAAAAGTTTGTTGTACTAAACATTTCACACGACTGTACTTATGATATAAAATCACAAACTACTACTGGTAAGTACAATATGAAGTAGGTAATTTTAATATAGGTTATACCACTGATTTTAAATCAATACCTACTACTTACTCGTAGAACCAGTAGTTGGAACGTAACTATTAAAAATAGCAATATATTATTAACTAAAATTAAATGAAATAATTTTGGTGTTTTTATTATTATTATTATTATTATTACACAATGATAACTCCATAAAATATATTATTATTTTCGTATTTTTCACGACATTAGAAAGATTAAAGATGATATAAAAGAAAATCATACCAGGGCTAAATTAACGATACTTAAACATTTCAAACATGAATAAATTCAATTATGTACCTACTATTATTATACCAAATTTTCAGGAACCAGAGTTGTGATTTATATATATATTTTCTAATAGTATATTGTGTAGGTATATAAATATTAATTATAATGTAATTTGAATGTTTTTATTAAAATATTAATACATATTAAATAATGATTATATATGATTATTAATCATTAAGTAAAAATGTTATGAATTATTGATAATTTTTGATCAAGTGTACAACTTTATTGATAATTTCATTTGTAACCATACAAATATTCGTTCTCATGGCCTATCCATTCTTATATTATCTATGTATATTACCTAATTTTATGTTTGATTGATGCAAACATTACAATTTATCGTGGTCCGTGGTTCATACTAAAGTGGAAAAATATTTTATTGCATTAATATGCATTAGGTCAAACCATAAATATTAATACAATTTTTTTTTTAATAATAAATACAACTATAAACTGTGTAAAATTCGTCCATATAAAATCAAAAACATATATAAAAATAATAATTTCCCAGTGTAACAACTAAATCCATAATGCTTTCAAAAATGATACTACATTTAAAAATTGGATCAATATTTCTCGTAGAAAAATTAACTCTAAAAAAGTACATATCTACATGTTAAAACTAATAAATTTAGATTCTAAAACCAGTTTCACAAAATACGCAAGTTGGTAAAATATAATAATAAATTATATCTAAAACAATAACAAAAAGTCGTGTTAAGTAAGGTTTTACACCATATTATTGCTACGATGTTTTGATGTTGTTTTACCTTTGATATTTTCTCGGTTCTCCCATGTTTTCCCCGCTTATTAGGAAAACTTCTGAGAAAAATCAAAGAATGACTTCCTTATAGTTTCTCTTCAATTAGATTTCCTTTCAGATAAAGTGCTATCATTATAAATCGGATCAAAATTACTAGTAGAAAAGTTGTCCACAGAAACCAAATAGACGTTATTGTAATACCAATACATTCCTCGCTCCACCCAGAATCTGAAAATTGAATTGACTAAAATTATTTTTGTTAAAAAAGATCTTTTTTGTGACCATGGCGCCAATGGTTTTTCTGTACCATAACTAATAAATTAGCAAATAAATCGTCAAGAACTACAACTACTCGTTGTAAAGATAGGGTATAATATTTTTTTCTTATTGTGGGTACTTCCGGAGAATCGATATAATCAAAATAATAATTTAAATATAGCTAAATAGGTGGGTATTTTACATTTCGTTATAATATTATAACTTCCTGGTTTTCTTATCGGTATATTGCTGACGGCGCTGCACCGGGCGGGCGCTTTTAGCTGCCACCGCCACTCGCACTCAGACACGTCAATAATTATTTGTTCGAAAATAATGAAAATAATAAAAGTGTCTAATAGACAAATTTGATTTTATATTTTGAATTTTGAATTTTGATATACGAAAAATTGAATATGTTATTCGGTATATGATTAATGGAAATTAATTTTTTTTTAACGATAAAGTTGAACATCAAAAATCGCCTCGATCGAAACCTGGAAAATTAGAATACAAAATCAAATTTGTTTTCAAAATTTAAATCCATTCATCCCAAGCCTCGCAATTTTGGGTCGTGTTACGTGTGTTTTTAAACCTGCTCCAGCCACCTTAATACTAGCGACAAGCCAACATATTTTTGATATTTCTGGAATGATAGTTAATAATTTACAGATAAACCTTCAAACAATCAGATACCTGCCGAATATAAAATTATAAAAACCAATATAAGTTAATAACGAAAATTGATACTTAATAACTCATAAAGATAAAAGAGGCAAGAACACAATAATTAAATATAGTATCTATCTAGTAAAAATACTATTTTTAATCGTGGACAAGAACTTAAGTACTTATTTAGGTACCTAATATTAAATTTTAAAATCAGTTAGTTGAAATTATTACTCTAATTCAAAATGTATTTTTGGAAACTGATTTATTAATGAATAATTATAAATAGATAGAATTTCAAACCGAATACAGTTCCTATTTATTTTTAATATCGAATCGTTGCTTATAAGCCGCTAATTTTATCTTACATTTTAATAGGACATTCATTTGCTATATGTGTGCCGTCTAATGTGGTTTTTATTAGTTGGTTTAAATTTAATTACAGTTTTTTGTTAATGTTTATAGTTCTTTTTTTAAGATTTTTAAAACAGTTTAATATGACAGGCAATATTTACTTTATAATCATATAATTACAATAAAGCAGAAAGAGGACAAGTTCACTAACCACTTGTTCATTAATTAAGGATACTTTTATAATTTGTCTAAGTTGTTAAGAAGATCAAAAAATTAAATATTAATTAAAATAGTAAACATATGATTTCGGCAATTTGTAATAAATTTTTTAAAGCCACTATCATAATGTTAATCTAATAAGAACAAAGAGTAAAGTAGATTTTTTAAAAATTAATTTTCTCAATGAAATGTCTCTTTTCTGCAGTAAACATGTACTCTTTATACCAGTACCATAATGTATCTAAACGCCAACCATATACTATATACGATAAAACACGTTGGTCGAAACCCTAGTGTATAAGCAAAACACGATTTTTTTTTTTTTGTCTAGTCTTGATTTTAAACACGACAGGTTTAACCGATGTTCCTGTGGGTGTAAAATGATTATTTATTTATTATTATTTTTTATTTTTTCGACGGTACCTTTCCAGATATTAAAAATATTTAAAGATAGAAATTATTGTATTTTAAATGATAGGTATGTTATTTGTTTTACTATGATTTTGTAACTAATTTTTAATGTATAAAATATTTATAAAGGAATAATGTGTAGGTATTTTAATACTAGTATCTATTCTAAAAAATGTATCTGTATCTAGGTCAATGGGTTTCAACCAGTTTAATAATGTGTCATATTTACAAAATTTTCGCAGCACACCCAGTATTTGCACCCATGCAAGTTTGGAGAGGTTTGAATTCGAAAACGCCTGCAATCCGCACTTATCGAGTCACCGTCCCAGTATTGGTTAGCCAGTCTTTAAAAATGTTGTAGATAAAGTAATGTAAGACTTTCCTAAATGTGAAAAGATACTTGAGACCAACTGCTTAACTGCATTACTTGATTGCTTCATTAACTATAGTTAATGATTTATAATTAACAGATAAATATACAAATTAATATTAAATATAATATTGGTTTAATTACTTGTATAAGTAGACTTAAAAGTTGTGATGAAATCATTGAACAGTTTTCATAAGTGTTTTTTTTTTTTTTTTATTTAATATTTTTAAATGTTTCAGCACATTAGGTGCTATTACAAGTATAATAGATTAAAAATATGGGTTAATATTTACATTCATCTTAAGATAATAATGCTATAATGATTCCTAATTAAAGTTTAGTATTTTTTGTTAATTATTCTTCATCTTCCGACGAGATCTCTTCAGTGATCATTAATAATTCATAATTTTGAATTTAAATTTCAGGTAAAAGAGCACCCATTACTAACCCATCTTTTTGCGAATATAATTTTTTTATTATATTGGAAATAGTTTTGATTAATAATTAAATTTATTGATTGAATAATTTCTTGTATTTCGTTTATATTAAGTTTATTACTATGTAAATATTTATTCTTAAAAATCTTACTGTTTTGTGTTTAGGCATGGATATATATATATTTTTTACGTCAAGAGAAAGTCATAGAGGTCGTCGAGTTCAAAAAAAATATTTTAAGTAAAATAGGCATTTATGTAAAAATGCCTTTCTTGCACCCAGCCCCTCAATTATTACTTAGGATTTGTAAACAATTTTAAATTTCGGGAGGAGTTATAAGACTACCCCTTCTCTCTCTCCCAGTATCGCAAGTATTGAAGTATCTATTGAATAGGTACCTACATAAATAATAATTATAAAATAAACTAAAGGAAAGTATACTTAATCAATGGTATCTATGGGCACTTAATGATAATGGAGATATCGGTGTGCGTGAATAATAACTGAATCATGGTTTCGGGAATAATGACTCTCATCCCGAATAAAACACCAAATTTAGCACAATATTATATTCTTTTAGATAGGTACTAAAAACAGCGAGAGCGAAGAATGTATTGATATTACTACGATTTGTGCGAATTTTAGATTTTTTTTTTTTTTCCGGTTAACTGACAGCAGTGGTGACATTTTAGATTTGGAGTGTAACAAAGGATTTTTCGGTTTTATTATGATGTATGTTTTCGTTAATATTTTTTTTTTTTGTAAATAACTTTGAAAAGAACTTGTTCCGATGTATTGAGTGTTGCATCTTTTTTGAAAGTAATTTTATCGAATTGGTGCATTAGAGAGATAATTTTTGATTTTATAAATGGTTTTTATAATAATCGGGAAAAACTGGAAAGAAAATTATAGGTATAACGCAAATATTTACGGCGCGCCGTGGCATTACTGATTTAATTGTTTTTAATTTTTGCAAACTATGTTTCCTATCAGAAATCTTGCTTTAATGTCAAAAAATAACAAGAAAACAATTTTGTTCCATTTAATATTTAGCTAGTAGTCACTGACAGAGGAAGTCATATTTTGATTTCAGTGTAGTTTTCTTAATGGATAATTGGGAAAACCTAAAAAACCAAAAAGTATATGGTAATAGCGGCATCAATGCATCATTATTTTCAATTATGTACCTAATTTGATTGTAACAAATTCAATTAAAAATTATCCTAAAAACCAACAATTTTCACAGAATAACTATTAGCTTTTTTTGTATGTGGTACAATTTTTAAAACATTCTAGCGATTGTGAACAGTTTAAAATATTATACCGCGCCAAATGATGAGAAAGCCTAAGCTAACACTGTTATGTTAATATTCGTATCATGGTTGTTATTTTATGTGCAAATTTGCCGCCAGGTAGTGGTGGTACGTCAGTGGAGATTCGGTGCGTTAGAAGACAGTTAACCGTTTCGCGGTGTACCGAATACGCGGCAGCGGTAACTGGACATCACCAGTTACCGCTGGTAAGTGATAACCGATAGATAGGTATCTGTTAACACTACAACCGTTGTCATAGCGGATTCGGATATCGATCATGTGTGAACGACAGACACCGGTTCGGCGAGTTGAATTTGTTTCTTTAATAAAAAAAATTTATTAAGTACTTAATTTTTTTCCGATTATTCGCATTTTATTTAAAAACTAGTTGTTAATAGCAGTAACGGTGTTCGTTTTCGTCGGTATCCGTTGCTCGCTATTTTACTGTTATACGCCGGCCATTCCCGCCGAGATCGGCGTTCGAATAATGCCCGACGTACCGCGATCCAGCGCCCGTCAGCAGCGAGCAGCTACAACCGCACGTCAACCGAGTCCGGTCACTATCGTATGTGTTTCGCGTCCAGCTATGGCCAAAGAGGCCATCTATTGGATTTGGAAAAAACTCTGGTGGGCTTGGTATTTGGCCATCACCATGATGGTGTGTTACTCCAGGGAATATATACGAAAGAAAGGCGTCTGGGATGCGGGTAAGTGATGATTAGATTGTACAATATTGTTAGTATTGGCTACATTAGTAAAAAGGTACAAATATAAATCCTTATTTCCTGTTACTTTATATAGATAGGTACTTATTCGCATAGACGTGTGCAAGGGGGAGGCAGGAGAGACATCTGTTTCCTGCGAGAATACCAGTGTTTTTAAAAAAATATGTTAGATATGAATTTGTTTTAAATATAAATTCCAACATCCCCTTGATTTTGTAAAATGTAAGTGAAGGGCCTATAGAGTTAAACCTCCCCCCCAAAAAAATTTGATTTAATTGATTGTCGCCTCCTTTGCTTAGATAACTTGTGCATGCTTATATATGTCTATTCTGTACTTCTTTTGTGTTTTCACAAGCTATGTGAAAATATAGTATAGTAAAATAGTATATACGAGTTTTTTAAATTTGGTTTCCATAATCAACTTCTATTTTTATCTGTGTTAGAAACCTGCCTAATTTATTGAAAATATGCAGATTATATAATTTATCTTGCCTGTCAAATATTTGTAATCAAAGTTAAAAAAGCTACAACATTTTTTGAAGTAGGTAGGTATATGACCATTTAAAAGCCAAAGTATATTAAGTTAAAATTGTTTTCTTCCAATTACTAGGTAAGTATTTAGAAAATTAATATTGGAAAAATTGTGTAGAAGAGACTAAAAATTGAGTAACCTATTCCTAGTTTATTTTATTAAGTATTACTTATTTTATATTATATAATCAACTTTCTTAGTATTGTTTTTACCTTTGTTTTTACCAGCATAAATGCTTTCAATAATCTGATTTTTAAACTGAAATTATGGTCGATAACTGACCACGATTAGTTTGTTATCTTATAAACTCTGTTTAATAATCAACAGTGAGAACAGGTCTTAGAGTACAGTTAACTGCCAACTTTGTGACATAAAGTGTGTCGCAATTCATTTCCACTTTATAATAAATTGTACATTGTTCATAGTACACATATATTTGGTTTTTACATACCTAACATAAATTGGAGGTAGGAATGAAATAAAAAAGAGCTGATACTGCTGATGAATGTTGGACTGTTGTAAGTAGGAAATTAGGATACTATAGAGTTTTCTAGAGATTAATTAGTTTTATATCTGTATAATATGACCAATTATAACTAATGAAAAACGATTCTAAGTGAAGTTCAGTTAAATAAGTTTTAAAATTCTTGAATTTTATGATTTAAAATTTGAAACCTTAAATCCTAATCATACAAATTGGTACTTGTCTAGTATAAAAGCCACTGAAAAATGTTACTCTAATATGATACCCACTACATAATATGTTCCTATACCAATATGCGATTAGTCTAATATGATATAGTTACCTACTAACCTACCTAAACATTATACAATACTTACATTTTTGCTGTAGGTTTATATTGCGTAAAAACGATTCAAATGTATTAGTTTGATTAATAAATTGCCACTATTCTTATTTTTAAATAGCTCATGGTAATGTTTTCCATTTTAAATAGGAATGAACTTTTGACAAATTAAAATAAAAATAATCCACAAAGTATTAAAAAAAGGATTACCTGTACATATTTTGTATTCTCAGATAATTTTAACAATATTTCACAATTATTAGTTTTTCTGAAGGTAATAAATCAGATAAGATACAAAGATATATGATTTCTCCTTTATAGGTAACTATGTGTAGGTATCACTATCCGAGTAGGTTTCATATTAAGCCGGTCCCACATGACCGGTGTACTTGACCAACATAAGTCACTGGTCAAAAAATACTGATATACTTTACATGGTCTGTGAGCCACTGTTTTAGGTGAAATGTTAAGAAGATAGGATATAGAGGTTATACACGTGTTGAAAGGTTGTCATATTTACTATTTTCATTAAAATTATATATTTATATGAATGCTAATTAATTAGCTATTGTTGGTGTTTTCTTAATTAATATATTTTTTTTTTTTGTTAAAACTTTATAATTGTAATATTAATTCTTAGCGACTCTTACTTTTTAGCACAAGCATACAATTTTTAGAAGTGACTCAGTATAATTTATGTTCAATAGCAATTTAATTTAATTTGTCTTTTTTTATTTACTTAAATTTGTATACGAGTGTACATTCCACAAAGAAAAATGTATTGGTTTTACAATGGTGTTTATGTATATTATTTTTCTTATATCTACAATTTTCTACCGAAATTTTTAAATGTAGTGCCTTCTTAGAAAATGAATTTTATCTACTTTGGTACTTTAGGAATAATAATTAACTTATTGTTATGTTTTTATTCAAAATTGTATTAATACATTTATTATTTTTGTTTTTTACAGTTGCAGATTTTATGGAAACCTTGACTCCAAAATTCTACATTGCTTTGACAGCAACTTCTTCATTCATATCATTTTTAATAATGGTATATTTATATCACTTATTACCTTTATATTTAAATGTAAACTATATTATCACTCTAATATAATAGTCAAGTTATGTTGGCTTTAATATTACCTTTATTAAAAATGAAATTAGAGAAAGAAATTAAAGTCTCAACACAAATCAAAACAATTTAAAGAATTAAATATTTTTAAAGGTAGTCATTTACTTGTTTTCTAAAATATTTTAATAAAAAAAGTTGTATAGATTTTTTTTTAAAAAAAAAAGGGAAAACCAACATGACTAACTTTTTTGTTTATACATATTTTGTTATTAATAATAGTTCAGAAAATCAATGGTATTCTACATTTTATTTTCTTTATTAAGTTTTTATATCAGAGTTAAAATGTGTATTTCAACCTAAATGCTTCAGATCGTTTTCTAAGTAAGCCTGAAAACCAGTTTTCGGAAATTGTTTTACCATTTCTTAAAACTTTAATCAAAACTGGAACCTAACAAAAAACTGTTCTCAAAACCAAAATTGTTAATTTAACTGATATTTCTTCGTATTATAACATAAATAACAATGAAAACTATTTTATTATATTAATTTTATTTCTCTAATATATTATCATACCAGCAATTGCTATCATTATAATTTTTATCATTCCCCATACCCAAAGTTAGATTAGATTTTTATAATTTTTTACAAGTAAAATTATTTGTGTGAAAAAGTTATTTTTAATTAATTGAGAGTTTAAATTTTAGACTAAACCCTAAATAGCGATTCAAGTATACCTTATAATAAGTATTAATTGATAAAAAATAAAAATCTGGTCTATAGTGACATAACTAGTACTGTAACTATGCATTTAAAAAAAAAATTAACCTAAAACTGACCAATTTTGTTCAAAAACCGGTTTATAAAATCAAAACCAAAACATTTAAAAAACTGGTTTCAAAACCAAAAAAAATTTAAAAACCAATAAAATTGTTATGTATTAATATTTTACTTATGTTACACTAAAATAGTAAATGGGTATAGTATAGCCTTCACTTTTTTCTTTGTTACTTATAAGAAGTAACTATAGAACATTTTTTTAAATTGTTCTTCCGAATTCAAATGTTTCTTGGTTTTTACTAAACATTATACAATTTTTTTGATATTTGATACACTTTTTACACAACAAATACAAATACTAGTTACATTTTTACACTTTCAATTAAAGCTTTTTTGTTACAAATTACAAATTACTTATGCAATTTTTAATCATAAACTATTGTTTTAGGTATCCGAATGGATGTATTTTCAAAAATATGGTGTATCTTTTATTGAACAATTTTCACTTAACTACATAAGTCCTTGGATTGGTGGAGGTAACGATAATAATCAACAAGTACCAGGTATTTATATACACCTCCTGTATTTTATTAGAAATTTGAATACCAATGTGGTTTTTATGGTCTCTATCTATTTAGCTAACTCCACATAACCAAAGTGCTCTTCATATTTTTAACCTAGATATCTACTGTTACTGCCTGGCATTTTAATTGTGGTAGTGGGAAAAAGCTTAAACCACTTAATAATAATATATAATTAAAAAATAAAGCAATAAATTTGTTTAGAATGCAAAGTTTGGCGAAATCCATTAGGACTTTTTCGTGGTGCAGAGTATGCAAGATATTATAATGTAACCAAAAGAGATCCTTTGACATTTTATGATATGAACTTATCTGCTCAAGACCATCAGGCATTTTTTATCTGTGATGCAGACAGTGGAAAACCGGATTATGAAAGTACAAAATTATTATATAAATATATTTGTAGAATATATCTATCAATTAGGTTATTTATTTATTAAGTTAAGTAAAATGATAAGATTTGATTTTGTTTAAGTAATGCAAGCTGCTTGGAGAGAAAGGGTACCAGCTGCAAGAGTGAAAGCAGCTCATTTGGCTCTAGAAAAGAATTCAGAATGTGTCACAGCTCTTATAATGTTAGCTGAAGAAGAAGCTCCAACTATGGTAAAAGTTGAAAAAATTTTGCGAAAAGCATTAAAGATAGCTGAAGCTAACTACAAAAAAACACAAAAATCACATCATGTAGATGCCAATGCTGAAATGAAACACAGTAATTTATATGATTATATATTTATATTTCTTATATCTATATCAAAATTATAATTAAATACATTAATGTTACTAAAAAAAGAGTTGATAGGTGCCACTGTTATAGGTGGATAGTTGTGAAGGTGGGATACATGAAATTATTTAATTTATATCTATAACTAACAATAAACAATTCCTAATGAAAAAAGGCCATAATATTACATTGAACTCAATCTTTTGTAATTATTTTGGTAATTTTTGCTGTTATTTTTAAATAATTTTTGGTTTACTCAATTATTAAAAAAAATTACAAATAAATCAAAAAACAAATTAATTATTCATGAATTAGATTGAAAATTAAACAAACAATATCTCTTGATGTGGTTTTATTAAAAAAGTTGTTATGATAAAAACATAAGCAAATTTAAAATAAAGAAATCTTTGTGCCGTAAATTGAGAAAAAATTGTATATTTCATAAGTTTTAGTTTTCCTAATTATAAGGAAGCCCACTTTAAATATTTAAAAACTACTTAATGTATTCATATAAATTCAGTATATAATCAGTAAATATAATATGAACAAAATTGATCTCTTGTCATTTTTCAAATGGCGTAATATTTCTATTAGTAAACATATGTTGATCATAATAAATCAATGAAAATAGTAGTTAGAGAATACAAATTTTGTAAAAGATGTTATTCTAAAAATTTTAATGTACGAGGGTTGTCCCAAAAGTAATGCACAATTTGCTTTGAATAAATAAGTTTTTATTTTAAACTAAATACAATATTATAGACCTTCGATATAATCTCCCTGCTTGNCTTCGGCTCACTTCTTCATTTAGTATATCTAAGTTGGGAAAACGGATCCCTCTAAGTGGTTTCTTCAGTTTTGGAAATAAATCAAAATCCGGCGAATACGGTGGGTGTTTGAGGCATTCCCATCCATATTTCTCCAAAAGAGCGACGACTGGTGCTTCGATATGCGGCCGCGCATTATCGTGCAATATGGACACCATTTTGTAACAACTGGTCGCTTTTTACGGATTTCTGGTCGCAATTTTTTGGCAAGGAATGTTTTGTAGTAATCCCCGGTTACACTACTGCGTTATTTGTCGGTCTTCATCGAGTAGAGTTGCGAGAATAGCCGCGTTAGTGTTGTCTTGAGTCTAGAGGGTCGGCCAGAGCGAGGGATGTTATCAGTACTTATACGACCATCACGGAATCGCTGATGCCATCTTTGCACCGTACTACAATCTACAGTATCCGTTTCACACACTTCATTTAACGCGGCATGAATTTCAGATTTTAATGTATGCGCGTTGCTCAAAAACATAAATGTGAGCCGACGAATTGTTCTCACTTTCGTTATCGTTCTCACACATCATCATACTTTACTAAAACAACTAAAACTGAAAACGCACGTGTTCGTTAGACTTCAAGCTACAAACTGATACTAAAATCAGCTGATAATATCACATTGCAAGACAGCTAGAGCGCGCTGTGCATTACTTTTGGGACAACCCTCGTACCATTTATTTATATTTGATCAATAGTTTCTTAGTAATAATAGTTTTAATTTCTAGTAAATTGGTATAAAAACAATTAATTTTTAATTGAAAACACATTATATGTAGAGAATACAATCCAGAAATCCTTTCATAATTCAAGATTTTGAGATCTTTTAGAGCTAATCTCGGGTTTACATAAAAAAAGATCATAAAAAGAAACATACATTTTAAAAATTATTATAATATATACAGGCTGTCCCATGAATATATACCCTTTCAGTATTTCTGGAGATAATAAAGTTGATCAAATTCTGTTCTTTTTGTATTACTCACAGAGATGAGGACTACAAAAAATTATATTTGAAATAATTTTTTTATTATTATTTTTTCGGAAAATTTTAAGATAAAATAATGGTCTGTAAAGATTATTTTTCTAAACATTTTATAGTATCACATATTTATATCTGATGAATAGTTTCTAAGTACCACCTTAGTAACATCTAGGGAATACTGAACCATGTTATGTGATAACATCAGTTTTCACAGGGATTAGTAGAATTTAAAATGGCTGTTACTTAAAAACTATTAATAAATGTGTGATACATTTATAAATGTGTAAATGTGAATAAATGTGTAAATGTGTGATACATTAAAATTTTCAGAGTAATAATCTTTATTACATAATGGTTATTTTAAAATTTTTCAAAATAATAATAAAAAAAAAAAATTAAAATACAAATATTTTTTAGTCCTCTTCCCGGTTAGTAGTATAAAAAAAACAGAATTTGATATCTTTGTTATCTTTGGAGATACTCCTGGGTTAGCCAGTATTTATATATTTTGTTTTTAACTAAAATGTTAACAATTTAATATTATTTATTACAGGGAAAAAAATATTTTATTCAAAAGAAATATTTTAATATTAAGATCTGAGAAATATTGTACCACCTAATGTTTCATCTCTGAATCTACTTCTTATTTTATTTCCCATGTATGTAGCTGCTGAAAACGTTCAGGTTCTATGCTAGTGGGAGAAATATTTAAGATATTTAGATATTTAAACTCTAATTCTAACTGAGTTCCTCTATTCTCATACAGGTTTATATCTTGGATAATTTTATTAGGTATTTAGGTATATAATATCAATCATAGATCATTATAAACTTATAGATAACAAATATACCCAAATGCTCTACAATTTTTTAATAATATTATAGATAAACTCACAAAATATTTTATGTTATATATAATATATTTATTATTTTTATTAAATACAAAATCCCAGGGTTGTAGTATTTGCAGGTTTACCTATAATTTCCTTTCAGGTTTATCCCAATTACTTCAAAAAAATGACTTCAGTGGACAAACTAGAGAATATTGCATTTCAAAAAAGTTGCTACACTCTATGGTCTATACATTAAAGCAAGTTTTTGGGGATAAAAGATGTTTAAAAAAAAAAAAAATGTATATATATATATAAAAACACATATAATAAAATCAATAGATCCCTGGCTACACATTCTGAATCAAAAAAAATGTGTTTCAAATTATTTAAAAAATGTTATTATTTGTTTCAGGACGTGATTTAAATGTATTAATATATATTCGAAGACGTATAGCTATGTGTTGTAGAAAATTAAGGAAGTTAAAAGAGGCCATTAAAATGTTTAGAGATGTAAGTTGAATATTGGACATTCAATCATTACCAAGTTATATTACCAATATTACATAACCCAATTATATTTAAGTTTTTTTTTAAATCTCAATTGTTCAGTATTAAATTTAAGTATGACTGATGGCTAGGTATCTACTCTCACGCTCATCATGCTCACTGGGTTTTACCATCAGATTATATTGCCAGACCATATTATTGTCTTAATTAATGATAGAACTCTCAATATCGCGAGTTTTTCCCATCTCAACAATATTTTTATCTAATATTCATATTATGTACAGAAACTTTTGTTATTATTTTTCTACATTTATTTATAAATATAATTGTAAATAATAAAATAATTAATATATATGCTTTGTTTTTCTAAAAACATAATTTTCATGTGTTTCCTAATAAATTGTCGTAAAAAAATATACAGTTATTCAACTTTTTAATTATCATTATGTGTAATGGAAAAAATATAACATCAGTGTACAGAGACTTTTTTGACCCACTGTATATATTCAACTTCTGATTTTTGGGATTTTTAAGTGTAGTTAAAGCCGATATTTTCGAATACTTGGACTTTTCACAATATTTAAGGAGTATCCTTTGGTGATACTAACTTTTGTTTTTAACTAATACTCCATCTATTTATGGACTTTTTAATAACGTGTTGATGCCCGTATACAGGCACATATCCAGAATTTTATTTCAGGGAGGACTGACTAAAATGTANTCTCTTGCAACCCAAATTTAAAAGTGGAATATCTCGTTGACGGATTGAAAGAAATCAAAAATTTGAACACAAAAATTTATTTTAACTATTATTACTCCATCTATTTATGGAATTTTTAATATAGGTTGTTATTTGAAAATTAAAAATAAGTAGTGATTTTACTCTTAAAAATAAGAGTTACAAAAAATAACATAAATATAAAATTCCAGAGCCGCTTGTTTCTTAAATGGATCACCTGCTAGTTTAAAACATGATTCCCTATTTGTATTTCGTGTACCTATGTATTGCTATATTGTATGTGTACTTTGTTAATAATTAGAATTTAAAGGATTCATATTAATAATGGTAGAAATAATGGCAGCAATTTATTATTATTTATTAATTGTTTGTTTTAGTCAATTAGGAATTTTCTCTTTATCATAATGTTCTGTTACTTGAATACTAGATGAATAAGAAAATAAAGAGACTAAACTTTGTTCACTGGACTAACATTTCATCTATATCTTGTTAATCTATTAGTATAGTATTAAGAAATTAAGTTTTTTCAGTTACTTAAAAAAAAAAATACATATGTTAGGTCACAATTAAAACTGAAAATAATGTGGTTAATTAAATTAATTAGACAAATTGAACAATAATATATATTCTATTGATGGCAGTTTATTCTCCTTTTTCTTTATTTATTATATGAGTAAATTGTACACAAATAATGAAAAGTTTGTTTATGTTTGTGTATAGTATAAATACTAGATATGTATTTGTATATGTATATTTAAATATAATTTATAAAAATATTTGTTATTAACAGTTAAGCAAGGAAATGCCTCCAATTATGAACATACTTAATGTTCATGAAAACTTAATAGAAGTACTATTAGAAACGCAGTCATATGCCGATGTTCAATCAGTATTAGCGAAGTATGATGATATAAACCTACCTAAATCGGCTGTCATCTGTTATACTTCAGCATTGTTAAAAATCCGTGTTATTGCTGACAAGTAAATTTATTATTGATAAAAATATTTTAATATTGTTACTTTGTTTCAAAAGTTTCAAGCTTGTTTATATTGTATGTATGCTATAATTTGTTATTGCTGTATTTCTATAGGCATACTTTAGCTCTTTTGAATAACTAAATATTTGATTTAAATTAAATTAGTGGATAATAAATAATGTATAAAATAATGGGAGCAAACAAAATGCGTTTTGCTATTTAACCTTATAAGAGTTATATATAATACATTCTATACACTTTATATTTGTCTAGAAAATCACATCAGTTTAAATCAAATTTTAATAAATAAATAAAATAAAATGTTATTTATTTTTATAATATATTGTTTTTAGGTTTTTTTTTTTTGTGTAAGCTAAATTATATGTTACATTTTTTATGTAACAATACAATTTATACTTAAAGTGAAGCAAAAGTTACTCTGGAATTAATACTATTCTCTTTTCAAATCAAAAACTTAAAGGTATTTTTAGAATATAAACTATTAGTTAATGATTATTGCACATGACATTGCAATTTCAATGAAAGTTTAATAAAACTCAATGGTTTAAAAAAAAACAAATAAACTGATAAACTACCATTTTGTTTCCTTTTTTAATGTAGTAATTTTCACTAAAACGTTATATACATTATACATATTATAAATGTATATCAAGAAAAATAAGTGTAATTATAAAATGAAAAATTAATGCATGGACATTTTAGTTTTGAGTATTAATAAATTAATAAAATTATTAAAATAATAAATATATTTATTAATAATATACTTAATGTATAAATTTAATTAATTACAGATATAATGCTGGAAATGCATCAAAAAGAGGGTTTAATCAGGCTGAAGAAATTGCTATCGAAGCTATTCACCGGGCAGTGGAATTTAATCCTCATGTTCCAAAAGTATGTTTTAAAACTCTCTGATTATATACTTCATAAAATTTAATAAATCTTTTTTTTTTTTTAATTATTGATATTGTAAATTATAATCAAAGTTTAGTTGATAATATCAATCAAACAAATCATATTACATCTTACAATAGTTTATTGTAATTTTAATTATTATAGTGTATTGTATAGTGTAGATATAAATTTGACAACATTCGACATTTTAAAAATATTAATGTAAAAACACATTAAGACAAAATTATTTTATGACTTATTGTTACTCTGTTATTTTTAGTATTTATTGGAAATGAAATCTTACATTTTGCCCCCTGAACATATATTGAAAAGAGGAGATTCAGAAGCTGTAGCATATGCATTTTTTCATTTAGCCCACTGGAAACGGATAAAAGGAGCATTGTCAGTACTCAATGTGATGTGGGAAAGTGCATTTGATCAAATACCATACCCTTTAGAAAAAGGATATTTATTTCATCCCTATCCAGCGTGCACAGAGTTAGCTGATAGAGAATTATTACCTAGTAATTTATTAAATTTATATTTCTTAGATCATAGATTATTTATGTGTAATTTAATTGTTTAGGTCATCATAAAGTAAGTGTATTTCCAAAGAAGGATTTGCCATTCTTCATTCACTTCACTGCTGGTCTAAGTTCCTTTTCTGCATTACTAGCTCTGATGATTTATCTTCATCCACAGTTGACAGGCAACCTTGTTTATATTGTAAGTCAATATCATAATTAATTTACAAAGTAAATTTAAAAATACTAAATATTTTTAATGTATAAATGTATTTGTATTGATTGTTTTAGTTTTGTATGTGGATTATAGTGCCAATAAATTACTGTCTAGATCGGTTGGAGACTTTGCTTCCGAATAATATTTTAGATATCATCTCAAATATTTGATCTTGATCTGATTATAATTAATATTTTTGTATTATTACTTTAGATATTGTGTTGTATATATAAGGAGAGTTCATTGATCTGATTACATTTTTGTATCTTTATATATCATAATATTATATTTATTTTATTTAATTCTAGTTTTAATTAAATATTGAATTTAAACTAGTCAAATCGAATCTAAATTTAAGATAGTATGAATAGGATAGATAGATACCTATCAGCATTGATTAAGCATCTTTTAGACTTAAATCAGTGATGGAAAATCATACTAGATTAATTTGAGTTCTCAAATTAATTTTAAATTATGTATGATGACTATGAACCTCACTTATTTTTATTAAAAGTGAACTTTCTTTCAGTATTTTTACTATTTAAATTTTAAATAATTAACATTTTTACTGTATTATTACTATTGTTTATAATTAAAAGTCAAATATATAAATTTGATTTAACTACAAGTATTTTATTTATATATTTTTTTTTAAGTAACACATTGTAACCTTTTAAACTATTTTAATAAAAGATTTTATAAATTGTAGATGTGATTGTATGCTATTCTTGATGTAATATTGTTACATCATATTTAAAAATCATTAGTGCTAAATTAAACAATATTAAAACAGAAGTTTTTTTATTTACTTTAAACTATTTTAGATTAAAATGTGTTTTATATATACCTAAATCTTGTAATAAAGATAGCTTAACCATTTCCTTTTTAATCTTTTTATTATTATTATAACAACCAATATAAAATTACAAATTTTATATTACAATAAATGTATGAGTAACATTTTAAAGCAATGCTAGTGTTGATGATAGAGTTACATAGATAAATCATATTTTTCAAAAATGAATAGCAAATAAAGTTAAATATGAGCATAATAGCGTTGAAAATTACTATGCTATGCTACCCTCTGAATATAAAATGGTATTGTCTAAAATAATATTTAAATGAATTTGACATTTGGGAATCAAAATATTTTAAAATATTAAAAATAGCTGATACTTGAGAAGAGTGTACTACTGTTACATATGGGAAGTTGGAAAGGTAGAATACATAAGGTTCTTAATTTATATCTATTATAATATTTTCATACAATGTTTTTAGATTTAATAGGTGCCCATTGACTAGTAATTGTTTTTAAAATGGAGGTGTTCTCATTGGCATAAGGAAAGATTTACATTTTAATTTAATTCCTCACCCTAACATTAATTTGGAACATATTTTTGTTAAATTTTCTATCAGATATTCCAATTTCCTAATTGGTGGTGTCTACTTCCCAACTCAAATTCAAGCGTGTAACTATGCGAGCTATATCTTCTTTTGAATCTATCCTTTCTCAATACTCCAGTCATACAACTAGTATCTGGCGATTTTCATCTACCGGGAATAAACTGGTCTAGTGAGAACCATGGTTTAGTTTATTCATCAGAATCTACTATTTGAGTACCTTGTAGTGCCTATAATGGTTTTTTCCAAAAATATGACATTTAGTACAAATTGTAATTTGTATAATACTAGTGTACCAACTGGTGGCTGTACAGTATTAATGGGTATTTTTAATATTTGCATACGGGCCTCTGTATAATATGCGTTGATACTCGTGTAATACAGGCGCATATCCAGAATTTTATTTCGGGAAGGACTGACCAAAATGTATAAACATTGCCATAGAGTAAATTAAAAATAAGCTGCTGTTCTAGGATAATAGGACGGGTTCATTATTAACACGTCGCGTGCCCTACCGCCACACAAATGATATTCCACTATTCTCCTCAAACCCAAACTTAAAAGTGGAATATCTCGTTAACGGATTACCGGAAATCAACAATTTTAACACTTAAATTCATTTTAACTAATACTCCATTTATTTGTGGAATTTTTTACATAGGTCGCCATTTAAAATTCAAGTAATGGTTTTACCCTTTAAAAAAGGGTGATCAAATTTACATAAATATAAAATAGAAGAGCTTGTTTCTTAAATGTTTTAGAAAACAAATTCCCAATATTTTTCGAAATATGGATGTACCAACTTAAATCGATCATCTTGTATGTATGTTATTAAAATATGGTAAAATAATTACATATCATTCATTATAATATTTTCTTTGATAATATTTGTTTAATATTGTACCTATTTTCTCGTTTTTCCTACGTTTTTCTCATTTATTCAGAAAACTGAAAAAATCAAAAAAATGATCTCCCTAAAGTAGGTCTCCATACCGATTTCCTTTCAGTAAAAATACTACACTTAAAAATTGATCAAAAACAAGATCTCTGATAGAAAAGTTGTCCAAAGATAAAAATAAAAATAAAAAAAAATCTTTGTAAAATCATAAGCTTATTCATTTCATTCAGAATCGAAAATTGTTATCATTGTAATTACTATATTTTTTAACAATTATTGTGTATTATGTGTATATTATATGATTTGGTTGTATAAAGTATTGCAAGCGAAGCGATCTTTTCTCTCTCTCTCTATATATATATGAATAGGCCCTACTTATATATAAGTAATAATAAATATATCCTGGTGAAAAAAAAGTAACTATCTGCCTATGGTAAAGGCACTACATTTTTACTAGCCCCAGGTGTCAAATGTCCTAAATCCGGCACTGGGTCCACCTATTGTGCTAAATATGTCTATCTTTTTTAGATTCTAAGTGAAGCGAAAAAGTTTATGGTTTTACAATGTTTTTTTTTTCCCCGTGAACAACTTTTCTACCATTAATTTTCCTCCGATTTACAGTTCTAGTACTTTTTCTGATAGGAAATTTAAAAATCAGTGTTTGTGAACTTTAAATAATATTATTTCATACGTAAAGAACTCAAATTGTGTTTAATATACATGAAAAAGTTTAATGGTTTGTATCAAATAAACTAAGTGATGTGTCGACTTCTCGTATTTAATATAATTATAAATAATTATTTATATATTTTCATTATAAATCCCTAAATAGCCATTCTGTAAAATATAGTATTCTTATAACTTTAATGTACCTATTATACATTTATACCCGATTAATAGTTTTTTAGTTATAGGTATAGTGGCTTTAATGTACAAAAACTGGCGTGAAAACAATTATTATTTAATAGAAGATAAGGAACTACTATGATAATTGTGATTCCCTATCATATAACTACAAAATGCCCGGGATCACTACCCTATTTTGATAATAGAAATCTCGAAATTGACAAATAACTATACTCGCGATTTTCGGAATTATGTATTTATGCAATAACATAGAAAAAAATGTAAATAATTTGTGATAATCAAAATAAAGCAATAAAAAATGCTTATTAAACATATTATTTAAAACAGAATATTTTGTGAATACCATGCATGGTTTTACCCGTATATCTATAATACCATTTAATATTTCTATAGTATATTTGTTTAGCATTCGGGTATGCTTGTTAGTTATGAGTTTATACCGGTCCATGATCGATAACAGTTAACAAACAAGTTGGATTTTTAAAAAATTCAATTCTTTTTAATTTCTTTTTAAGATATTTTGTCGTATCATCAACCGTTATTCTGATGTATTTTAAAAAAAAAACTCTAAAATAGTACATTTTTCAAAATAATGAAATATTCCATATGTTATTATTTTTCTTAGTAAATAACAGATTTTATTAGAATTTCATATTTATATTTTTTATTCAAAATAAAAAAAAATCCTTTAATTTAAGTTGTGTATATTTTTATGATAGGTTCAATAGTTTATTGATTATACCCAAAAAACGAAAAACCAACACTATTTTGCAATTTGTCAACTCCATTTCATGCACGTGAAGGAGGTGAGTAACCATGACCGAATTTAACTCAAATTACTTTCTTATAATAATAAACAAAATAAAAGGGTGAGGAATCAAAATTATTAATTTTTTTTTCTTCACCTATAGGATTGCTGTATAAAGATACATTTTTAAATATCTAGTTAAAGATCAGAGATAATTGCAGAGAAGTTATCTAAATGAAGAAAAAAAATACATCAGAATTTAATTATTTAGATAAAGATAAAATTATAGTCCATCAACTGTATCAGCATTTGTTGAATGATTTCAGTTTTGTAGGATTAGTAGGATATGCTAATATTATTATATTAATACGTATTGTTATTATAATATTATACTATTATATACTATTGTGCATTGTATTGATGAGCCAATGAGAAAACGACTCAGTTGAAATATTCTGTCTTAGACACATATCGATTGTACCCTATAATATACTTAAAAAGTATAAATACTAAAATTTTAGCGCAGTTCATCGAAATTGTTCTTACTAGTAAAAAAAAAAATCTCTATACACGTAGTGTCACAATGTTGTTATACTAAAAATTATAGTTATGTATTATTCTGGACTTCGGTGGAGTTTATTCGCGTTTCGGACATGGTATTTCTTTCATTGCTTTTTGCATTCCAACATTTGTTTTAGTTTTACCATCAACGTTTTAGATTGGTGTAATTGTATGCGCTGCAAGTCGGGATAATTTGACAAACCATTGTCGACGAGGTCAATATAACCTTGGAGAACGTGCGTTAGTCTTTTTTCGTAGACCGCTAGTTCAATAGCCACCACCGATAGCCGGTTGTCGAGCGAACGGACTTGCGTGGTGTAATTTTCAACTTCGAACTGACTTGTAAGAGCGTGGTCCTTTATCACTTCCACGATGGGCAGGTTCCGGTTCTCGGTTTCATACCAAAGCTCTAGTGACGTGAGCTCTTCGGACCAGTCAGCCTCTAGGGATGCCTGTAAATGTAATAGAGCCCTACGATTGTCTTCTTCCAGGGCCTCCTTTCGTTTATCCCGTTGACACTCCCATTCTAGTTTTTCTTTCAGGAATTCTTCGTATAATTCAGCCCGTGCCAGTTTCATCCGGTACCGAAATTCGTTGTTTAGTTCCCTGTTTTTCGTGGCCATCAGTGTTTTATGGTCTTTGGTCATGCTTCTCACCATCTTCACCACTTCAGCCTTGAGTCTTTTCTTGCATTCGTCCATAATGGAATTATCGATTAAAAGTTTGGTTTTCTACAATTTATAAAAATATAATACCAGTAAAAAATAAAAGAAAGAACGGTATAGCTGGTGTAGCGAGCATAGTTGATATATAGCAAAAAAAATGAGAGAGAATAAATTGAGATGATATGCCTGATAAAGATCATGTTAAAATATGTAATATGTATGAAATAGATGAATGGTAGTTGTAGATCAGACTGCCAAGCGTGAAATAGAAGGAAAGACAAATAAGTCAATAATATAAGTACTTATCACTTGTAACTAATTGTCCTTTAGTCTTTATAGGAAGTTACCGCCGGCTGCTTACAATAAATTCATCTTCATAATCATTTAAAATTGCAGCCGCTTCGATTTCATATTCAATGTCTGTTGCTGTTCTAATTTTCAATATTTCGTCGTCCATCTTGTGGTTTTTTTCGTCAATTAACTTGTTTATTTTCAATCGAAGCTCTTCGTTGAGTTCATTTTCTCGGTCGGCCATTGCTCGCCCCTTAAAACGCTCTCCATGACCTGGCGTATTAGGTATATAATATTGGTACATTTGCCACAATAGATACCAGTAGTAAAGCCGTAGCAAGAGTATGGTGATTAAGGCATTTACCTCAGGCGCCATCGCAGTGGGAGAACTAAACATTAACAAATGATTTAAACTAAAAATATTGGTTTAAATAATTTCAGGTGGCACTTAAAAAAGTCTTACTTAAAACAAAAAAAAAAAAAATAATAAAATTTAATTATTCAAATACTTACTCAATATTAAGTATAATTTTAACGCAAGTTACTCAGTGCGTTAGATAATTCTATTGTTGTTGAAATATTTTTATGTGGGGGGGGGGAATAAATTTTAAATTTTCGAGTATCATACACAAATATTATAACTGCATTAAATTATGATTATGCAGCCTGTTTTATTGAAAGAGAAAAAATATACCTCGCTCACCACATTTATTTTATAATACATCGTAACCATTATACAAATCTCGTCCTATAATAAATCTTGGTCTGTGCTTTAGATCAACATAAACGAATATATTATGTAAGATGATATTATCAAAAAATAATCTACACGCTATTTCCTATACAAAAAATACGATATTACGTGATTATAGTTTAAATCAATAATATATAAATTTACTAAAAGTCCAAAATAGTAATATACATTAAATTTTAAAGTTTTTAAATTTTAAATTTTGTATTTATAAATAAGTATTAGGCTAGAATATTAATTTATCTGTTCAAAATAAACAAATATGGATACCAAAATTTTTATGAATATTTAGATAATTGTGAAATGAATGTAATGTTCACATAGATGAAATTAAGGTTTACTAATTGATATATGCACGATATAAAGTAAAAATTTCAAAAGACGTTTAATATTTTTATTAATTTGATAGCTTTACTAAAAATACCAATAACCCTGTGTCAGCCACCCTTGCAACGCCATTTATTAGATCCAATTGTGAATCTAAACCATCCAGGAAGACAGGGTCCCATTCAAACACACACAAAAAATGTCATAAAAATCAATCCAGGTGTTTAGTGACACACACACAGACAGAAGAAATATTTGTAAATAAAGATAATAAATGCTATAGTTATTTCAACGGGTGTAAATTATTATATGAAAGTGTACTTGTCTAAACTTCAGAATCTTCTAAAAAAAACCTCTAAGTTGATTGGTACGCAATACCATATACCAATGTACCTATATATCAAGAGACGAAGGGTCAATAGAAAGCTAATAACAGAATGTAGTCACTAGTTTAAAAAAAAGCTGACCTATGATAATGGGGACGGGTGCAGTCACTGTTATAGGTAATTTAATGTGCATCTGTTAGCAACGATTAACCATTGATAACAAAAAACGATTATGAGCGGAGTTCAATTGATAGTGTAGTTGCTTTGTCAACAATATACTTGTCATATAATGGTAAAATAATTTAAAATTATGTGTTCAATATTATACCTATTTTTCCATTTTCCCGAATTTACCATTTATTGGGAAAACTAGTGAGAAAATCAAAAATAATCTTTCTAAAGTAACTCCCCAGTAAGATTTCCTTTTAGAAAATTGCTATCATTATAAATTGGAGCAAAATTGCTGATAGAAAAGTTGTTCACAAGAAAATAAAGTTGTAATAAATTGTTTTCATCTAATATCTACATTTCGTACATTTTTTCGTTTTTCCTCCGGTTTTACACGGTTTTTCTAATTTGTTGGAAAAATTCTATGAAAACTCGAAATACGACCTCCCTATACTAGTTTTCATTCAGAAAAGGTGCTACACTTAAAAATCGGAGCAAAATTTCTGGTAGAAAAGTTGCCCGTAAATAGAAAAAAAAATATTTTTGTAGAACCATAAGCTTCTTCACTCTACTCAGAAGCTAAAAGATTGAACGTTACGTTTATGTTCGATAACCAAATACAAATAGTACGATAAACGTATTCACGATTGAAAGGAACTATAGATAGTTCTTTAGTCGAAACTAATGATAAGGCTAACGGGGAGATGGTTGCTATAATAGCATTAGAATAATAGTAATTTAGTATCAATATTCAATAATTCAATATATTAGTGATTTTACAAGACCTTTTGTTAAAGGTTTAGAAATAGTTTAATGTAACCATATTATTGAATAGGTTTAAAAGAAAAAAAGACGTCCTAGGATAATAGGGATTGGTATAGCCACTGTCATAGGTAATTTAATGCATACCTGTAAGAGTGTAAGTAATGCGATAAACCATTGCTAACAAAAAAAGGATTCTGAGTAGAGGTTAGATGATAATGATGCTATGTCAACAATATATATGTCATATTATAGTAAAATAATTAGAATAGACTCTATGTATTTTCTTTAATAATATTTGTTTAATGTTGTACCGATTTTCTCGTTTTTTTAAAAATTGCAGGTAGAAAAGTTGTGCATAGAAAAAAAAAAGGCCGTTATATATTTTAATTAATACTTACATTTCTTATATTTTCCGTTTTTTTTTTCATTTTTTAAATTTGATAAGAAAACACTTGAGAAATTCAAAAAACGACAGGTTAAATAGTGTTGAATAATGTTTAATAATTAAATAATGTTTATATCCTACCTTCCCAACTTCCCACCTAAAACAATGGCATACCCGTTCCCAGTATCAGCTCTTTTTTTTTTTATTCCATATATGCCCCTGAAAATAAAACCTTAAATAAATAAATACATGTTTCTCTAAAAATTCAACAACATTTTAATATTTCCAAAATAGAAAAGTTTTGTTAGGTGTGGCATCGGGTACATTACTAAAATTTGTTTCAGGTGTCAGAAGAGCTTGCTACGGCTCTATCTAACCAGTTATGCATGAAGTAAAGACATAGTGTCAGAAAAAGAGGAGGAGGAGGAGAAGAAGTGATTTATTAGTTAGCCTTAATTCTTGTGAGTTTTCGTTTTATAAGATACAGGTATTACTGGGAATCGACCTGATATTATTATTGTTTTTTTTTTTTTTTTATTACGCGTTATTGTTTTAAAATTCAACGTTGTCTCTTCGCCAACGTCCACTTCCGAAAGTACAATGTGCTTTCGGAGCACATTATCCACGCTTACGCCAAAATAAGGGGGTGGCAGGCCACCATTTGATTTGAATTTCAACCACCAAAGCACGTTTTTGGGGATAAGGCCAATCACGACTTCACTGAGATTGGAACCAAGACATTGTCTAATGTCATTCGGATGTGGGTATTTGTTTTTCATCGTAGCCTCGGCTTTTTTTAGTTCATCGTCTGATCTGTCTAGATACAATAATTTCGTTTTTATATAATTTTGAACTGTAGCTTAAACTAGGTATATGTGTGCATATGAGTCATGCGAACGGGTACCCATAAAAATCTAGAAATTGGAAATCTGGACCGTACAAATCTGAAAAATAAAATTTTGAAATCCGTAAAAATCTGGATAGTACAAAATTAGACCGTATAAATCTGGACGGTAATAATCTAGACTACATATTATAGATATCCGATTAAGGGGTTGGGATAGGCCATAATAATATGTTTTGTGTAGATTTGTACGGTCCAAGTTTGTCAATCTAGATTTCTACCTCCAGATTTTTACGGTCTAGATTTCGAATTTCCAGATTTTTACGTGCCCCCAAATTTTACATATATATTCAACTTCTGATTTTTGGGATTTTTAAGTGTAGTTAAAGCCGATATTTTCGAATACTTGGACTTTTCACAATATTTAAGGAGTATCCTTTGGTGATACTAACTTTTGTTTTTAACTAATACTCCATCTATTTATGGACTTTTTAATAACGTGTTGATGCCCGTATACAGGCACATATCCAGAATTTTATTTCAGGGAGGACTGACTAAAATGTATAAACATGATCAAAGAGTAAATTAAAAATAGCTGCTGTCTTAGGATTATGGAGACGGGTGCATTATTAACACGTCGCGCGCATGATACTTCATCACCACTCTCTTGCAACCCAAATTTAAAAGTGGAATATCTCGTTGACGGATTGAAAGAAATCAAAAATTTGAACACAAAAATTTATTTTAACTATTATTACTCCATCTATTTATGGAATTTTTAATATAGGTTGTTATTTGAAAATTAAAAATAAGTAGTGATTTTACTCTTAAAAATAAGAGTTACAAAAAATAACATAAATATAAAATTCCAGAGCCGCTTGTTTCTTAAATGTTTTAAAAACAAATTCCCGAAATAGTTAATAATTTAATGAGATAATGAGTGTACCCTCTTAAATGAATCACTCGGTATATGCAAAATTTAACTAAATAAATGGGGTAAGTACGTTTAAGTCAGGTCCACATTAAGACGAACATTGTTGTTAAACATGTTAAACATGTTTGTTTAAAATGTTTTCTAACTCGACGAACTAGTGCTACTATGCTTTGAAATGTTCGACAACAGTGTTCGTTCAATCTACACAAAAAATTTTCCGCCTTATAAATTGACAACTTTATAAATATTTCTCGCTCGCATTTCATGTAAGTACATCTACGAGTATTTTAGTGCAAATTTTAACAACAAAAACAATAGTTGTTATTAAATAATAATTATAAATTAAATACATATGTTTTTAAATCTTTAATTCTCTATTCAATATTTAAAACTAAAGTTTTAAGTTTTAAATAAATAATAATAATTCAAAGTGCCTATGTTAGTTAAGCTTGATAAATAATTAGTAATTCTTATGCATTTTTTAAATCATAATTATTTATTTAGAAATACTTTTTTATTTAAAATTAAATACATTTTATGTATAAATTGTAAATTATAACTCATTTGTTGTCGATCACGTCCACACTGTAGATGGCACGGGTGTTGTCAAACAGTTTCTATTATGTTCGTTCAAATACCGCCTGTTGAGCGAACATTTGAATATTATACTCCCACACATAATAAACCCGTAGAGATTAGGGGAAATATTGTCAACGAACATGTTCAACAACATTAATCGTCCTAGTGTGGAACCCGCATTATTGAATCACCCTATAAATAGTTTCTTTTCATTATGATCTAGCTATTTTCTCTTAGGATTTAATGTAAATGTGATTTTGTTTAATATTCATTTTACTTTAGTTTTCAAATTTTTTCACCTTACCTCTTACACCTTAAATGATTATAATATTATAACTATAATATTTGTCTTAATGATTTGATATTGAATTCACTGTTTATGAATAAAATTTAATATATAATAATATTTAGAATGGAAACTGGATCAGAATAAGTAAGGTATTATAAAATAATTGATCAAAACACTAATAATCCTAATGGATTATGATACAAGAATCACTAGGTATGTATAATAAATTGTTACTTTATCAAGTATTATTTAAAAACTTAGGTAGGTACCAAATAAATAGGTGTTTATTATTAATTATTTATCTTTAAGTTATATAAGTAGCCAGTAGGTGCCTCCTATGTTATATTAATTAATAGCTATTTGAGATATTAATTTTTAAATAGGTAAACGTGGTATGCATGTAAACAGTAATTTACCAATGCAATGTGTCTAGCATGAGACAATCAAATTAAATATTAATTAAAACTGTTAGTTTTTTCGTCTATGTAATCAAGGTAACCCACATGAGTAAAAAAAAAAATTAATTTTCGAATTAAAAACCAAAAATCAAGTGCCATCAAGAGGAGTTAAGTTCTGGAATAAAAATAGCCTAAATTATGCCTCAGTAAGTATTTAATCTTAGAGTTAAAGTTCCATGGAAGTTTAGCTGTTTCTGGAATTAACCAGACAGAAAGCCATTTATTAATATTATTCTTACATACTTGGGTATTGTATATGGAGTTTTATAGCTTGGAGATCATTACTCTTTCTTGAAGTATTGCAATTCATTTCTGTTTTAGGTAATATTAATAAGATTAATACTTCGTATTTTTTTTTTTTAAATATATTTAATTTGAATATGCCTACATAACGTTATATTATTTTGTTTAACAGTTATTGTAACCATGATGATTAAATTATATAATAAAAAGAGCCGATACTACTATTGGTATGTCACTGCAGGTGTGTGTATATTCTCTGCTTCTATTTCTATTTATTATATTGAAAAAGTTTATGACTGTTCAAGCAACAAGTGTAGGATCTGAATGGATATTCAGTAGAAGTGGATATTGTGTTCTAACTGGCTTAAGGTTTTCATTGAAAAAATTAACATGCTAGTTAATTAATATATCTTAGCATAAACAAAAACTATGGTCACAAACTAATACTTTAAAGTTTTGGTTACTAAGGTTACAACAGAATGTTTAATAAATACATAAAATATTTTCATTCTGTACTTGTATTTGAAACATAGAACATGTATTGCATTTTTATTCAAAAGTAAATCTTCAAATTAACTATTCATCAATATAAATTCAAATATTTGTAATTTAAGTTTTAAATATAAAAATAGAGAGTAAACATATTTAAATAATTATTGTGTTAGTTTTAAAACTAGGGCTAAAAGTTTTGTTTTAATTAGTAATGATAATAGGATGACCAAAAAAGGAAAAATTTTGAATAATGATTAAAAATTTTGAATGATTAAAAAAGAAATACATTTTCAAAAATATAATTTAATTTTGTGTTACCAATGGCATGAAAAATAGATTTTCTATCGATTTTCTGGAAATTGGTGTAGGAATTAACAATTTTATAATAATAAAAGAAGAAAGTATTGAGTTGGTAATATGAGGTAATTATAAATTTAAAAATTATATTGGGATTTAAAAAAAATTCTGGTTATTACCTACCTTAATAATATTTAACATAAATCCAGAAAACCTTTATAAACATAAATACACCATAAAAAAAATATAGTGAATATAGGATTCTTTAAAATTAATCATAAACCTATTTTAAACAAAAATAATATTACAGTTTTAAAAACATCTGCAAACTGCATTGAACATATTGTATATTTATACACCTGATGTAAAAGGTATAATAGTCTAGGAGTAGTAAAATGCAAATTGATTTTTCTAAAATATAATTTTCTTTTACTTCGATAATTTATTTAGAAAAAATTGTTCACATCATATACACATAATGTAAAAAAGGTGGGTATGTGATAGAATTAACTAAACAACCTAACCTCATCTGCTACATTGATCCTTACAACAACAAAACATTTATTTAAACATTTTTTTTTTCTTTTTTCCCTTTTCCTCAGGCCAGCAATGCTTGACATCTCGGAAACATTTCTTCATGAGCTGTCATGTTCGCTCATCACTCTAGAAAGCTGGTGGTGTCCCTCTTCTGGTAGTCTACAACTTGCATGGACGGCTACTGCGTTATGATGAAGTTATTTGTTGCATGTGTACATATGTATATCAATACATGTACCAAACGCTAGTACAAACCATTGTATAAAACACATAAGAGCACATCTTAAATAGTGGTCCAAATCCTAATGCTAAAGTGGTGACCAATTATAGGAGAATCTTGATACTTTATAGTAGCTAGTGGTGTGGTGAATGAGGTAATGGAAACTTTTTTTAAGAGATTTATTTATATGCCACCTACTTGTATTACAGTTTCTAAGAAATTAATAAAACACCCAGTGTTAAATCTTTAACTATAGTAAATATACAGCCAATGGGCCAGTCAATGGTTCTGTAGGTAGGTGGATATTAGCAAAAATACTTGCTTCTGAAAATATTTGAGTTCTTCCCACTGCACTGGTACTAGATACCTAGGTCCAATTAGTTATGGATAACCCCCAATACAATCTACAATGAAAATACTTCAACAAATGTAAAATAAAGTTAAATAAATAAATAAAAAATAAACCATAATTTGTCTTTTTTTAATAATTGTTTTATATTATAATTATTATTTTAATGACTTTTTCTAATAGATACAATTCACATTAAAGCTACTTACTATATAAGTTTTTAAAACAGTAAGAGAAGCAAATAATATGTTATATGAAAAAAAAGGTTTTTCAGCAGCATTTAAATGTTCATTATAAAGTTTAAATAAATACATCCATTACTAATAATAAGAAAAAAATTATTACAAAAAAAAATTATTAATAATAGTATATAAATTGCTATAAATTGGTTACAAATTAAAATTGTATATAATAATTTTCTAATCTACACTAAGTATAATCTATTAATAAATGAATTTCCTTATAAATATATTTTTTTTATCTTATTATAGGAAACATACAGATTTGTTTGATTTAAAAATCATAACAAATAAATGTTTCTACGTTTTTGGTAAATGGATATTTAGTTTTTTTTAAATTAATTATCTAACAGATAATCCTTAACCAACTTCAATAAGTCTGGTGGCAGTAATTCTTCACATATTTGAATACACTTTTCTATTGTGTCTGCGTATTTGAAGCGTTCTTGCAATAGAATAACAGATTTCTTTACATCCTCATTTTGACCAATGGCCTCAGATACCAGCTTCTGAAATTGAATGTCCTCAGGAAAACCTGTCTCAAGAAATATTCAAAATAATATAGATTTCTGATGTAGATGAATCTAAAAATAATTTTACTATATACAGTATGCATTATTATCATAGTAAGTGTATTCAAATTTTGAAAATGTGTCCCTTGTAGGATTTCTCCTTACAATTCAAATATTGAACTCATTTTTAACTATATAGATAACTCAACATAATAATTATTGGAAATACATTTTTGTTTTGTGCATAAATAAAATATTTTATTAAATGTATGTTATATGTATAAAAAGTACAAATGTATATGTTTTTATTATCAACCAGTTGAAAAAAAATGAAAATAAAAACAGAACTAATTTTTTAAACTGCATTAGATTCAGAGCGTAGGGTGTGATCTATTGGTTTGCCGAAATACAATTTTGTCTAGTTAGTGCTGAGATTTCATTTTTTGATTTTCCATGGAGTATTTAATATAATTGGAAAATACCAAAAAATTAAATTAATTTTGGAACTTATATTTTCTACTATAAATACGGGTCCAATAATTAAGCAGCAAAGATCTTTTTTGTTGTATTTTTATTTAAGTCAATGAATAAGTAATTCGTTTTTGATTTTCTTGGTTGTTTTAATAATTGAGCTAAACTAAAAATAACATAGAAAGTAAAGGAAAATTTAAGAAAATAGTTGTTACTCCAATCAGAAAATATAAATCCCAAACCAAATCTTATGTTATTAACCTTTTATTAGAATCACAAAGTACCAGATAATTGAATCACTTTTATGAACATTCTTATCATTTTTTAATGGTATTAGTGATATGTATTTATACTGTATTATTGTATATGTTCCAAAAGTTACTGATTAAAAGAATCAAAATGGCCTGAACCAATGTGATCACATTGAGTGAAACTCAATGTATTTAAAATTTATTTTTTAAATATAATTCAGTTCAAAATATTCGTAGACTTGCAATTTTGGCTGCATACTTACACTTGCTTTTTGTAGAGGTGGTAAAATTTTCAAAACATTTAAGGCATTTTTGAGTTATTTATAGAAATTTTAGTTTTTTGAGTTTTAAATTTTTTTTTTTTTGGTTGTAAACAACTTTTCTTCTAGAATCTTGTTCTAATCAAAACAATTATTGCTGTCATGAAAATTTTTCCCAAAAATAAAAATAGAGACTATTGCATTGCACTGCCTGTTAAATTTTTCTATTTAAACACTTTAGGTGTGTATACTCATTTAAGATATCAAGTTTACAATAAACCATTATACTCTCACTTATAATAAAATAAATTATAAATATATACAGAAAATGTATAGCCTCATACCTGTCAGTGAAGATGCAGAAGAGCACAATAAATTATTAGATGTTTTGATGGATAAATCAAATATCATTTTTATTTTGGTAATTTTGGTATGCATTGTGAAACTTTGTTTTGGTTGGAGTCTTGTATTGCCTAAACATATAAAAAACATGTTTATTGATTGAATAATTACAATAAAGTTTAAAATTAAATTAAATTTACTCTTGAAAATAGTTGGTAGTGCATTGGCACAAAGGACTTTATTTTCATAACTAAGAAACATCTCTTTTCCAAAATGTATTGAACATAAATACAAACAACATTCGTGAAGTGATTGTAGGTTTGAAATGGGTAAATTTCTGGAGCCGCACTGTTCAATCCAAGCACTACATCTGAAAAATTACAAACCTAATATGATTAGGTAACATAAAAATGTATAATCATTTTTTTACTTGAAAATAAGATAGAACTATTCTAGGTGATTTACATCCACAAAGTTAAATTGCTATCATAATATTATATAATAACTATTTATCAAATAATCATTACTATATTCAAAAACAAATTTGCTTATATCTAAATTTATTCACAATTAAACTGATTAAAGCAATTTAAGGCCTGTTCTCACCAATATAAATGTTGATTTTTAAACTGGGTTGATAAGATATTCAACCAATATTGGTAAATCAGATAAATGCCTTTTTTTTTGTTGGTGAGAACAGCCCTAAGGCAGTTTAGATATTATTATTTTTATGAATAATGAATACAAAAATACAATATTGCTACAATATTTAATAAAAATATAATTTCTATTTTTCCATATGTTATTTAAGTTTCTAACTAATGTATTTAGTATATTCCCTTTTGACCATGGTAGAGACTCCCAGGCAGCAAATTTTTCTTCCCCTTCCATAACTGTGAATCATGTCCTTTTATATGGCTATTTTGATCACTTTAGATATTTGTAATAGGCTAATAAGCGTAATTAGTGTGATGTCATATTATCTGACAAAAATCCTTATCATGTAAGATTGGATACAAACAAATAACATAATAAATTTAATATACATATTAAATACAATTGGTGCTAGTGTGCTTCCTTAAAAGATAATACATAATTTTGTCTGCTCCGTCTGTTTTTTTTTGTTCTACAGTGATACAAAAACCAATTTAATCTTAAATAGTAAACCAATCATTTTTGTAAACTTTGCATCTTTAGTAGATCACATATTATACAGCGCAAAGGTGGATAAAATCCACATATGTTAATAAATTATTTTCAAAGACTCTATCAAAAAGGTTGAGTGTTTTCCAGTATTACTTAACAGCCATAAAGCCAGCTATAGGCAGCTCCTTCAGAAGCATTCTCTTAAAAATATTATGTGTGCTACAATATTCACACTAATAGGCAAATTAAAACAATATTAACAATAGATTTAGGTCTAAAATAACTGGGTAGAGTACGATTGCTGCTTATCGAAGGTACCTTTTTCAACCTTTTTCCTAACTTGTTACGCTGGGAAATCACAGGCGAAATTGGAAACGATATTTAATTTAAAATAAAAGTTCACATTACTTATTATCAAGTAGATATAAACTGTAGATTAGTTGACCATTCAGATCGAGTGTAGTTTGCGTTGAATTGTGTAGTTTTTGTAAAAGTGACAAAGTTTAGTTTTAATATAGTGAATGAAACAGTTAGAATAATTACGTTGGAACGTGGAAATGATTTAGCATTAGTTGGCACAAAAAATAACGTTTTACGATAAAGAAAGTAATGTAAGATAAAAGGCGGAAAAATTATCCTCCTTTCCCAGATTCATTGACTTGTGCTATATCTCAATTGAGACAAATGGAAGAAAATGATTGTCTTAAATTCAAAAATGAAAAATTTGTTCACGTGCCAGATAATTTGCAATTTATTTGCATTACAACGAAGACAAATATTGATATATTGTTACAGTGTGAAGATGTATTTGTAGATGGTACGTTTGATTACGCACCTAAGTACTTTATGTAACTTTATACAATACACGGATTAAAAACCGATTATTATTTGCCTTTGGTATTTTTTTTTTTTAATTGACAAATGCTAAGAAACTTATATTCAAATGTGGGCGTATTTAATTAAATTAAGCTCTACATATTCATCTGAAATACTAAATATAAAACAATTGCATGTCGATTTTGAAGTTGCTGCTCATGAAGCTACAAAAACGGTGTTTCCTGAAATAAAGATTATTAGATGTCCATTTCATTTAGGTCAAGCTTGGTGGCGTAAGGTAAATACCTACCTAAAACATTATAATATTTAAAAAAATGGATCATTATTAATCAATTATTTGATTGATTAGATACAAAACCACAATACTTTATGAACATCATATATTAATGGAGACGAATTGGGCCAATGGTTAAAGTCTTTTTTTGGACTACCATTTCTACCATTCCAACAAGTTGAAGATAGTTTTATTCAACTTATGAGTTCATGTCCAAATGAAACTAAAGGTCATATATTTGCTGAAATATGGGCAAAAGAGCCATCAACTATACTAAGGTAAGTTTGATTAAAGACATTATTTTATAATTATAACAGCTAAAAAAAATTAATTAAATTAATAGAACAAATGGTCCAGAGAACTTCCACAAGATGTACAGTGGGCAATTTCATTGTGCCCACCCACCAACACATGTGGTTATATCAGTATTAACAGAAATCCAAGTCAAAAGGATGACGAAAATATATTCAATTTCAAAAGAAAATAGTAAAAATATGGCTGTAACTGATTTAAAACGGATTAAAGCTTCTATTCAAATGTATTATCAGTATGAAATTGGCAAAAATATTATGATGTATTTATCTAAAATTGGCTCGATTAATATTTTTATGATAATGTTTATGTGATTTTGTAATATTTATATGTATTTTTAGGTCGATATTCTTTACGTTTAATATATTTAACAATCAAGCTGATAAGGAATACTTGAACGAAAAATTGATTTTATAAATTTGGCAACGTAGCATACGCTATTGTGTCGTTTTATGGTTTTTTTTATATGGGTTTCATTGTTATACAGCAAACATATACAATCGTGTTCCTGAAAAGGTAGATCGTTTGCTATCGGGTTCTACCCAAATAACTTGCATCCACAAAGGTACCTGCACACTAGATCTTTTTTGTAGAGTAACTCTAGTTACTCTTTTTAGTCTAGGTAGTGTACACAAAACCTGGATCATTCTAGCAGTTGCTTCTCTAAACTCTAGATAGAGTAAACAGTGTATAGAGATAAGACACTCCAGCTAGAGTAGTCTAGATTTATTCAACATGATAAATAGAGTAAATACAGCACAAATAGAGTGCAGGCAAATATCAAAAATGTACCTGTACAGTGACAATCAATATTGAAACATATACAGTTGTTTTTTTGATTTTAAGTACCCAATTTTTTCAAGTTATATTGTTTAACATTTATTTTTGAATGTAAGATAAGTGATTTTGTGTGGGACAAACAGAAAATATATTAATAAATACTTGGTGTAATTTTTTCCAAAAGATTATTGTAATCAGTTTTAAACATTCCTATTAAATTTCATACAAATTGTTATCTACAAAACTAATTTCTTTCAGCAACTTTGCATGCTTTGTGTCTTTTTGAAATCCAATTTCTTACCCACAATTTTTTCATTCTTTTCTTTTTTCAAATTTCCTGTTTTTTTTTTTTTTTTTTTTCAATAAAATACAACTGCATCTGCAAAATATTTAGATCCGACATTTTTCGAACAAAGTATTGTCATCAACTACGCTCTAAATTATGTACAAATATACACAGATCATAGACTGATCTAGTTAGAGGTTTCTCAGAAACTGTTCTTTCTAAAGCAAATTTCTTTTAGTGTACATACATATCTAGAGCAGTCCAACTAGACTAGGACTACTCTAGCTAGATTTTACTCTACTGTGTACAGGTAAATCATGGAGTTTCTTATACTTCAGTAGTGCCACAACATGTGATTTAAGCTATTATGTTAGGATAATGTTGGATCAGGATGCATGGAGTTATTTAATTTATACCTGTAAGCACCAATAAACAAACGATTCTGAGAAAAGATCAATAAAAAAAATCTGCAAAAATAAAATGCCTATAAATAGCTCAAAAATTAATTTAGACAAAGCAAATATACATTTTTTTTATTAAAATATCAAGTTTCTATAAACGTTTTTTAACTGAATCACAAAAAAACAACAAAAATTAAAAATAATGAAACTATTATTTCCATAAATTTTCCACTATTTTATGGTTTGCTCAATTATTGAGAAAACTATACAGAAAATCTAAAAATTACTTTGTTGTTAACCAATTTGATTGAAAATGCAAAAAAAAAAGGTAAATTGTCAATTTTTGATTGGAACAAGTTTCCTGTTCCAAGTTGTTTACAGACACTAGAAAATAAAAATAAAACACCATAGTAAAACTAATAGATTCCTCACTCTGAGTATGAAAAGTTCCCAGTTTCTAAATGATATATTCGAAACTATAAACTATAATACCATAGACAATTTAATAGATTTTTTTTAAACTAAATATAATATGTTTATGAGTAGAATTATATCTAATCTAACCTAAATTAAAAAAATTAAATATCTTAATTTGTAAATAGCTAACAGGATATTTTAAAAATTTGTAAAGTATTCATATTTTTTTGGTATATATTTGTAGATTTTGAGCACAGCTCAAAATTTATGCATTATTAATATAGAAAAAAAAAAAAAAAATTTAATACAAAAATTACAAGATAGCTGTATTTGTAGCATTTTTGTTGTTTTCATTGGGTTGGTAATTTCTAAACTTATTGGGTTTCCTATATATTTATCTCATATTTTCTGAAGTATAATGAACATCAAAAAAATCAAAAACGACTTTCCCAATTCACCAACTACATTCAAAATGTTACAAAAATCTTTCTAGTCTTTTTTTGATTAGATTAAGATGTATAGTAAAAGTGTTCAGCTATAAAATAAAACTAAATATAATAATATGTACATATAACTATTAATTACTAATAAGTAATAACTACTACAATATACTGAGTTAAAATCTAAAAAAGGTATAAGTTATTATTATTAAGATAAAACATAATAATTCCTAAAACATTCTAAATATAAAACGAATTTGATTATATTTGGAACAAATATTTCTTACCTAACAAAATCACTGGGGAACCGGAAATAGCATGTTGGTATAGAGTTATTTTCATCATAGATTTTGGTAATGCAGTTTGTCAAGGAACATTGTACACCATAAACAGGTTTTGATTCATCTGTACCAGGAAAAACCTAAAAAAGTTGAAATGTAAAACAACAGCAAGTCTAACAAACTTAAAATTAAAATGTGTTGTCCAATTTATTTATTTATTTATGCATTATGACACAGCTAAAATTACCAGCTTTATCAGTTCAATAACCTATAAATAACAAAACTATACTTAAAAATCAAATACCATGTGTTCAATTTTAAAAGTAATAAAATTTCAAATGCATGACCTTGAATTTGATTTCTGTTTTTTTTTTTGTTGTTGTTTACAGAACAGTGAAACATATGTATAACATACAGATTTAGGAGGTGACATGGCAAAGAAAAACGGACATACTTTGTACAATGTATGAGCCACTGTTGTAGGTAAGAAGTTGGGAAGGTAGAAGGAAAATTTAATGTGACAAAAATTTTTATCATTGCTAACAAAAAACGATTCTGAGAAGAATTTGTTTATACATAATACATTTTATAAATTTCCCCAGTTTTCCCATTTATTATTAAAAACTTTGAAAAATTAAATAATGGCCCTCTAAAAATACTACCCCTTTTCAGATTTCTTTTCAAGAAGTGTTACACTTGAAAACTGGAAGAAAATTTCTGGTAGAAAAGTTGGTCACAGGAAAAGAAATAAATTTTACCATTGCAAAAATAATACAATCAGAATCTAAAATTAAAACAAGCAGAGAAAAGTGTAGAACACTATAATAGTGAAGCACTTAATAGTTTTTAGATTTTATATGTATTTCTGGTTATTTTTGTCCTTACAATTAACTTTATTCTTACTATTGTACATGTAATTTATCATAATTGGTATTCAAAATAGACTGGTGTGATGCTGATATGTACATATAAATTTGCAATTTAATTGAAATTTTATTTACTGTTAGTTCACATTTATTACTCACCTGTTTATGTTGGTCATAATTGGTGTCTGTATGAGTTACATCAGATCTGTAACAAAATAAGCAACATGGAAAAATGTATTTGTTAATTTAACTCAATGCATTGAAATATATAAATTCATCACTTATAATACCAGAGAAGTAAACAATAATTACTACAGATAATGTAAATGTATTAGATATAATTATAAATAATTATTTAATTTACTTATTATATATACAACTCTAAATTTATAATTTTTCGGCAGAATGATTATAAGGTTTTACTTAAATTATAATAATTTTTTAAATGTTTTCTTAAAGATTTTAATTTGTACCTTTGGTGTTTGATTGAATATAATAATATCACTGTAATTTTTTGTTTAAATTCCACAGGAAGTGTTTTATGGCGAAGAATAAACTTGAGTTACTTTTTTTTCATGGGAAAAATCATTATTATTGTCAATATCATTAAAACTATTGTATACAAAAATGACTTAGTTCTATTTTCTCGAGGGGGGAATGTTGAGTTCAAAATAGAAGTAACTAGATTTACACCCCCTTCCAAAAACATTATGGTTGAATCAGTCTTTCAAAAAACACAAAAGTTGTTAATTTAAAATTTTACAAAAAAAACCTAATTACTCCAGAAATTCAACTTTTTTTGCACTTACACCTATGTACTAATTTATTTTTAAAGTTTCTGATATTCATAATCCACAGTTTTAAATAGTCTAACATTTAAAAAATGCTTTATGTTGAGATAAAACATATTTGATTCACATTCTTTTCGCAGAGAATAGAAATGTATAATATAAAATCTAAGTCAATAAATAAAATTAAATAGTTAAACACAGAAATGTTATTAATATTGTTACACAAACTGAAATATTTTTTTAAAATAAAACAAAAACTTAATTTGACCAAAATATTAATATATGAACGTTTTGGAATGAAGCTTAATATTAATCAATATACAAAAGAAAAAGGACAAACAATGACTTGTGTAGTTTTTGCAGTTAATCTAGTTTCTTGTAGTAAATATTTGTATTAAATATGAGTCTGACAAATGTAGTTTTTACACAGAATACATAACTAGGTATATAATTATCAAATATGACAAAAATCTGTGACTACGTCTTAATTGAAATGACTGATTCAGTGATATTTTATTATTTTGATTTTTAACCTCTCTAGAGTAATTAAGTTACTGCCGTCTTCAAGGTAGATAAAGAAAAAAATATTGTTATCGAATTTCATTAAAAATGAAAAATTGATAAAATTTGAGTACCTTTTCATTGGGGAAGTTGATATATATATTATACATTTTCAATCTGATCTATGATTTTTGCATTGCATTATAAATGTAAATGATTTCAATATAGACAAATGTACACAAGTACTTATCTATTTTCTTTTGTTTTTAATTATGGCAGCCTAAATTACAACAAGACCAATAAAATATGCAAAAATAAGATTTTTTAGAAAAAACTAAAAATAATGTATAATACATAATATTTTCACACAAATATTACTGATTAAAATATACTATAAAAATACCTTTACAAAGTGGTATATAAAACTCTTGATTACATAAAAAAAAATGTATAGACATTATTATTATTATTCACTATTTTATGAACTATAAGTATTATATGAAATATAATTCTAGAATACTATTCAAGTAATCTGACATTTTTTTATGAATATTACATAAAAGTAAAACTGAAAAATGTTTAATACTCACAGATTTTTGATAGTGGATATTTGTTCACAGTCTTCTGGAATCCAGTCTTCAATATGAGGCTACAATAGAATATATTAATGAATATTTAAAATAGTATTTACAATAAAATAGTAATTTTAATTACCCCACTACTACTGTCAGCTTGCTGTTCAGTCACTATATTATCAATCCTGTAACAAAAGAATTTGTTTATTTAAAATATTATAGTTATTGATTAGGTAGGTACACTATACACAAATTCATACAATTTAATTGTATGATATATTATAAAATAAATTTATTATATAATAGTAGGTACAACTGATAATTACACAAAATTGTTATTGTAATGATAGACTATAATTTTGGTTATCTATAATCTCACATTTGGAAGCCAAGTTCAGTTATACATGCTAAAAATGTTTTAAAAGTCAGTAATATTTATGACTTTTGTGGAGATTTGATGTTAAAATCCTTATGTATAAAAAAAAATTACTACATTACATTTAATTTATTTTTTGACAAATAAGTATGATTTAAAATGAACCTTCTGTCATATGCTCAACAATTTATATTAAGTCTTAAACATTTTATTTATAGAAAGTACCCACTATATAAAAATGATGTAAAAAAACCCACAAAATTTAAATGCCTATAAATATCTCAAAGAGAGCTCAAATGTTTTGAAAATTTTAATTAAAGTTTACCCCATCCCATAGTTAACACTAGTAGCACAGCAGATTCTAAAATAATGTTTACATACAGAGTGCAATCTCAATATTCCAGTGTTGTATATATAACTTTGTACATCTCTGTGTAAGACATTCCCTCCAATATCATTATAAAATTAAATTTGTGCATAATATAATAAACATATTATACTTACATATTTCTACCTATGCATGTCGGAGAGTATGTTTTATTATATAAATTGATTTTGCCACTTGTTTGGAATGAACTGTCTGGTTCTATCTCTACAGAATTAATCTGATAACACACAAAAGAATTATTATATACATATAAAACTTATTTGTTTGAAAAAATAAAATAAAATAATAATTTAAATTACCTCGCTAGTATTGCGCACATGGGTGTTATTATTTCTGTAACCACAAACAAATTAATAAAACTAATAAGGTTCAATAATTGCTAGAATGTTGTAAAAATGTATATCTACAAAGGTCAAATATGATTCTATAAATATATCAGTTTTAATGATTAATTTTAACCAAATTAAAAAATATTTCCATTTTTTTTTTTTTTAACTATTTAGAAAACTACAAAGAAATATAAAGACGTCTTAATGCACTACTAGAAAAAATGCTATACATAAGGGTCATATTTCAAATAGTCAAATATTGTTTACATACAAAAAAAAACTATGATGTAACTATGTAAATTCAATACATTTTTAGGTAAATTCAGAATAAAAAAAACTAGTACACTATTGCAAGTATTTTGTACATTATCTATGCTCTTTGTACAGGATTTCGAATGTAGAATGTATGTCCACTGTTGTGAATAGAATTGATGACAAGTATAGAAGTTAGGTTATTTAAATGTAATTTAATTTTTTAAAAAACCAAAAAAATTGTATTTACATAAATCAAAATAAAACTAAAACAAAATTTCAAATTGCTATAAATAGCTCAATAATGCCAGAATGTTTTGAAAAATATAAATGATAACATTGTTTTTTTAAGAGGACACCATCTATTGTCTTAGTCCAACTACAGGGCAACACACATAAACAATGCTTACATAGAATAAGTAAATCTAGCTTTATTTTTATTTTTGAGTAAAAGTACCTAAAGTAATTACAAAATTTATAGAAAACAATATTTTGGAGGGAACGTCATATGGTTTTTATATTATTCAAAATATACAGCTCAATATAAAAAACACAATAACATTTATTTTTTTATTTTTTAAATACTTGTAACTTTTTTAAGAGTTCATAATTCAAAAAACACCAATAACATTCCCTCCAAAATATTGTTTTCTATACATTTTATAATAGGCACTTTTATTTGTTTTGGATAAGCATTGTTTTTGTATGTTACTAGGTATTTGGACCGATACAGTTAATGCTACTCTATTGGCTGTACCAATAAATATACTGAGTGTTATGATATACTCCAGACAAAATTTTATTATAATTATTTTTTAATAAGATATATTATCAACACTGTTTAAAACACTTAAAATAAAAAACTGTCTACATTATATTAAACAATTTTTTTGAGAATTAAGTATAACTTTACTTATGATAATTTTTTGTTAAATTGTCTAATCATTTCATTAAAAAATATTGACTTAAAAATAGCCAAATGTTTGGCTACCTTTAGGAGGGGTTAATAAAAATATTCTCTGACAATTCCAGCTCTCCAAAATTATTTATAACAGAATTACAACTAAAACACAAAATGAAAAACAATGAAAACATTTTCTACAAACATTCTCGTTTCTTTTTTCAATTATTAAAAAAACCTTGGAAAAGTCAATAAAGTAAGTAGAGAAAATTCAAAACATGATGGTCAGTAAAAAAGATTTTACATACAGGAAAAAAACACATATTAGCAAAACTCAAAAATTCTTCTTATGCTTAAAATAAAAATAACACAATTATTGCTCCCCTCACAGAAATGTTTATCACTTACGAATTGTTTTTCAGTGTACTTTGAGAGTTTATTTGACTAGTTTCAATAAGTTCATCATCAGTTTTAAGTTCACTGTCTGGTTCAGAGGTGTCTTTATGCAAAATCTAATAATACATTTTTGAACAATCACAATTATTTATTAATACGAAAAACATTATTTGCACTAGGACACTAAAATATTAATTTTAAACTACCTCAATCCTATCATCATTGTTTTGAGATTCCATATCATCATTTCTGTAAAATAAAAATTTATTTATTAAAATAAAATAACACAATAGTTAATTAAACTTCAATAAAATATTCCAATACTCACACATTACTGTCTGCTGTATTTTCAGAATCTGATTCAACTTGTTGAGTACAATAAAGTGCTTCAAATTCTTCCCCAGAAGAAAGCTGAAAAATGTTTAAAAACCACAATAAATAATTATATCAAAAAGTATTAATACTAAAATATTTAAATAAATTACCTCCTTCATAATATCATTGGAATCATCTGAATTATGACACCTTCTGTAACATGAAAACAGTAATTGTTTTAATTAAACAAAACTTTGCTTAAACATTTTATTACATACCCCTTGTCATTAGTTGTCTTTCCATCATCCCTTGGTAGACTATCTGAATCAGAGTCCTCTTCAGAAGAAGACTAATAAAGTATTGAAAAATAAAAACAACAATTAATGAAATTACATAATTTGTTGTAAGGTACTAACATAATTTTTTTAACTACCTCAAAATCATCACTACTGTTAGTATTCAGCCTGTAACATAAAAATGTTTTATTAAAAATAACACAATTATTGATGCCACAAAATTTAATTCATAATTTATTTGAAAAATTAATATTATATACAACAGGTTGTCCTGTATATAAAGATATACCCTTTGAATATCTCAGAAGATAATAAAGATAAATAGATTCTGTTTTTATTTTTTTTATTAAAAAAAAAAAATAAATTTAAATATAAATATTTGTAATCCTATTCCCCGTGAGTTATATATATATATATAAAAATAATTTGTTTATTTTTATTACCTCTGAAGATATTTAAGGGGTATATCTTTGTTGGACAGCCTGTATAAAAAAATATATACTTTTTTTAATTGTTATTGGTAAACAAAATATTCTGACCGAGTTGGTGGTAACTTTTTCAATTGTTATTATAAGTTCAATAGAAATACCTAAGAGTATAATAAAATACAGATGTATCTATTTTCATTAGTTCAAATAGTGGGTAAAAAAAAGGTGGGCTGGGCCACCAAACTTGAAAAATCCACACAGGTGTAATGTAAACTTGCACATTTGTTTTTATGGACTTGCAAATTTAAAGTGTAAATAAAAGATGGGCAACATGAAGTTGACTGACCTTTCTTTATTTTTGTTCTTTACTTGAAAATAATAACTTGCAAAATTTAAAATCTAACTTGCTAGTTACTTGCTGAATGTTGATATGGGTTAGATTGATTTGAGAGAAAATAGGTGGGCCATTTTCATGGCAATCAGACATTTTAAGCAAATAATTTCTTAAAATTAAATGAAAATAATAGTTTAAAACTTACACAAGTTTTCTGTCAAATGAACTTTGAGAGCCATCATCAGGGGAACTATCTCCATCCGAATCTTCATCAAAAATATTCTAATAAAATTTAATACAAGTAATAAGAATAATGCAATTATTAGTTATGAGTATTAATGGAATAATAGAATTTGTAAAGTATCAAAATATAAATTATTAATTACTTCATCCTCATTATCAGAACTGTCATAATTCTTTGCATTTCTAAGTTCATTACAAGTTTCTCTGATTACACTGTCGAGGTCAGAGTCCATGTCAGAGTTAATATCATCATCACATTCACAGTCATTAAGGTCATCTCTTGGTAAAGTAAAGATTTCTGAGCCAGAAGAATCCTTATATACACAAAAGCAATTAATAAAACATTACTATTTGTACCAAGGCTTTATAATAAGCTCTGAAGTAGTAGACTCTAATATTAATTTTAAATTACCTCAATATTATTATCACTGCATTGGGACTCCATATTATCACTTTTGGAATAAATTTATTTAAAATTACACACTTATTGTTTAAACTTTACATAAATATTCCAATACTTACACATCATTCTCTATTGTATTATTGCTGTCTGAATCACCAAAAGACTAATAAAATAATAAAATAAAAAAATAATCTTTATTAATGAATCATTTCACTTTTTTTTTCTTGGCATGATTTTATGACATTTATTAAATGCTGTCAGTGTTGGAAAAAAAAAATGTATGAATGACCATTAATTATGAAAGTATATGTTTAAACTTCTATATAATACAATAAGTAACCTATAATTTTTTTAAATCACAATATGTTATGACATATAATTGCCACATACATAAGAGTTAAAAATAAATAATATTAATATGATTAAAATTGATGAAAGAAAAATTCTGCAAGTGAAATAGTATTAATATTAAATTGCAGCTCTGTTAAAATTATATTATATATTTTTATGCCATAAATATTAAAGAATTTACATAATTATTGTTTTATAAACTATATTTTACATATTTAATTCTTATGAAGAATAATCACTGTGGGTTTTTTTTGTCCAACACTGGAATTTTTTTAATTACCTTAACACTATCATTTTCATTGTTTTCAAAGTCTGTGTCATCATTTCTGTAACATGAAAAATATAATGATCTAATAAAAAAGTTTGCACATAAAATCAAAGGGTCTTCTTTCAGGGGTTAAAATAGTCTGAGCAAGTGATAGTTTGGGTCTTTAGGTACACCCAAAATGCATTGTTTTTTCTTGTTTAGGTGAAAGGGGGGGAAAAATGCAAACAATTTTGTTCAAAAACAAGGATTGAACTCAAGCCCTTAGGATATAGACATGTATAACCAATAGATCACATCAAATATTAAGAGATACAATATAGAGTTATTTAACATAACATACAATATCCACATAATAACAGAACTTCAAAATGCTATAATTTCCAAACTTAGTGTCAGCTCAATTCTGACTTCACCATCTTTCTTAAATCAGCAATATATATAAGTTCAGAAAAAAAAAAGAAAAAAAAAAAACATTGAAAAATTATATTAAACGATTTTTGTCAAAAATTGATATTAAAATTCTCTTATAAAAAAAAAAAACTATATTAAACTCAAATTTCTTTTTACCACAAGGTAAGACTCTTAATGGACCTCCTGTAAAATCTAATATTTTTACCAAAGAGTATCTACCAAATAAAAATTACATACGAAACTCTCAAAATTAATATTTTTATAAATAGCTTAAAAATGGTTTTTGAAAATTTGACAATGTCTAGAAAAGGCAAACATAAGTTTTTTCTCCAAATTTCTGGTGTCTATAAATATTTTTAACTAAATTACAACAAATAACAAAATTTTAAAATAATAAAAACATTACTTTCAAGAATTTCTGGGTATGTTTATTCGCAGTTGATTAGACCCACCAGTTATAAAAGAGTTATCATCCGAAATATATAATATAAAATATAGATAAATGTTTAACTTTTTTTTTTTTTGAAAATGGATATTAAATATTTTAATTGTCTTGAAAGTTTTAGATAAATCATATTAAATTCTAATCAATAAAACAAATGATTTTAAATCTTTTTTCAACACATTTATTGAAAATAGGTTTGATGAAACCTATTTTCATTTTTTATTTCAATTTTATTATTAAGTATTACGAAGTATTATAATATTGAATATACACTTCATTAAAAGTCAATTGTATTCTATTATCAATATTGTATGTGTGAGAGTGACCTTTACTAACGATTCGACACTACTGTCCTAGAGTGAATATTGGTCCATCATGGATAGCCAACTATAGCATAAATGCACATTGTACAATTAACTTGAAATTTATTGTGTACCTATGCAATCACGATGAATACATTTTAAAAAAAAAAATTAATTACACGAAAATTGATTATCAAGTGCTCATTTTCACTTACGCAAAAGATGCCCAAATCTACTTTAGAATAAGCTCTGTTAACAATACACTAAAATATTAGGTACAAAACGTACAGAATCGTGTTCTACCTGAGGAACAGGTGGTTGACTAAGCAAGAGAAAGAATGGGCTTGAATAGATATGACTATCAACAACGAATATTTGTCACACCAACTAAGATTCTTATCTAGATTCAATATAATATTTCTCTAATACGTAGTCTATATAGGCCAGTGTCCACAACCATCTGCCACTTAAATGACTTTTGTTCTATTCTTTTATTATTTTTAATATATGTATTATTTTAATAATTAGTATGGCTCTGCACTACAGATAAAATATTTTTAAAAAAATTTAAAGAGAGGAACTTAAAATAAAAATTCAAAATAGTCATAGCTACTGATTAAATTTTATAATAAATTATAAACCAAAATAATATTCACATACATGCAAATTTCAATTAATTGTATAAAATAAAAGACCATACCTAAGTTTCTAACTCCAACAACTTTTTAAAAACAAATTTTAAAAATTATTATTTTAAATTTTTTTTAAAAAGAATTATTGAACAATTTTAAATTTTATATTTGAAGTTTATTCACCCAAAAAAAAAAAAAAAAATTAATAAATAAATTGTAAATATTAACTGTAGTTTAGATGTATACTAATTATTTAAATATATATTATAAATATTGAATAAAACAAATTAATTTCAAGTGGCAGATTATTTTGGGACACCTGTATATTATATATTTATACATAAATTATACTTCTGGTTATTCTCTTTATAGACTTAAGGGTTGAGTGAAAACCATGTCCAATAGTTTTTAAGAAATTTCACATTCTTCCTTGCAAGCAATCCATGAATCCTTTTAAGCATTTAATTTAAACAATACATTTAAAATTATAGAACCCTGCTATAAATACTTTTCTTCATTTTGTAGGTAGTTTTAATGTATAAGCACTTTCGGCATTTTGATAAAAATAAAGGATTAAAACCGGGAATTACAGAAAGCACACACAAATGCACAGCAAATATTGTAACTGAAATAATGTCAATGGTCATAATCAATATTTTCTTATCTTGGTATAACTATTTCACCAATTATTGATCTAAGATGATATTAATCCATACTAATAAAATATAAAATTTTTTCTCATATTACAATAATATATATTTTAAAAAGGTAAAAAAACAAATGTACCAAATTAAAATTGTAAAATAAGCCCTTAAAATAAATAAAAATAAAAATGGGGAAATATGCTCCAAAAAAATTAAATTTTTTAAAATGTTGTGTTATAAAACACATTTTGTGATCACTTAGTATGTCATACGATCAATCATTTACGTATTTACGTAAATGCATACAAAACCCCCTCTACTTATAATGAATCAAATTCTCAAGCCTTTATGTTAAATGTAAAAATTGGAGCAATTTGTCTGGTAGAAAACTTGCTAATAGATAAAAAAAAAAATAAACATCTTAGTGAAACCAAAAGCTTCTTCACTCCACTCAAAATCTAAAATAGAAAATAAATAAATAAACGAATGTCGTTGCCTGAAGTTTTGTGATATGTGTATTATACAACATATTATATTAGATAGACAGACTGAATTTATTGATAATGTTGTCTTAAAAAAAAAACAGGCCATTTTTATTTTTGCATTAGTAGGTATTAGTAGGTATAATTTCATTATTTTTATATTTAATTAAAATATTATAATTAATTATTAAACCTTTCAAATTTGGAATTATTTTATGTTAAATTCGATTCCGTTTATTAAAATTTAATAACGGATTACTTAATTAGACAAAACAATTTTTTACATAATACTTTGGAAAAATTTGTTAATTAAAATAAGGTGTTAGGTTTTTAGTTTTCATTTGAATATGGTCAAGACATACTTTCTGAAAAGTTAGAGACCTTCAAAATAATGAAAATTGTATTGCACTATATTTGTTGAGTTTTCCTATATTTTTCTATTTGTGTTCTTTAATTACTTATAATATAAAATAAAAAATTACATCCTTAATATATCAACATAATAAAAATTCTTACAAAAAGCTTTTGTCATTAAATAGAAATAATCTCTAGAAGAAAACTTGTTTATAATTAGAAAAAAATAAAATTTTAAATTACGAAAATACATATTTATACTCTATTCCAAATAAATCAGTATATATATATAGTATATATTATATACATTATTCTCAAACCATTGTTATTATAACCATTCTTATACAAAAACCGATAACTGTTGCCAATTAGAGTGCACCTACCTGTACAATTTGTTCCAGACTTATTTGGAATAGAGTATATACAAAAGCAATACATTCTTCATTATAATCAGTCTAAAAACTGTAATTTTATAACTTTTCAAAATAATCAATATTTAATTACTATGGATATATATATATTTTTTTTAATTATTATTGAGTTTAATAGCTAACATTAATAATTCATATAATGATGGAAAAAAAATATTCCAGTTTTTTTTTAATATGTAACATATTTGTAATATCTGAATTGGTAATGTGGAATTCACAGCAATTTGAACCATGCATATAAATAAGTTAATAATTATTTTTTTTTTTTGCAATATTTATTATTCCTTCTTCTTTCTGTATTTTAATGCACAGAAACACTACTGGTTAATAAGTAATAAGTACTGTTGACTAACTCATTTTATCAACTTAACTATTATACTTTTAAACTCCAATATAACTAGCTAATTGATATAATACATTTATACTGTATTAAAACAGACAGGGTTTGTTTGTAATAATAACTTTAATTAGTTATATAATTGTTTAAAAATATTTATAACAAAAATAGATAAACATTAAAAATGAATAAAAACAAATTAAAATTACTTTATTTATATTCATAATTCAAATTGCCTCAGTAATGTGCACATTACATTAGCCTGTAACATAAACAGACTTTTTAAAAACTGTTATTATTAATTTTTTTTAAATATACTGTTTTTTTTTTGAGGCTGGGGGGACATCAGTTTAGAGAAAAATTAAATTTTTATTATTATACTCAAGTCAGATAAAAAGTTTATTAATATATTCACTTTAAAACATTTTCAAAATAATCATTTTGTAAAAGATATTATTCTAAACTATGTTATTGAATCTATCATACACGTATTTGATCAATAGTTTTTTTATTAAAAACTTTTTAAATTTATGTAATTCATATAATTCCCTACACGCAGTATTTTATTTTTCACACATTTTCTCTAGAAATTTAACTTGCTGTTACTAATTGAAAAACTGAAATTATTTATCAGATATGACAGGTTATTTCCATCATTTTTAAAAAATTAGTCAAGTTGTTAATATTTTGAAATTAAGGATTGAAAATAAAAATTGAATTTTTCTCTAAAAAGGGGTTCCCCTTATATCCACTTAAATAAAAGCAGATTGAAGCAGATTTTTCTTAAAAAAATAATATTAATTCCTCTAGAAAAACAAGTGGAAACAGGGTGGTTTCACCCTGTGTTTTATTTTGTATAGGTATTTTTTTAGAGATGTGATAAATGTTTTAAACCGAACCTAACCAAATTGGAGGTATTCGATTTGAAAATCATTTAATACCAATATATAATACCGACATCAATACAATGTTCCATGGTGGAACAGAGTGGTTTTGTTACGAAAAAGAAAAATTATTTTTTCATAATAATGGTCTCATAATTGCAAATCGGTAGCTAAGCAGTTTGAGAACCTAGGTTTTTGACCTAACCTAATCTTTTTTATTGTATGGGTTCGAATAAAAATGTGTAGATTCCGTTCGGATTCGTTAACTTTAAGGTAAGTTCAGTTAAATTTGACCTTAAAAATCAGAATTCATAACACCTCTAGTATTTTTATAATGATAGTAAATTGATTCATTTTTTTTTGTGGGTAAAATTTTAAAGAAGAATTAGAACCCTAGATACACCTACACATTGTTGTCCATTGTAACACTTTGAGAGTCAGTTTCATTTTGATTATCATTATCATCATTATTATCTGAATCTGTTACATCACTTTCGGTATCTGCTACAGCATCATTATCTTTTTCATCTGTGTCTTGTGGAGAGTTGAGAGATATCTAATAAAATACAAATAATAATTAATAACTTTTTTCTTTTTGTATGTATAAACTAATCAATTATGTATTTTTTTAATATTACCTCATTATTATCATCATCGGTTTCTGACTCTGAATTATTATCCCTGTAACATAAATCAATCCATTCATCAATTTTAACCAAATAGTAATGTAAGATTACAGCAAGTATACATGAAACCAGATATAGGATATAGAGCACCGAGACCAAAACAATTACATGAGTGAGATAAGAATGGGCCAAAACAAAGGTGAATATACAAATTCACACAGAAAAATCTAATGTGCCTTATAAAACAAGATACAAGAGAAAAGACATATTTTTCATTAATGGGTGGACTACTATTGTAAGTGAGAAATTAGGAAGGTTGGATATAGAGAATTTAATGCATATCTATACGCATCGATTAATCATTGCTGATGAAAACCTTTAGGAAAATAAAAATGACCTCCTTAAAGTACTATCCCAGGAAAATTCTTTTTTAGAAAAAGTGTTACATCTGAGCATTATTTCTAGTATAAAAATTGTTAACAGAAAAAACATGCTGTAATATTTAAGATTTTTAAATAATACATTTGTACATTTTCTTATTTTTCTCATTTATTGGGAAAAATCAAAAAATAACATACCACCCCAGGAAAATTCTCTTTTAGAAAAGGAGCTATACTTGACACTTTGGAGCAAGACCTAATTGATAGAATTTTTGTACAGCATAAAAATATAAATAAACATCATTATATAATTAATACATTCTAGAATCTAAAAATTAGTTCAAGATAGGAATAGACTGAGACTACTCAATTTTTTTTTTTTATAGTTATAATGCACTTTTGAACCACTTTTTTGTGATAGCTAAAAGTCTAAACTGATAAGTATAGAACTATAATAACTTTCAAATATGAAGCATATTCTATATTTAGAAAAAATGGTTGGTGTGTTGCAGCATAAGTGCACAGCTTAACCATTGGCGACTATAATTTTATAGATAATACTGTCAACAAGGGAACTGATGTTATAAAATGGTCCTATAAGTATGATTTTGTTTATCATATTATTTATTGCTTGATCATAGTGTGGTGGTTCATGTGTGTTTAACCTTAATGTTTTTAATCACATTTGATAATTACATATTGTCTGCGATAGAACTTGAAGAATCTGATGAAATCTGAAGAGTTTGAATATCTTCATTAGACTGTTTACTCGTTAACCATGTATTCTTTGAAGATGAAGACTAATAAAAAACAAAATAATAATAGTAATAATAATTACTTATTAAGGAAAAAAACAATAATTATAATAAACCTATTATTAACCTTATATAACTTTATATTGACAGATTTTTTCTCATCCTTTTTGGGTTTAATTCTGTAACAATAAAAATATATTTGTTATTTAAAATAACCCCATAAATTTATAATAATACCTACATATCTGTATTCACTGGAATGCATTTTTCAGTGGTATTATGTTTCCCATCTGAGTTGTCTGATTGAGAACCCTCTTTGGACATCAACTAGTAAATTAATAATAATTATAAAAAAATATGCATAAGCAATAAAATACTAATATTATTTTGAAATTCATTTCACGAAAACACCTTTTTCATACATGTACAATTTTATTCTTCTTCTTTTTTTTTAATACCATTATTTAAAATCAAATATAGGCGTTAAATGTTGCCTGTAGGATGTTGTTACTAATTTCAATAGATCAACAGTAAAAATAGTAATCATTTATTTCATATCCCAGTGGGGATAATAATGAAGTACAAGTGGATAGATGAAAACCAATTATCAGTTATACATCAGTTTTGAGCTATGTCCTGCTATCACTTAAAAACTCAAATATATCTCACTATGAAAAAAAAAGGTGACTGTAGAAATGGATTCTATCCAAAAAGGACAATGTCAATTAATCACAGCACAAAAAATCATCGCTGTAAATCAAACATAGAACACAATAACCAAAATCTTACAAATTGTACGGTAGAGCCATTTTAGTAATAATTTGCCTCAGGTCATTTATGGGTTTTTGCAATTTCAAAGATTAATTCTAAAAATAAAAAATAGAAATATTTCAAAAGTGTGTAATAATCAAAAACTCTATGTAATTTAATTTTAATAAGAATTAAATCAATACATGAAAAAGACACTAATATACTTTACATGATGGGTGGGCCACTGTTTTAGATGAGAAGTTGGGAATGTAGAGGGAAATTTGATGTATATCTGTAAGAAACTTTTAACTATTGCTAACAAAAAATGTACTGCTTATTTTTTATTACTAGAAATATTGGTCCAATAGAAAACAACAAGTGACCTTATTTCATTGCATTTTTAATTTAATTGATTAATAAGAAAGTCGTTTTCATTTTTCTTGTAGATTTTCTAATAATTTAGTAAAATCAAAAAATCTACATACTAAGAATATTAATAATGTACTAAATGTAACTTTCACATTATGATAGGTTGCTTAAAACTAACACTAATCAACAAATTTTACGCTCTAGCAGGAGTAGCACACCCAAAGACAAATCACTAGCAAAACTGAACAAAGCAGATATAGGATAAAATACACTCAACATACAGCTTTCCTAACGAAAACTCGTTTTAAATCAAAGAATAGCTTTTTAAAATGTACCAAGAAACTAAATAAAACCCCACAGACAACAAGATTAAAACTGTGGAGTAAAAGAAGCAACAAGTTAATGAGACATTATCCTGGGACATGAAAAATAGATAGTTGGAAGATTTTCAAACCACTTATGTATGGACTATTGGAGTTGGACAAATGAAAATTTAAAATAATTTATAAAAAGGAAGCATTGAACTGTGAATGTGGAGAGGTTAAGACAATAGCACATGTACATCTACTAATTTACAACACCTGTAGGGAGATATGAGTTACCCGACATAAAATTCATAAATTATTATAATACCATAGACATAACTTAGTATCAAAGCCACACAATATAAAATAAAATTCTACTATTTTTACTGATATACTATGTGTATTAATAATAGCTTCACAACAAATCACAATTAAACAATGTTCACATTACAAACTTGCTAATCACAGGTTAACATGTGCTAATACTACTAAAAATATATAACAACAATAGCCATTAGACATAAATTATGTATTAATTGATAATCATGATCCAGCAGAAAAGGGTAAGAAGTTATAAATACTTAATGCAGATATTAATAAAAATGCTAACAGCCACTAAGAAGTAAAAAGACGGCTCATCACAGCAAACAGGTGTTACTGTGGATTTATACTATTATTCAAGTCAAAGCTTTTATCAAGAAAATCAAAAGTAACTTTATATACAATTTTAATCAAACCAGTAGCCCTGTATGCAAGCAGTACTTGGTCCACAACAAAATCAAATGAAAAAAAAGTAGAAGTATTCAAAAGAAAGATAATGAGGAAAATAATCAGCCCAAAGAGAAACAATAAGGGAGAATATACAAAGTAATAAAAATCAGTAAGAACTAGATAACCAATTTAACATTGTTGTAACTTTGAAAAGTATGTGAATAACAGAAGTTAGGCTGGCCATGTATGGAGATTAAAAGGACTAATTGGACAAATAATCTCGTGGAAACAGAACACAAAGAGATCCAGACCCATACAAAGATGGGCAAACAGAATAAACAGCAAGGGACGGGGAGAAGTGGACCCTGTATGGTATTGCAGCAATGTAAGTAGTAGGGCAAGTAAAACCAAAGGCCAGTAGAAAAGACGAAGAAGAATCATGATCCAGTATTAAGGTTTATTTCATACTAATAACTGATAATAGTCTACTACAATCAAAATCTCAAAAAAGCAAATACAATTATTTAAATTAATTTTTATGATATATATTATTTTTAATTAACTTTTTGACTAATTTATCATTGTTACTTCAAACTTAAAATAAATATATATATATAAATAATAATTCCCCTGTTTTATTGTATTTTATCATTGAAAAAAAATCCTAATACTTATTATTAAAGCCATAACTTTCCTATTGACAACTGAAAAATGTTTAGATATCAAACTATAATTTAAAAAAAAATGAAAACTATTAAGTAGATAAATTTAAATTTTGAATATGATTCATTTATAATTCAAATTATTGTATAACTTTTCAGATTTTAAAAAAAGCTTTTAAGTCAATAAGTGGTTTCATTGGAGATAATTAAATACTAACAGTTGTATTAAATGTTTAATCATATTAATTACCTCATTATTTTCTTCTTCAGAATCTGTTAGATCAATACTGCAACATTAAAATATATTTGTTATTTCAATAACATTAATTTATCTATTTTATAATTACATTAATGTCTCACTTACAAAATCAAATTGTTCTCAGGAGGATCTTCTGCAACTGATGAACTATGAAAAGTGTTTGATTCTGGAAAAGACTAAATTTAATTATAAGAATTAGTTACCTAATGAAACAAATGTGTTAGTAATTTATATTAGTTTTAGGTGAGGTATTTTTGAAATGAAAAATTGGTCAGAATTGGTACGTATTTTTGTCCCTAGAAATACAACCTAACAGTTTATTCTATTGTTGAGTGATGATTAAACAATAGGAAATCTGTATAAAATATAAATAGATACTATTTAAATATAGTTTTAACATTGAACTTTGATCTGTTATGCTTAAACAAAATTGAACAAAATTGTACAATTTTTTTTTCAAATTATAACATGTTAATAAAAATAATGATTTGTCAAACAAGGCTTGGGCGAATTGTTCAATTTCAGATGTAAGTAAATACAAAAGATTATAGGGTACTATAGGTGGGATGATGTTAGCAGATTATATAGCATAGAAAGTAGAAAATCTAGATTAAGCTAATAAAAGCTTGAGGAATGTAGCATTTGAAGGAAAGGGAATAATGATAAGTAAAAATAAACAATGTATGAGTATGATAGAACAGGACAAGACAACTAACCCAATTAGTAATAGGTAAATTTGAGAATTTAAGGTACCTAGGATCCTTTGTACAAAATAATGGTGGCTTTCATGAGGATTAAATCATATATCAGATATTTCATCACATGAAACATAAAATTAAGACACCGAGTGTAGTTTGATAAAGTAGAGAGAAGCATTATAGTGATCCAGAAAGTATGTTTTGCACATCAAAATTAATAACCCATGGTTAATACTTATACATAACTAGTGTATACTATATAATATAAAAGTGTATGGTGTTTATCATTTTACATAATACTTAACATTTATTTTATTATTTTACTATAAAATGTCATATAAATTGTTGACAATGTATCACTATTAACTGAACTCTAATCAGAATCGTTTTTCATTAGCATTGGTTTTTTGTTTCTTATAAATATACATACAATTTCCTCCCTAATTTCTCACCTATAACAGTGGCTACACCCATCCCCATTATACTAGGACAGTTTTATTTTAACTAAAGAACATAACAAATTCAAAATGTCTGTTTTTAATTGTTTTATATAATTTGTATTCAAATTTTTATAATCATAATTTTGTATAATAGAATCCAATAAATAATTTCTAGATTTGATGTTTTGAAGAAATAAATGTCTATAATTTCTTAATTTAGAAACAAGTTTTTAAAACCTCAATGTTTCTGGAAAAACATTATTTGAGATATTATACTATAGCAAGTGTTGATACATATTATATCAAGGTAATTGTAATTTAAATAACCATTCAAGATATGTTCATAATATGTGTCAATTGCATCAGAGTAATGGGAAAGTTATCTAACTTTCAAAAATTGTATTTTATTATTAAACTATATATTGTAATTACCTCATTACTTTGTTCATCATTAAAACTGTTATTTGTCAAATCAATTCTGTAACAAATAATAATTTGTTAAATTATAAAAGATATTTCATGATCAAACAAAAGATTACAATATAAAGTTTAAAGAAATATATATAAACCATACATATCATTAGGTGGTGATAAAATATTTGGTACTTCCGTAGTATTTTGAAATGATTGTCTGATTGTAAGTACTGGAGGTGTCTAAAAACAATTGAATTAATTTATTAAGCAATTAAATAAAATGATTAAATAACTAATTTGATTACTTTCTCGGTAATTTCATCATCAGAGCTATCTAGATTAATTCTGTAATTAATAAAATAAATGTTTAGTAAATTAATACAAAACATTACAAAATAAAATATGATTTTTAACTTACATCTCTGTACTTGTTTGAGTAGCATTTGAATATTGTTCAACAGAAAAATCATTTGCAATAATCTAAGCAAATAAAATAACATAATTAAAGTATTAAAATATTTTCATTTTATACAACATTGCAATGAAAGTAACACACATGTAAAAAATAAAAAATAACTACTGTTATTTATTAGATTAAAGTAAATCTAATTTTCTCTTGGACTTCAATACACTATTTTAGTGTCACAGTTAGAAAATATTTAGATTCAAATTAAATTAAATTACAAATAACAATATCTAAATAGGAGAATACTTGGAAGATTGTATTTATTTTTTTTACTATATTGTGCAATTCTAAGCTTGTTGTTACAAACTACATTTTGTTATACTCAGATGTACCTAGTTCCTGACTCACAACATGGTGTAAAAAGATAACCAGACAAAAAATGATGGGAATAATGAGTTTCAATTTTTGATTATTGTATAGATGAAACATATTACTAAAATAAATTTAAAGTCTTTAAAATTCATTTAAATTAATTAACTAGAACAAAAACTAAAACAAATGTATATTGTATTATATTATTTGTATATCACCTTATTCTTGTCTTCTTTTTCCATGGTCTCTTCCTTTGTTTTAACAGGACTATAATAAAACAAGTTAAAAACAAATAGTTGTATAAACTCATCCCACTATTTAAAACTTACATGTTTTGGTTTTGATTAACTTGTGATTTTTTTTTTGCATCCTCTTGTTTATCAATCTTATCTAAAAGACGATCAATGATTGACAAAGCATTTATGCCACGATTCTAAAATTATACAAATATCTATTAGAATGAAATACATTTGAATTTGATGTATTGCATATTTATGTTTAAATTATCCTTGTCCTTTTTAAGTTAAAATGTTTACATAATTTACCAATTGAAATTTATTACATAACTACTTATATTTACATTTCAATTTAAAAACACCAAAATCATAAAAATTAAAAAGTAATGTTGGGGAATTTTTGGCTAATAGTATGATCAGGATCATTTGAAAACTATTGGAAAATAACTAACAATAAATACAATTTCTGTGATATCTCTAAACCTCTAAAGATTTTACTTCATTTAATGCTTTAAATATGTATGTATGTAATCACTAATCAGGTATTTCATACCTAGTCAGTAAGCTGCAACTACCATTCCCACACAATTAAATATATATATCTGTTTAATAGATTATGTTATGCATTTCAAATACAATTTATTTTGCAATAACACATTTTTTTATGTACAGTTGTAATTACTTCTTGGTTTACACATACAGAAAGATAACCAGCAAAAAATGATAAAAATAATGAAAACTCATGAATAACCAGGGATAATGACTTCCGTAATTTCCTAGTTTGTTTAATGACTAATATTTAATGTTCAAATTAATTTAGTCTTTAAAATGCACATAGAAGTTCTAAAATAAATATTCCAATAAAAATTGAAAAAAAGAAAATTTAGTTATTATTTGTATATCACCTTATTCTTGTCTTCTTTTTCCATGGTTTCCTCCTTTGTTTTATCATTACTATAATAAAACAAACAAGTTAAAAATAAATAGTTCTACAAACTCATCATATTATTTAAAACTTACATGTTTTGGTTTTGATTAACTTGTGATTCTTTTTTTGCATCCTCTTGTTTATCAATCTTATCTAAAAGACTGTCAATGATTGACAAAGCATTTATTTCACGATTCTAAAATTATACAAATATCTATTAGAATGAAATACTTTTGAATTTGATGTATTGCATATTTATGTTTAAATTATCCTTGTCCTTTTTAAGTTAAAATTCCTACATAATTTACCAATTGAAATTTATTACATAACTACTTACATTTACATTTTAATTTAAAAACACCAAAATCATAAAAATTAAAAAATAATGTTGGGGAATTTTTGGCTAATAGTATGATCAGGATCATCTGAAAACTATTGGAAAATAACTAAATAACAATAAATACAATTTCTGTGATATCTCTAAACCTCTAAAGATTTTACTTCATTTAATGCTTTAAATATGTATGTATGTAATCACTAATCAGGTATTTCATANCCCAAACAATTAAATATATATATATATATATATCTGTTTAATAGATTATGTTATGCATTTCAAATACAATTTATTTTGCAAAAACACATTTTTTTATGTACAGTTGTAATTACTTCTTGGTTTACACATACAGAAAGATAACCAGCAAAAAATGATAAGAATAATGAAAACTCATGAATAACCAGGGATAATGACTTCCATAATTTCCTTGTTTGTTTAATGACTAATGTTTAATGCTCAAATTAATTTAAAGTCTTTAAAATGTACATAGAAGTTCTAAAATAAATATTCCAATAAAAATTGAAAATAAGAAAATTTAGCTATTATTTGTTTATCACCTTATTCTTGGGTTTTTTGTCCACTGTCTTCTTTACCATGGTTTTATAAAGGCTATATAAAAAAAAAAAAATGTAAATTAAAAATAAATAATTATATACTTGTATATGAAATGTAATAGGACTATTTGACAATTTTACATGTAACTATAATGTACAAATAATCCTGAAACACCCTGTATACTCAACCTACTATTTAAAACTTACACATCTTGGTTCATATTAATGAGTGAATCTGTTGTTGCATCATTTTTTTGAGCACAAAATGTTTTTAAAATGTTATCAACGATTGACAAAGTATTCATTGCACAGTTCTGAAATAATACAAATATTTAAATGAGATACTTTAACATTTAGGTATAAATTCATATACATTTAAATTTATATGTAAAATTCCTACTTAGTTTACTGATTTAAATTAATTACCTAGCTACTTAAATTTACATATCAGTAAAGAAAAACATAAATCATACAAATTAAAAAAGTAATATTGCGGTAGTTTTAGCCAAATAACAAAGGAAGAAATTAATTGAAATATTTCCACAAATCTCCAGATATCACCTTATATATAATATATATATAAATATGTAGTTATGTAATCATGTTTTATATTCAGTCAGTAATTTTTTAAAATTAATTTTGATTATTTAAAATAAAAAATGAAATACAAATTGAGAAAAAAAAATAAATCAATAATTTGTTTATCACCTTATTTTTATCTTCCTTCTTCACTGTCTCCTTTATCATAGTTTTATTAGTGCTATTACAAAAAAAAAGTTATTAAAAATAAATAATTGTACAAACTCATCCTACTATTTAAAACTTACATGTTTTGGTTTATATTAATATGTGTTTCATTTGTTGCATCTGTTTGTTCGTAAATCTTCTTTAAAAGAGTACTAATGACTTTCAAAGCATTTATGCCACTATTCTAAAATAATACAAATATTCAAATGAAATACTTTTGAATTTGATGTACTGTTTACTTATGTTTAAATTGTCTTGAAAATGTCCTTTCTAAAAATTTAAATTGATTACCTAACTAGCAACATACATTTATATTAAGTTTAGAAAAACCAAAACCATACAAATTAAAACAGTAATGTTGGATAATTTTTAGCAAATATTCTAAGTAGAAGTACAGTAGAATATTTGTTTAGGAACAGTATATCTAGAAAACTATATATGAGTACAGTTAGTCACAATAGATTAAATTTCTATATTTCCACGACTTTCCAAATTTTAATATAATGCTACAAATAGGTCTGAAATTATGCAAGCATATTTCAAACCTAATCAATAAGCTGCAACCGCCACTCCCAAAAAATTGAACTATTTTTTACTGTTGAATATTTCACTTAAGCTTTTTATTACTAACTGCATTTCTTTATACTTAGCTGTAACTTTTTAGTAAAACAAAAAAAAAAAAATGGCACCGAACAAGAGATCCTTCGGATAAAACCATCTGGAATCATTCTACCAAACTTTTAAATGACAAAATTAAAAAAGTTAAAAACAAAACATTCAATTCATACTTAAGTGAACTTTCTGCAATGAATAACACTGATTAAAATTAGGTCTACAAAAAAAATATTTTTAAAAGCTGTCCTGTTTTTAATTACTGATTTTATTAAAAATATGTACACAAAATTCAAATATAGTAACCATTTGGCCATATCACGTCATAATTTTTTACAATTAATGAATTTAATGTAGCATATAAAAAAAAAATGAAAATTACAAAATTATGAAGCTATTCTGTTAACACAGTTGGTATATTAATATTATTTTATATTTGACAAATATCTTTGCCTCTTTGAATAAAAACTTTGTTTGGTTGATTTTCTTTTGTACATATTTTGTGTTTTTTCATGTTGCAACATCCAACAATAGTCAGCCATCATGGTAACATTCCTTGGTAGCGTTACTCCATTTTTTTGATAACCTGGTAAAATCTTTCACCTTGTTCTACATTAACATCTCCTAACTAAATTTTTCCGGGAATTTATCTAAATGTGAAAATAAAAAATGCACTTTTATACTCATGTTGCATGATGCATGTTGCATTTAAACTTCGATTACTTGAATCTATAAACAAGCGCCATTCATTTTTATTATATTAGATATTTTCTAATAATTCATTAATCAAATTGGGAATATAGTTACATTATACTAATGATTGCTCTTGAGTAAAATATTGAACATACACATGTTCTCGATTTCTATAAAAAGATGACAATACACCTGGACCTAATAAGTTTTTATTTCAAAGTCTTGAAGCTAAAATTTCTGAAACATCTTTGGGAAGATCCAAGTCTCTTATAAGGTCATTTAATTCACTTTGTGTGAAAACTTAAAGCGCATTACATTATCCTTCATAATAATCTGAGTTATTAGAATCAATATCACTGGATTCAGATGTTGAAATGGTATCAAGATTTACTGGACATAAAGGTATGGGTATAGTAGATCCATGCAGTAGGGGTCTTATAGCAATTAATTTTTTTTATTAAATCCTTGTACATTACATGAACAAAAATAACATATCATCTCCATGATTTTTAGATTCACGCCAAACCATTGGTATTCCGAAACGAAAAGCTTTCTTCTTACCTTTAATCCAATTTCTAAGGTCTTCGACGCAGATTTTAAAAACTTTATGAGGTGCCCATGGTTTTTCTTGATCTCAAATTTGTATTCCAAAATATGCATAATATGCTTTTTTTATAAGTAGAGTGATGTTTTGTCTTTGGTTTTTCACCATAAACTCTCCACAAATGAAACAAAAAATGTCTGGACTATTAACATAACGTCTTCTTTTCATATTGATATATTTATTATACTAATAATAATTGAACACTAACAAAAATATATACTTGTATATCAAAACTGTGATACTGAATGATCAAAAATAAAATTATAATAAACACAATTATCTCCAAGCATATTTTATCAGCCAGCCAGATCATAAATATCTATAAATAAAAATTATTGATAATAAGAGATTATTAGTTGTCATACACATATAATATATCATAAGAAATAAACTGTATGTCAACTATTTCTGAATAATGTTAAATAGTGAAAACCGGATAACTTTGAAAGATTACATGACAGAAAAAACTAATTATATTTTTGTTATCAGCATTGAAAAATACATATAAATCAGCTATTCAATTTTTAACAGAAAAATCTTTGTAGACTTGTGTTATTCATTATGGAAAGCAACAAGACGCATGAAGTTCTAGAGCCTATGTACCACCTATCCGAATGGAAGATGGATCATGGGCAGGCTGATAAAGCATATATATATGCACTTCATTTATAATGTGTATTTCAACCAATGAAATGATTTCCGAACTCCACATAGCTCAGTGTCAATCACTAAATGAACTATGCAATAAGATAAAGCACATTACTCCAGTTGAAATCGCAAAATAAATTGATATAAATGAATATCAACCCAAAAAAGGCGCTTGGATACAATCAGATTAACACAAATATTCGGAAAGAGTTATCTAAAAAAGCTATAATTCATCTAACACACATATTCAATGCTATTCTACATATGGAATACATTCCTAAACAATGAAAATGAGCCCAAGTGATCATGGCACTTAAATCAGGAAAACCACCAGAACAAGTAACTTCATATAGACCAATTTCGCTTCTTCCAAGCATCTCAAAATTATTTGAAAAACTACTGCTAAAACACTTAAAACCATTAATAGAAGAAAGACAGCTTATACTAGAACATCAGTTTGGATTTTGAAATAAACACTCAACAATCGACCAGGTCCATCATGTCACCAAAATAATAAGCAAAGCGCTTGAAGAGAAAAAGTATTGCTGCGGAGTATTCCTTGACAAGTTTGGCACAAATGATTACTTATAAAACTATGTGAACAGCTGTCACACACCAGGTGTGCACATTTCGAATCCTACCTTCAATTCAGGGTCATTCATGAAGAAGCATTAACTGATTGGAAAAAGATACTGGTGTGTGTACCACAGGAAAGCGTCCTTGGACCAATCCTGAACTGANGTTTGCTGATGACACGGCAATAATGACAACAAATGAAGACCAGCATATTGCGACTGATTGGCTTCAAAGGTCCATCAACAATGTTTCCAACTGGACGAATTGGAAGATTTAAATTAACAGTGAAAAATCGGTGCACTTAAATTACACCTTGCGTAAAACCCTCTATAAACCGTTATTACTAGATCAGCAGAGCATCCCACAGTGTGACTCAGCAAAATATCTAGGAATGCACCTGGACTCTCGGCTCAACTGGAAGCATCACTTTAGACAGAAAAAAATGTGACAACTATATTGGCTGGTTGAAAAACATTCTGAACTAGAGCAATCTCACAAGCAAACGCCTCTTGTATGTAATGATAATTAAACCAATATGGACTTATGGAATTCAACTGTGGGATTGTACCAGCAAGTCCAATATTGAGATTATACAATGTTGGCAGAACATCGCTCTCCGTACCATTGTCGCAGCTAACCGGTATGACAGAAATGAAATTATCCACCGAGATATGATGATCGCTTTCGACGCAAACATGAGATAAGACTGGATCAACACACTAATTCAACTACTAGACAACTCTCTAGACATGAGGCTTCTCAAAGACCATATGACTTAGTAAAAGATTCTTAAACCAAGACTGGGCCACTCCACTGGGAGTGAGATTCCACACATGTTTATTTCATTTTTTATTTTTGTATATAAATAAATCACAAGTATTTATGTACACCTGTGATAATATATTGTTAAAGATTTATTTTGATCTTTACAATAAAAGCTTTTGGGTGGTTTAAAAAAAAAAAAGCTGTAACCTTTCACACCATATAAAAAGATATTCATGCAAAAAATGATAGGAATAATGAGAACTCATAAATGGCGTGGGAAAATAATTTCCATTAGCTTCATTATTTTATTATTGTATAGATAATTAACACTGCTAAAATTAATTTAAAGTCTTTTATATTAATTAATATATATATAATATATTTATATTAATTTAGTTTATCTAAAACAAGAACTGTAATATACATTGTCCATATCATTATTTACCTTATCATTTTCTTCCTCTTCTAATGCCTCTGTCATAATTGTTTTAGTCCTATTAAAAATTAATTAATCATAAATAAATAATTGTATAGACATTCAACACATTTTGTACTATTTAAAACTTACATATCTTGATTTGTATTAGCACTTGAATCTTTTTTACCATCGTCTTTTATATCATTTATCCTACTTTCTAGAAGGTCATTAATTATGATCAAAGCCTTTGATGAACAATTCTAAAAAAAACACAAATATTTGAATTATATAGTTTGAATCTAATGCACTTTATTTTAGAGTTTGAGTGTAGAAATGTTGAAGAATGAATTGGTTTTAATTATGATGTTTATTTATTTTATTTTACTACAATTTTCTAACAATTTAGCTCAGATTTAAAATTATAGCACTTTTTTTTGGAAAGATATCTTACTGGGGTGGCACTTAGGAGAGGTAATTTTTTATTTTCCAAGGATTTTTCCCAATAAATGTTAAAATGGAGCAAAACAGGGAAAAACATAAGAAAATCAGTACATTGTATAAAAAAAAAAATCATATAATTTCTATTTAATGAATTTACCATAATATGACATATACATTGTTGACAAAGTAACACTATTAACTGAACTCTGTTCAAAATCGTTTTACATTAGCAATGGTTAATCATTGTATATAGATATACATTCAATTTTCCCTCTACCTTCCAAACTTCTCGCCCATAACAATGACCCACCCATTATGGTAAATATTTAAAAAATAATTAAGTTTAAGAATTGAAGTAATGATTTACCTGCAGAAAATATCTGGAATGAATAACTGGAACATTTTTCTCAGGTTTAGTGATGGTACAATATTCTTCATTATCGATTCTGTTTGAATTTCCTAACTTTACTTTTTTCTGAACTTGTACATTTTTAGATGAACCAGTCCTTTTAGTTCGTATTTCTTTTAAAGCCTCTTCAATTTTTACTTTTCTTCTTTTTACAGCCGGCAAATCTTTATAAAAAATATTTAAAAAAAAAATAATACTGGCAATAAATTACTAGCTACTAGCTAGCTATGTACCTACCATAAATAAATATTAAATACAATAAGTAAATAAATTCTGTTTATCATATACAAATTATATTTAAACATTTTAAGTAGAGTCGTAAATAATAGAGTAATGTATAAAACTAATCAGTTTTATGTTTTATAATATTGCATAAACGTTTTTATATTTTATTTTTTATAAATGCACTGAAGAGCAGAGCTATCGGGTATAATTTGTTACATTCATTGTTATTAAGCTTATAAAGTTATGTTTATACAGTTCAGTAAGTTTATTTTATAATTATTTATTACTTTAACATTTTTAATTTTTAAATAATAACAAAAAAAAAAAAAAACAGTTGTTTTATTTTAATCAATTTATCAAGATAGATATGATTTGGATTTATTTACTATTTTTGAACTGAAATATATGTTAACATTTAACACTTTAATATAAATATAGAATTGAAAATACCAATACAATACTAGGTGTATATTTCATAAAAAAGTTATAAACTAAGTTGATGGATAATACCTGAATAATACTTATTTACATACCTATGAATTTTAAATTTATTTTAACTATACTAGTATGACTAAATTAATAAATCACTTAGATTGATAGATTAAATTTGGACATTATTAGGTATTGGTTTAGTTGAAACCTGCCCACGGAGTATTCTTCCACCACTCAGGTTTAGTTGACACCCACCATAAATCCTGTACTATATAAATTGTACTGTACAAATTAAAATTAAATATTTTGGATAGGTATATCTATGAAAATCACATATTGAATACATTAAGAATAATATTTTGTAAAATCCTAATAGTAATACTAAAATTAATGATACAGCCATGAGCCATATATAATATTATTTACTTAACTCAGTTAATTAGTAGGGGTCACTGAAATATTTTGTTAAAAATAACAGAATAAATGCAGAATATTGATATATACTTAAGATTACCTGTTTTTTTCTGAATCTACTTATAATCTATCAAAATTGGGGTTTCACCTGTATTTATTTATAAAAAATAAATTATTATCAGTATCATTATAATTATAACAAAATAATATGAAATTCTGACTAATGTATATTGTCTGTCCTACAAGATTGGGTCGCTCACCAATACCTGTCGCTCATGCGTAAACCCACACAGCAATGTTGCCTATCAATAACCTGTCACCACTCGAAGTCAGTTTTAACATTATATATATACAAAAGCAGCCCAATCTTTCGTGGGACAGACTATAGTCATGTGCATGATGGTTTAATTGGCAATAATTTCATTAGTGTGAAATATGGTAAATAAGTCTCGAAACAAAATGGACATGAAATGGTGGTAGATATTCAAAGGGAGCAATATCATTAAAAATCATGTTGAGAAAACAAGGGTGTTAAGACCACTAATTGGATACAAAGTTATAAGGTAAATTTGCCATCTATTGCTAATTTAATTTATGATTGAACTCATAAGCTGACATCAGAGAACTTTTATAAACACGAATTTGAACTAAGCTACTTTAGTAGACTAGAATAATTATATTAGAGAAATATGTGTATGGAAACTTTCTCAGGGATAGGTGCTGATTGAGTTGCTGAGATTGATGAAAATGTACTTGTAAGACATATAAATAATGCAGGTTGAATACTGCTGCAACAATGGGTATTTAAGGCATATGTCATGAGGACAATGAATGCTAAGTTGTATGTATATCTGATCAATCAGAAAATATATCATTGTCAATAATTTTTTAACATAATAAAACTTTTCTACAAAAAGATTTACTCAGATTTTTAAGTGTAACACCTTTTCTGAAAAGAAATCGGTGTACGGAAGTACTTTAGGGAAGTCATTTATCAATTTTTTCAATAGTTTTTAAATTTATTGTTATTTATTATTTAAACATATATTTTTTATTGTTTGCAAATATGTTAAATCGTGGTCAAATACTCCAAAAGCTAATTATGCTTCCTGTCAGAATTTTGAATGTTTACACAATATTTATGAATATAGAAAAATAAACAAAAATTATCGGAAATAACAAAAAAAAAAATGTAACAAATATCTTTAGTATTTAACAACTTAAACCTGAAACACACTCAGAAAAAGTGGATATGCATTTAAACAGTGCCATGCGGTTAATAAACAAAGTAGTACAATCAACGCGGATACCATGGTTGCCAATTCTTTCAAATATCGCACCACCAGAAATCGGAAGGAATGAAGCATTGGTGAGACTATTTATTAAGACCAATGTCTACAAAACTTAAGCCTCTACAAATACTTAGAAAATGTACGAGATATAAGAATAAAGTCAAGAAAACCACCATGGGTCAAGGCCAGAAAATTAATTCAGTCGCAGTGTCAAAAAATGGCAGGAGTGGCTGAGCAATAGGGTATTACATAAAAATTTAATAAAGGATTTGAACTTTCACGACAAGAATCGCTAATCCTTAACCGATTAAGAACTGGACACGGAAGATGTGGACATATGATGTTCAAGTGGAAATTAAAAGGACAGCTCAGAATGTAATTGTGGAAATGACAGCCAGAATGTGAGATATATAACAGATGAATGCCCGAATAGAAGCTTCAAGTCAGGCATTAATGGGGTTAATGAAGTTACGAAGGAAGCGTGTGAATGGTTAAGTGTCTTGGACATAAAAATTTTGAGTTGACTAAATACTATATAATGTACTGTTATTAATATCACTTATAAATTGTATTTAAATGTTAATGTGTTATTGTTGCCATACAAATATATATATATATATATAACAACTGAAACAATTTGATTAACATTTTTTGATGACTGTATATCTAACGATGCAAAAACATTTAAACTTAAATCTAGTGAGTACCAAATATTTTCGGTAAAAATTAGAAGTATTTATTTCGTTTAAAATCCAGAATATCGTTAAACAATTTAATATCAATGTATGGTGTCTTGATTCACCTTCTTCCTGGCAAAACAATATAGAATACAAAAATAAAATAAAAAAAGTAATATATAGTAAAAAGGAACTATATAAGGTACTATATAGAATACAGAATATGAAATGGGTACTTCATAATTAAAAAGTCATAAATGACACTGCAGAATGAACTGTCAAATTGATGAAAGATTTTAATTGAACAGATTCAAAAACCAATAAAACTCTGAATAAAACTTAAGTACATTTAATATAATTATTTAAAAAACCGATTCAATAAATATACATTAGATAATATAAATGTATAAGTTTTAAATATATTGTATAATGTTTATCGCACAAACTAATCATAATGATACATTAAATGAAAATTAAAGAAAAAAAAAAAATGATATTTTGAAGAAAACCTTTTCTTGAACTTTGAGGGCTTTGGGGCACAAATTAAACTTAACCATTAGACTTGAAAATATGTACCTGTATGATATTTTTATAGATATTGAAACTAATTTAGAAGAATCAACTGAAAAAATTTCAATATTGGAAAATAAGCACTTCCCCAACGTACATGAGTAGGTTAATTTTAAAATAAAAGATACCTACATAAGTGACTGGCGTCAACTAAACTTGAGTGGCGAGGAAATACTCACTGGACGAAACTTAACTAACCAATGCCCATTATTATTAATTTTAAGTCGGCAATTTTATCATTTCCCATTATTTTCGTATGAAATCTATGATGCCTAAATAATATCAACAGTTCCATATTCCAACATAATGGGTTAGGGAACTAAAGAAATACTTTGAAATTACTCATGTTTTCAGGGCTTGACAAACATAAGATGATGATGATAAATGATATACTTATGGTAGGTACTAGACACCAATTTAACAAACGACCTAATGATGGATAATCTTATAGGTATAATAATAATTAATAATATACAACAAAATAATAATAATTAATAATCTACTATAATTATTTGTCACAATGAATACTTACCGTCAGAATTCATTTTGTAATCGTTAATTAATTATACTGAAATCGATATAATAAATATATTGAAGCGAACGACTTCTCGCAAAAGTAGAAAAATGGCGGACGGTCTATGGCATAGAAAACGTAAAAGACTGTGCAATTAGTAGCGAATGTAATGGTATGAGTGTAAAACAGCAAACAACGAACTTATACACTTGTCTAGGATCGAAGTCTCGAAATTCACACGAGAACACGACACACAATTTGTGTTTTAGCAGGCAGTGTTTGATTGTTTGTAAACCTTAACTTGTGTAGATATTTGGTATGTCATATAATATTATGTAAAATAATAATCGATCATCTTCAACACGGACATTGAACCCATAGAGATTATAAGAATTTGAGGTTACATGAAATTTTATCAATGAAGTCTTATATTTTATATAATTGAACCATGGTTGAAGACGGTTAATCAATAGTAACCACGATTTTGGTTACCGAACCATGGTGGTAATTTCTTAATTTGATAACGATATTGCTCGATCTAGCTTATTTGGGAAAACATGAGCATTTGGAGATTCGGGCTCTACACTCAGTACACTTTCACTTATATCTTTTCTATGCTTTACATGTGACTTTCTCAATTAATACAATTTTAACATTTTAACGTGATTCTGATATTAAATAAACTTGAAGATCAAAATTAGCATTTTAATTTATAGCTTAATTATATAACCTAAAATAATTTGTCAAATTTTGAATCGTATATTAAGTATTCATTGTATAGATACTTATAAGTTACAATCATTTATTTCAATAATTACACGTGTCCCGTTCACAGAATATGTTTATACGTTATTTAATTTAATCGTACTTTTGTCATCCGAATATCTTGAAGGTATGTTAATATTAATAAAAATATAGGTATTTGGTTTTTTTTTTTTTGTAATGTATATCATTGTGCTAACGTTAATAATAGGTAGGTATTAAGTACCCAGTAATTGTTAATACGATTAAGAATACGATTTTTAAAAAACTACTATCTTACAATATTATTTGGATATTGCAATTAAAAAAATAATTACTAAATAACTGTTCAATACTGATTAATATTGATTAATAATTATTTATTAGCTTTATTAGGTTGTTTTATCAACTCTAATTTTACCTAAATATTTAAGGATACTAGTTTAATATCTCCCCCTGTCATCCATAATAATAAATACATTGTATAAATATAAAATAATAAGTTTATTTAATGATATAATGTTTAAAAATGTTTAGGCTTTTTGTGATTCCTAAAATTCTGCTATATCTTTTAAAATCGTTTCAAACGGATCACTATTATTTTGTTTTGATAGCCACATAAATTTCACCATGAACGAGTCTCCCGGTTTGATTATTAATTTTTAAACAACCTATGCTATGAGATATAACCTAGTAATAATAATAAGTTTTTCCATTAAATTATTAGATTATTTTATATTCATTATTATGGATGGTAAGGAGATAATAAATTTGAATGGCAGTACAATAAAGTTTTCACTCAGTCTGGACTTGATTAAACCAGTACCTATTTAAGGTTAACTCATATTAACAATATGGTATACCTAATACAGTCACTTCTGATTTAATTTTTAATTATTTCTTTAAACAAATTTTATTTTTAGTTATATTTTATAGTTATTAAAAATTTAAAAAATAGATAACTACATCATACTTACAATGTGAAAATTAAAAATATACTTGTATTCTACAAGGTGATCTATTTAAGTGGTTAGGTACACTCATTATTTTTGAAAGTATTAACTTTGTTCAAAACAATTTTTTGTTTTAACTATTTAAGAAACAAACGGCTTTAAAATGTTATATTACTATTATTTCTGGGGATTAAACTTAGTTTATCTACCTAAACTAACTACTTTTGATTTTTAAATGGCAACCTACATTAAAAACTTTCCACAAATAGATGAAATATTAATTAAATAAATGTTTGGATAAAGTTTTCTGGTAAAAAATTATAATCTTAAAAATTGTAAGTAATGCAGATGTTGCATCATAATTTAAATAATAATTTTTTTTTTTCCGACTTTTTTGGTTTTTCCCAATCATTTATAAAAACTGCTTTAGATATAAAAAAAAATGACCTTTTATATTATAAGCTATATATTAAAAGAAACAAAATCAATCTCTTGCTCATTTTTGATTGGAGCAATATTTCTAGTAGAAAACAGTTGCAAAAATTAAAAACAATGAAATCAATAGCAGTGCGTCACAAATATTTGCTATTTTACCTTTATTTTTCTTTGAGTTTTTCCTAGTTGAAAACCCTAAGAAAATCAAAAAAATGGCCTCTTTAATGCACCAAGTTAGACAACATTTTCTTTCAAAAGGTGCTATACTCTATACATTGGAGCAAGCTTTCTGGTAAAAAAGTTGTTCACAAACAAAAAAAAAAACAAAAATATAAAAAACCATAATAAAACCAATTATTGATCCTTCACTACACTCCTAATCTAAAATTATTGAATAAGTTAATACTCTTTGAGATAATGAAGGTACCCAGTTAAATAGCTCGCCTGTAAAAAATATAAACCTAATTTGGTTAATTATGTGTTATGTGTTGATTTCATAATGGTTTTAATTAGACAAGTATCCTCTGTAAGTATGTACATGTCACAGTAAAATCAAATACAGTTTTAAGGAAAATATTTCACTTAAATAATTTTAAAACGTATGTATGTTGTATGTATTATAGTTTTTAATTATTATATAGTATATAAATACATATAATTACAATGTGTATTGTTATTATTATTACAATTGTATTACTAAAAAAGAAAGGTAAGATAATAGGGATGGGTGCTACCATTGGTGTAGGTGGGAAGTTTAGAATGTAGGATACAAACTAGAATTTAATGTATTTTTGTTACGAAAAAATGATTCTGAGCAGAGTTTAGTTGATAGTGATGCTTTGTCAACATAATATGCCATATTATAGTAAAATAATTAAGTAGTTTCTATATTTTTTCTTAAATAATATTTATTTAATATTGTACTGATTTCCCTGCTTTTTTTACGTTTTTCCTGGTTTTCCAATTTTTCACATTTGCTGAGAAAATTGAAAAACGACTTCTGTAAAATATCTCCCCAGTAAAGTTTCCTTTTGGAAAAATTGCTATCATTGAAATTTGGAGCAAGTCTTCTAGTAGAAAAGTTATCTACAGAAAAAAAAAAAAAAACATCTTAATAAAACCATAAGCTTCTTTGCTCCACTCAGAAACTAAAAATAATAATAATATAACAAATATATTTCCAAGAAAATATAATAAAGATTTGTATAGTGTTGCAACTTATAATAGGTAATTTTTTATCTTACTTTGACTTAGAGTTTGAAAGCAAATGCTATTATCATTTAGAGCTGAGTAAACTTAATCGTTTACATAACTTGATTTTTCGATGACTTTCCTAAGCAATATGTGTGCTGCTTTTACTTGCTTTATTGAAACATGAGGCACTGGTTCAGATGATGCATCTTCAATATTTTCCATTTATTTACACTGATAATTCACTTTCACCACATACTTTTCTAAAAATGGGTATTTAAAAATTTTCAAGCCACCTATTATTGGCTTTAAATTGTTTGTGGCCTAATGATTTTGCAAAATTGTCCACTTTTTCTTTTAAAATAGGACCTCCAATACTGACATTAGCATCTCTGCATTACTTGAACCACTTAACTACACATTCTTCTATGTCTGAAAAATCAGGGTCTCTCTTCCTCATCCCATTTATTGAAAAGTACAAATCAAATTTCTTACTGTTTTTTATTATGGTAGACTTATGACTTACTGGTATTCCAAATTCTTAAGCAATATGCTTCTTCTTTCAACTTTTTAGTGCTTCAAGGACATGTTCGAGTTATCTATAGTTTTATTTCAAGTAATCAATGTTTTTGCAAGGGAACATCATTTATTTCGACTTATCGAGGTTTCACTATACATTCTTCCAAGTATAAAGTATTTTTTTAACCTTAACTACAACTTAACAATGTGATTTTAATTGTTTATTTATTTATTTAATGGACATGAGTCCAATTTACATCAAAATATGTATAATTAGATAATAGTGTAGATTATAAATACAATTTAGAATAGGTGCACTAGAAATCATAGATGTTAAAATATATTAAAACAATAAAAAGATGAAAGATAAAACTCAAACTAGTATACAGGGTGATCAATCTATCATAAGTCACTCATTATCTCGAAAATTAGTAACTTTTTTTTCAAAATTTGTATTAAAGAACATTTAAGAAATAAGCTGTTCTAAAATTTAACATTTACATTATTTTTTTTCACCGTAATTTTTGTGGTGAAACGACTACCTAATTTTTATTTTCAAATGGCAATCTATATTAAAATTTCCATAAATAGATGGAGTTGTAGTAAAAATAAATGTTGGTGTTTTAATTTTTAATTTCTATCAATCCATTTTTCTATTTTTAAGTTTGGTTTGGGGGAGGGTAGTGATACATTATTAATAATACAAATGATGCTTCACTGCTCTCCCCCACCCCCTGACTCAAACTTAAAAGGATTGACGGATTAAAGAAAATTAAAAATCACCAAAATTTATTTCAACTACTATACCATTTATTTATGGAGTTTTTGATATAGGTTGCCATTTGAAAATCAAAAGTAGGTAGTCGTTTCACCCCCAAAAATAAGGGTGAAAAAAATAACATAAATATAACATTGCAGAGCTGCTTGTTTTTAAAATTTTCTATAAAACAAATTACGAAAAAAAAATTCTTTCCGAGATAATGAGTGTTTTATAAAAGATTAATCACTCTGTATGATAAAAAGTGCTATTAAGTTTGATTAATAGAGTGAAATAAATCTAAACAATTTACAGAATTCGCAGAATATAGCAAGATATTTACAGATGTACATGACATAGTTTTAAGAATAATGTTTTATATAAAATAATTCTTAATTACTAATGTTATGTTTATTTACTTTAAAAGTAATATTGTTGATATTGAACCTAATTTAACCAACTCTAATCAAAACACTAATGTACTTTTTTCCAAATTTAATAACTGGATTAAAAAGGCCACAATTTATGTAACCTAAGAATGTTTAAAAATATGTTAATATATAAAAACCTTACATTTACATTGTGTAAAAATATTTTTTAAAATAATTTTGTGTACTTACTTTTATATTTTATAGGTTTTTATTTACCATGGCAGAACCAGATCTTAATTATGTAAAAACTGTTGTGCGTAGTATAATAACTAGTACTCCAGGTGATTTGACAGTTGCAGATATATTAAATGATTATTGTATATTAGAAGGTACTCATTTTCCATTTTTAAAGCTAGGATTTGATACATCATTTGAATTACTGAAAAGTATGGATGATATTTTAAGAGTAAGTGAATTTAAACATTAGAAGAGGGTAGTCTTAATTCCATAATTTAGCTGTAATAATAATCTCTGATTGAACAGATTATAAAATGAATCACAGGTTTATTTTTATTAGTATACACATTGATGATAAATCAATGGTTAACAAAAAATTAATCAATTTAAAATTGATGATTTTATGGTAATTTAATAATTATTTTACATATTTACTCACATTTGAATCACATTTAACTCAGTTTAATATGTTTAAATATGTAAGTCACTGAATTGAATACACAAATTATTCTCACATCATATAACTTGATTAAATTTGTTATGCAGACTTATCCATCTTCTTTCTCTCTTCCTGATAAACTGATTAATTGTTTTGGATCATACTTAGTGCCATGACCTTTTATATTCCTTAAAGGCCTGCTTCTTTTAGAAATTCAATTTTTGTGCATGTGTAGCATATACTGTAGATACAAATCTATAAAAATGAGTTAATATTAATGTGACATTAATTTATTTCAGTTACCACACAATCCAAATTTGACTTCTAAAATAATACCTATTGCTGATAAAAAAACTTCACATCTTATAGAACTAGTTGAAAAACAAAAAAATAAGAATAAAAGAAATTACAGACGATCTGGTCGTAAATCTAAGTCATACAACTCAAATGGCCAAAATATTAAGTATAATACTATGAATTTCCATAGTCCAAAGCATGGTTTTGAAGCTCGGGGATATGATTATATTAAGTATGAACAGAATAATTCACAAAAAACTAGAGGTTATGTAACAAATGAACTTAAACATTTTATTGAAATACTATGTGGTTCAATGGTAACTAATACATTTATTTTGTACTGTTTTAAAATACTTAAAGTTTTTCTTTATTAATTAGTTTTCAATTGTTTTTAGAATACAATTAGTATTCCGAAACTTAAGGTTAAACTTATTAATCATCCAGACTATTCTAAATTGAATACAATTAATATTGAAGAAGCTATAAATATGTTGAAAACATTTATTTACATTGATAAAAATGGTGTTCATCTGAAAGGTAATAAATAAAATATCTATACTTTACAAACTTTTCTGTGATTAATTTAATTATTATTTCATTATTTCACAAAGTTTTGACAATTTAAGAAACAAGCAACCACTTAAATATTATATTATCATTAATTTTTTTTTTTGGAGGGGGGTGAAATAACTAACTATTTTTCAAATTATCATATATTATAAATTCCTTAAATAGATGAAGTATTAGATTAAATACATTTTGGAGTTGAAATGTTTGATTTTGAATGAATTAATATTTGAGGTATTCCACTTTTAAGTTAAGTTTGTTTAAGGATAGAGTAGTAAAACACTATTTAAAGTCACATGTGGCTGTTTCATCACACAGAAGATGGTCCACTACACTCCCACTCACCCCCAAAAAAAATTAAATCATTCTGTATACTCGTAATATTATTTTTGGTTGAAAATTTAATATCATATTTGTATGTTTTGCACCTTTATCATAATACTATTTTTGTTTATTATGTACCCTTGTCAAATGTTTTCTTACTTATTCTAATTTCGTACTTTATTCATTTATTGGTAATAGCCCTTTTATTTCCTCCCCCCCCATTAATATTTCAGCAAGAGATGCTATATCCCTGCTTATAGGTGTATTTCTTTTTTCTGACAGTGTTAAGTATATCTTTTTTATTCTCTTCTGCTTTCCTTAACAAGTTTTTTTGCTAACCCTATATGCCTTACGACATTTAATTGAACATTTGTGGGACTAGACACTATGTGCTCTTTTGTCACTACTCCACAAATTCTTCAAATTCTTTCATTTATACTCTGTACCTCTATTTAATCTAATTACTTCAGGTATCCCATGTCTGGAAAAAAAACTTCTAAGTGCACTAATTTTATTCACATTCGTTATTTTTGGTTTCATCACAAATTAGACAAATTTAAAAAAGTAGTCCCCCCCTTCCATGATCTGGCTGGTACTTCTGATCTCATCAATGATTCCTATAAGTTTGTTTTCCTAGGGTTTACATAAATTTAACAATTTTTTACAACCTATTCTGTGTCTCTATTCATGTTTGGCCATTACTAGTAAGTCTTTCCTTTATTGACATTTCTCAATTCCTACACAACTAAAATTAATTTTTTCCAACATTTCCCTCCTTAAACTCTTTGGTACCATTATCCTATTAGATTTACTTATTACATTTTCCTGTATTGTTAACAACTTTTTTAAGTCCCAATAAGTCTGATAAATAAGGTACAAAGGTTGGAAAAATACAAGTGGGAAGTATTGCAACATCCACCATATAGTCCTGATCTAGGACCTTCAGATTTTTTTTGTTTGGTCCGTTAAAAAAACACTTAGGAACTTATTTTCAAAATGAGGTCATGAACGCTGTTACCAAGTACTTCGAAGAAAAATGTTCTGCATATTTCCGAGATAGTATTTTCAAATTACTCCATCATTGGGAAAAATGAATCAATTTGAATTGTGATTATGTAGAAAAATAGTAAAATATATCTTATGTATCATGTAAAAATTTTAAAGTAATAAATTAATTTTTCATTATTCAGTATATTTTTGTACCTTATTTATCGGACAGCCTATGTACTACTGCAACACTAGCTCACTATCCAAAATTTCCTTTATTTTATCTAAGGATTCTCCATGTGTTTTTATCCACACAAATACACTATATTTTTTTTAACAATTAAAAAAAATTTTCGCCACATAATTAACCATTCCCAATATTCTCTGTAGCTTCTCCTTGATCTGGTGACTTTAGATCTGAAATTATTTTTATCTTATCCTTATTTGGTTTCACTCCTTCACTTGCTATCTGACATCCTAAGAAACATAACTTTACCCCTACGATATCCATATATTGATTTATTACATTTTATATTTTTCTCTTCTGCCCTTTTATGCACTTTTCTCAGCCTTTCATAATGTTCCTCTTTACTACATTTATAAAATATTATATCCTCTATGTATGTACATCTTTCAGTCCCTCAAACAACTGCTTATATTTGTATTTTTTGATTGATTACATAAGACCATATTGTAGTAACAATCAATGTCTATATCACACATAAGCCATTTTTTGGCATTAACACAAACTAAAATGTTGGTAGTTGCTCAAAAACTAAATTAAGTTATTAACTCTTAACATTAGGTGGGTTTCAAGAATACAAGCTTGTTTTTTATTTCTTATTTGTTATGAATTATGTCATTGTCAATAAAAAAAATACTTGAATGATTCTAAATTTATAATAAGATATTAAATAATAATGAAATTTATTTTTTGTTTAAGATTCTGAATATAATATATTTAATTCACATAGAAAATCGAAAATAACAAATAATATATCTCATAAAATAGAAGCTGATGAATATGGCAAACCCAAACAGAATGCTACTACTTATAACTCAAGTAAGTGATCATAATAATTAAAATTCTAAACTAATATGTTCACTAAAATAATGGAATATGAAATTACACATGTTCATTGTTCACCCTCCAATTTATTATTTTTAAATGATTTATTATGTCTATACATTTTTAATTTGAAGTTTTCTTAAATTTCATACCAATTAATAACAATTTTATATGTTTACATACATATATTGTAATTAAAGATGATATACAGCCAAGAATTTTGTATGCACTTTCCGATCAAAATAGTGATACAGAAGATGATGACTTTGGCATGTCAGAGGGTTTAGATTATTGTAATACAAAAAAGCATTTATTTGAATATTCCAAAAAGACAAATAAATTAGGTAAGAGATCTTAATAACTAAAATGTTTGACCAATTTGTTAACTAACTTTTTAAATTTATTTACCTTCAAATTATTTGTATTTAAATTATTTACTTAATCCATATTACCATAAAAAAATAGCCATACTTTCTTTTATTCATTAATTAGTAGGTTAATAGAAGTAAAACTTTAAGTAAAGTAGAAGAATATTATTGGAAACAATAAGCACAGAAAAAAGATCCAATTGGATAAGTATAATAGAAATAATAAACATGAACTAAAAAACCTAAGGCTTATTAATGAATAAATTAAATGAAGACTCAAAATAAACTATACAATAATACAAAATTATACCAGATCATATTGCAAATTAACTTTTTATAACCAGAAAAAAATCCTTAGAACACTTGAGAATTTAAAAATATTTTTAAAACCAAGGAAGAAGTAGAATATTTAAAAAAATAATTAACAGAAGCCCTTTAAATACATACAAAAATAAAACCGTTGGCCAATGTAATAAATTTAAGAATTTGGATCTTGGTTTAAATAATGGATACTGGGACCCTTTAATGTTTAGTTTTCACCTTCAAATTACCCAAAATATGAAGAAAAGCCCACATAAAACCCAAGGGAAAGAACCAACATGCCCCAAAAACTGCCATACAGTATCCCTTATTAGCCTTCATCTCAACTATTTGTAGTTGGTATAGCTAATTCTTTGCTATTTATTTAAAGTTTTTAAATTAGTGGTTTTAAAACTCATAAACCAAATTGATCAAAATCTCATTCAAGAAAGAGCTGAGCTCAGGAAAGAAAAATCATATATAGATTAAATATGACCTATTTTATTCAAAAAAGTCGCCTTCTTGTACAAACAATTGTTTTTGAGAAACCCCATTTGTTAACAAGTAATTATATTTCTAGAACAAATTCTGTTTAATGTTGTCCAAATTAATCGGGGCAGCTCAAAACCAGGCGGTTTTATGTTAGGATCTTTAATCAGGTAGCTATTTTTCAGGCTGGACTTTTTCCATAGTTCATGTGGGGTTTCTTGTCTTATATTGTCACTTTATATTGGGTGTCTTAATTTGACTCTTTTATCTGGGTGAAGAAAAACATTGTGAGCTGGTGTGTTTATTTTGTTTTTAATTTGTTCAAGGATAGCCTTTATCCTGTGTAATTCAGATGGTTAGTATATTGGAGAGAAGTGGTAGCCATTGGGTTCCTCAGTACTCCTGCTACATTGTACACTAAGGCTAGCATTGAACATTTGAATTACTGTCCCAGCTAGTTTAGGGACGATGTTTCTGGCCTTGAGCTATTTTTCATGGCATCAGTATGTTATCTGTACATAAAGATTCTGTCTAGTTTAACTCTTAAATAACGAGGACACTTATCATTTGTTATAATGGTATTTACAAATAATTGGAGAGATTTGACCTAATGAAACATCAGATTAATAGTTGAGTAACACTTATTTTTAGTAGTAACATTTATTAATGATAATTAACCTGTATTATCAGACAGCCATTATCATACGGCACTTTCAGGGATTTTCAATTATGGGTTAACACACATTAACTTGTAATTAGTCTGACATTGTATCTATTACATGATTTGAATGCATACTGTCTAAAAAGATGCAGTTTGAGAACATATGAAATTGTGAACTTAAGTAAAAATCTGTAGATAATTAATTTTATTAGCAATATTAACTTATTTATTGATAATAAACCTTATCAATATATTGCCATTTCTATCATTTCTTGTAGTAAACATGTTTGTTGATTGTCTATGGGATACATGGAAAAGCAATCAGATGTTTAAAATTTGTCTAGGAACATCAAAATCCATTACATTACTTATCTGACGGACCGAAAATCTAATGAAGAATATACATTACACTAAATATAATATACCAATTATTAAATATTTTCTTTTTCTTTCCTTATCCATAGGTTATTATTTTTATTATTATTAAATAATAAAATAATAAAGTAAAAACAAATTTATCAAATGGTTAATACCAGTAAATAAATATATAAATAAATAATTTATATATTATTATTAATTTGTTACAGGGAGTAAAATTTTGTATTTAATTTTCATTTTTTTCTGTGTAAGGTTTTAGTATATTATATGAAACCAATTAACTTCCTTTTTTATTTTATTTTAGTTTAGTTTACTTAATTGTTTACATAGATCAGCAGTTCCCAGACTTTTTCAGCCACAGAGCATTTTTTAATCAATATTTTCTTGTGGATAAATATTTAATGTTAAGTTTTATTTGCTGTCTTCTATTTATTTATTCATATGATATTAAAATGAGTCTTAGCACTAAAATATATCCTAATTAGGTAACAAATTTGAATTATTATTATTTTTCATTTTTTTTTATTTTTTTTTGTTATCATTTCTTTCCACAATACCCAATTTAAAACATGGTTAGTTTAAATTATTCCTACTTAAATCCTTTAAATATAGGTACTTCTTTTCCAGTTGATTTACTAATTTTATTATCAAAAATTCTTTGTAGAACTATTTCAAATATAGGGTGACAATAAGGTAAATAAAGTAATTAGTTATCTAAAAGTTATTTCAGCAGAACACAAGTTTTATAGATCTCCCATTTGGCCACTATTTATGGCAGTTGTATTAAACAAAAGAGCTTTTCCAGAATAATTTAAGTTTTAATCTATTAGTGTGTTAATTGATTCTCACACATTTTTCATTTTACATTTCACACAAATTTTAAAAAGTATTTAAAAATAATTGACTCAACTACAGTAAAAGGTTTTGACACCAATATTTAAAAAATCAAATAAAATTTACAATATGACCTACCTTCATTTTTTTTTTCAACATTAAAATTTAACTCTTAAAAATATTTAAATTATAATGCAAATTATAAATGCAATAATAATTCCTTTTAAAACTTATAACATCTATAATTATACATATATATATATATAATATTAAAACAGTAAAAAGAGTGTATAATATATATTATAACATGTTTTTTTGAAAAATAATTCTTGGAATGTATTATGATTTTTAAGAAACTTAATTTTATGATATTGGACTTTATGGCACATAACTTTCTAACACTTATGTAGAATTTTAATTTTTGTGGTAAGATTTTAATTATATTTAATTTGAATATCATAATTTATGAATTGATCATTCAATTAAATTTATTGTTACAATTAAGGAGTATGATAAATTTGTCATTTTTGCCTAATAGTTATAGCTTATTAAATGATTAAGTTTGAAACCAATTCAAAATTAATTTATAAATTGATTTTTTATGTTTTATTTTTATTTAGAACTAGATGACATGCTATCAAAGATTCATTTAAAAACTATTATTAAATCAAATGAAGAATTATGTATTGCTAATGATACTGAAGATAATTGTTATCAGCAATCACAAAGTTTAAACTTGTGTGATGTTAAAGAAACTGAATTAAGTAAGTTATTCATATACTAATCAAAATTACATGAAACAAAAAATAAAATTTTTGAAATTTAAATATTTTTTCATTATTTATTTAATTCTTTATAATCATAATTTAAAAATTAATTTGTTTCCTTGAAATCATAAAGAACCTATATAAAAAATATGGTTTATAACAGTTAACTTTCATCTTCAAGAGTTAGCTACTATCACCAAATTGTTACAATCTCATACTCCAATTCTTCTCTTGGAATTCTAAGGTATTTTAAATCCCTTTCTAAACATCAATCTACCTCTTCCAAGGGCGGTCCTTCCTTTTCCCTTCTGACTTCCAATTCAGTGCTATCCTGTTTGCTTTATTATATTATGTTCTAAAATATTGTAATCTCTACCTTGTTATGAATCCATTTATTGTCACTATTTTCAATTATTACAAAAGTATATTTTAGTATAGTAAAATATTCTTGAAATATTGCTTGAAATGTACTTAGATTAGTTCTTTAAATGCCATCTCTGGTCAAATTAAAAAATATATTCCATAAATTTGACTGTATACCCACGCACACTAACATTCAATTTTATTAATTATGCAAAAAGATTGAGAAATTAACATATTTGATTTTACCCTATTTTTAAAAAAAAAAAAAAAAACCATTTATGTTTATGGTGTTTCTTTATAAATTTTATGCGTTATAAGTCATTTTTTTTCATTTTTATTTAAAATTTTAGATGATATGCTATCAGGGATTCCTCTAAAACCAATAATTAAACCAAATAAAGAACTGTCTATTACTGATATTACAGTAGATAATTGTTATAAGCAATCACAAAGTTCAAATTTTTGTGATATAAAACAAACTGAATTAAGTAAGTAATTTAAAAAAAAACATAAACAATGAAATTTACAAATTTGATTTCAACTAATTTTTTTTTTTTTTTACATAACATTTTTAAATGTATTATAGGTAAAAATCATCAAGAGTTAAAAAATGCTAATACTAGCATGGCCCCAAAAGAGTATCACAAAATATTAGAAAAAACTACTAATTCTAATGTAAGTTTTATGTATTTTCTTCATAAATATAATTTTTTTTTTTATTATTATTATTTTAAATTAATATAAATTCAATCTGTTAAATATTGAAAAGTGAAAATCACTAATAATCATCCATTTTTGATTTATTCCTATTATATATATATGGATTAATCATTCATTATCTTGGAAAGTTTAAATTTTTTCTGGAATTTGTTTTAAAAAATCTAATAAATAAGCAGCAGTTCTAAAATTGTATAATATCTTTATTTTTTGTTACCCTTATTTTTGGCAATGAACTGATCATACACCTTTGATTCTCAAATAACACCTATATTAACCTTATATAGATCATGTGCATGGTGGTAGTCCCACTGATTACAGATGTAATCCATATTGTTGGCTATCTTTGTATACAATGGTAATGAAACAGACATTAGATTTAGATTGGTAACATAAAAAAGGTTTAACCATATTTCATTTGAATATACTGAAGGTGTAAGATTAAAATTCCATAGATACATTTCATCATCAAACTGTACTTTACTATAACTTTATTTATTTATGGAAATTTTAAAATAGGCTGCTATTTAATAATTTATAGAGAAGTGATTTCAGAGTACCAAAAATAACGACAGAAATGTAACATTTTAAATTTTCTAAAAAAAAAAAATGTAATACTCCCCCAGTGTCTAACATTATATTATTTTATATTAAGGTGGTTGTTAGTTATTGATAAAGTTTTTTTTTTTTTTTAAGTTTTTCAATAGGCTTTTGTGCCATTTTGTTTGTTAGTATAAAAAAAAATTTGGGTAGAATTTGATTTTGATAACTAAAAATTGCTTATGATCAACCATTTTGTACTTATTAAAAAAAAATAAATATATAGAAATCATCCTGAGAACAGAATATAATAAATCTTAACTTAAAAAAATAAAATACATGTGAAGCTAATATTTATTGTATTGTATGTATAATGCATACAATATATTATACATTATATAACACACCACGTATAATATTATGGGCTGAAAATAAATTTAATATACATTATTACAAAAATTAATTTGAAGATATAAATCAAAACATTAATCAAATTAATATTTATTTCCTAACATTTTTTGTTTAGCATCAGGAAACCATTGATGATAATCTTTATTATGATCATAATTCTGATCCTCATCTTTCGTTATCACATTGTCGAAGTCACTTATCAATTTAAGGCCACGTTCAGCAGCATAGTTAACCATTTTCAAATTGCTAAATATTTCTAATCCCTTTAGGTAATTTATATTTGTATTCCATACTTTAGGATCTTGATCTAAAAAATTCATATTCAATCTCTGGAATAATTTATTTGATTTTATGTTTATAAAATCATAAATATATTTATGTTTCATAGAATAAATATTTGCCAATGAGACTATATATATATATCGTTTTCTTGAAATTTCATTCAAATGTTTGTATTTTTAAGGGCATCTACCATTTTCCTTTTGGCTTCTATTGACACATTTGATTCAAAAAGCCCGAGGGCCTGCTGCTTCTGAACTTACCACAGAAGGCCAATAAAATTTTATAATGAACAATTTGAAATTCTATCATCAATATCTTTATATTCAATGAGGCTCTGAATAAATAAAAGATCTTGATATGGGGCTTCTGTAGCAATGTGCAAACCATCTTATTTGTAAAAAAAAAATAATAATAAAAATACATGTATCATGACATGCAGTTTCTTGTGTTAATTTCATATTGAATTGCTTCCGAAAAATGAAAATTTTAAGACATTAAATTACCTTGGCCATCCATCGAGCATGATGACAAGTTTCTAGTACTAGAATCCACATCTACATTTTCAACTACAAATTTGTTTTAAATATCATTTATTTTTTACAGTTAAAAAATTAATACAAATAATGTTAAAGTTATAATCACTTGCATTGTGCTTGAAGTTCATGTTGATTACGTTTTTTCTTTTTCTGGTACTCTTCGATTTGCCTCTTATATTTAATTTCTTTTTTATGTGTTGTTAAATCATCCCTAATTAAAGATCCTGATCAACCTTTTTGTCTTTGATGAATTAAAAACTGCTTGTCTATATCTGTTTTCATTATCTTTAAAGTATCTGAGTGATATGTATTGTATGTAATTTTTTCTCATAACTTATTTTGTAGGAAATTAAATTGTGTATAAAATGTATTTACAATGTTCTACATGATTTCCATTTATCAAATATACTTGAATAACAGTAAAAAAAAAAACCAGTTTTCCGAATAAATGAAATAAATCATGTTTAATTCTTTTTCTTGGATAATAATGATTTTATCGAAGAATGTGTAAAAAATTGATATTAGGCAATTAAAAGATCTATCAAAAAGTTAATGATGAGTTTTATGATAAATGCAATAGTTTTTTACTTAAACTCAAAACACCATAAAACTACGTAATTTTGTTATTTTTCAACTGAAGGGGGTAAGTTATCAAAACCAAATTCTACCCAAATTTTTTTTTCACTAAAGCACAAAATGGTTGGGTAGCCTATTGAAATTTTCAAAGTTCAAAAATAATAACCACCCTAATATATTTGTAACACTAGTTATCTCTCAAAATTATGAGAAATCCATTAATAATTAAAAATTGTATATTATTCTTATACAGGTTGAACAAAAACCTAAATCAAATAGACAAGGAATCAAAACATGTAAGTAATTTTTAACAAGTGCAATGGTTCTCAAAAGTTTAAAATCCCAGTACTACTAAACATTTTATTTAAATATTTACTTTCTATTATTTGAAAAATATGTTAAAATGAAATAATTTTTTTTTTTTCACCAGTGATTACATTTTAATAGCATGTGTTTTTTTTACATTATCCTACAATATTGCATTATTATTATAGAGTTGCACCAATCAATAACTAAAATATAAGTTACAATTTATAGGTTTCTACTAAGACATTTTTTCCTTTTTTACATAAATAAAACCTTATATATATCCTACCTTCACAACTATTCACCTACAACAATGACCTCAGTATTTGCTCTTTTTTACATTAAATTCTTAAGCCCTTCAACTTTTTTTTTTTCGAATTCTAATAATTATAAACAAAAAAGAAACTGTTAGAAATTCGATTATAAGTAGACTTCAAGACTATTACTTATTCAAATATGTTTTTGGAAGTTTTTTCTAATAGTTGTTACAAAATAAACAAAAAATATTTGATTAAAAAAGCATCTTTCTCAGTAGTAGATTAATGGAAAAGTCTTGTCATAAAGTTGTTTATTAAAATATAGTAAACATTTTTTGGAATTTTATTAAATTGGAGAAAATTTGGAAAACCAGTAACAGTTTCCTTTAAAAACATATTGGTCACTTTTTTATTGTTTAAAAATTATATTCACTAGTAATCCAGTATATTTTTAAAATAATACAAATTAAGGTGTTTTTTGATAAAATTATTTTTATCATTGCATTCATTTATTTCACATTTTGTTAAATTTAAAGTGTGCCTCATTATTGTAAAGATTGAAAAATACTGTAGAAGCATAATTATTTTAAACATTATTTACAATATTGTTGCCATTTGGACAATAAGCAATTTTTCAACAAGAAATATAGATCCATTGATATGCTTGATTCTCAATCTATGTTTATATGATTGTAAATATAATTTAATACAAACTATTATACATTTAGTTAAAAATTATAATTTTATAATTAAAATTTTAATATTATATTCAGTTTTAGGGTAAATTAGTAATTATAATGTGTATGGATTTGTAATTTTGCTTTCCCTCCTGTCCCAACTAAATTCATTTTCAAATGGATAACAATATCAATTCTAATTTTAGATTCTGAGTGAAGCAAAGAAGCTTATGGTTTTACAATGACATTTTTCTAAAAGGAAATCTGACTGAAGAGTTACATTAGAGAGGCCATTTTTTGATTTTCCCAGTAAATTGGAAAGTACCAAAGAACATTTCCTTTCAGAAAAGTGCTTTAAGTATAGCACCTCCAAATAAGCTTTCTGGTAGAAAAGTGTTCACATAAAAAAATAAACATCATTGTAAAACCAATACATTACTTTCTTCCCCCAGAATCTAAAAGTCATATTTAATAATTTTATAATTAATATACAGTGTTCTTTGTACGTATTAGCAGGTGATGACTTAATGATGAATAATAAAGCCCGTTACAAAAATATGATTATTTCTATTATTGAGAATAGTAGATTTCCAATTGATGTTAACAATGTAATGGCCACTTTTAAAAAAATACATGGCTATGAATTTCCACTTCAAATATTTGGTTGTAGAACATATATGGATTTTTTCCGTCTACACCCAGCAGTATTCAAAGTTAATATTTAAAAAAAAATTAAAAATTAATAAATTAAATTATTTTACTGTTATTTCTTTACTGTTTTGTTTATATTTGTTTAGTTGGAAAATTCATATTCTTCAAAAAGTATTGTTTCAATTGAAAATTTAACCTTATCAGAACGAAAAACTACTTTAAGACATAATTTCATTTGTGCATGTAAGTAATTTTTGTTCTAATATATATTGACAATTTCATGAAACAATGTAATTAATATATAAAAAGAGTTTAGGACTTTTCTCAGTAGCATGTTTTTTTGTGATTCTAGATAAGATACATATTTGATTTATTAATTTACCAACTTAAATGTATATCTGGGGACAACAGGTTAGAAGAAATATCATAGTACAATATATTTGTAATGATATAGCTTTGATAAGAGACAAATCTGGATTAAGTTAAAAATAGGTTTCAGAAATGAATCGTAGTACTTGAAAAAGGACTTAGGATAAGTAGAAGTAAAACAGAGTATAAGTTTGGTGAACCGAGAAACGACAGCTAACAATAGGCCTTTAGATGAGGTTGAACATTTTAAGTATTTAAGTAAGGATATTTTGTACAAAATAATGATGTTGAGTAGGATTATATGTGGTTGAATAGTGGATAGAAGCATCCAGTGTTTCATGTAACAAAAAAATTCTAATGAGACTTAACATCAAGTTCTAGTGTGATAAGACTAAAGCTAAAATATAAGCTGAATATTGTATGGTTTGGAGTATTGGGGGTGGTGGATAGAAAAATGGAGCAGAAAATGATTGTAACAGAGATGAAAATGCTTAGGTAAATGAGTAGAATGCTGAAAGGAGATAAGATAAGGAATGAGTACATAAGAGGTAGCTTACGTATGGTTTTGGTAGTAGACAAATGAGAGAAAATAAACTGATATAGTTTGGACATATGAGAAAAACTGAAAATAAGGTAGTTATATTACTATGTATTTTAATAGTATGAAACAATTAATTTAATAAATAAAAATTTGTATTGTAGTTTAAGAATAGATGATTTTATTACAATTTATTTAAGTTAAATTCAATATAACAAGAAATAAAAAGTGGTAGTCAGGCGGGAAGGTGCTTGCTTGAACTTGGATGAGACTTGTCTACCAAAGACCCTTTCCAGGCCCTCCATTAATGGCCTGTCTGTGGTGTAAGTGATCATTGAGTAACTGTAATATACTGGATTCGTGTAGAATTAGGTTTATCACCCAGGTCAATCAAGCATCCACCTGCTGCATGTACCTTTTTAATAATGTTCACTATAATTCCATAATATTTAAACAATGTACAATATTCATTTTGATACATACTGGTACCTACGTACACGTGTAAATATATCTTATGTAAGAATATGCACTGCACACTGAAGCAATAGGCAATTGGGAATCTGGCAATAAGAAATATTATTTCCATTAGATTATTAGTTATTAATAAATATTCTCACACTGAAGCAACTTGATACTGCCAGTGATACAGCTGTTGCTGATTTGATATTTATTTCCAGTGTTGAGCAATATTTTAATATCGCGATTATTTCCCAAGTGGCTCATGAAAAAAATATTTATAACTTAGGTATTGTAATTTTTTTTTTCTTTTTTGAATTTTTGTTAATTTAAAATTGAATCTTATAAAAAAAAAAGAAATATTCAGTAAGATAAAAAAACTGATTATCAATGAGAATAAGTGTTGATTTTTAATGTATATTCCTCATGGTAATCCCAGCAGGAAACTGACTGTATTTAATCCAAAAAAGGGTTGTGTTGGATAAAAATATTTGGGAATTGCTGTTTTAATAATAACAGTGCAAGTTCATGTGTAATTTTGTTTTTTCATCCTTGGCAGATGAGATAGTTTTTACTGCATTTCTTTTGTGTGAGTGCTAGAGGCAATATGTATTGTCTGTTGATTATTGTTAGTCCCCTAGTAGTAATAGTTGCTTATTGTGTTAAAGTCACCTAACAGTTGGATAAAATTGTACATGATATGAGAACAGCTGGTGTAGGAAATCTGGTCAAGTGAAAGTTTAGAATGTGAGTAGCCAACCCCAAATAGTTAGAATTAAGGAGAAGGAGAATAAAAATAAGATTCTACCATGTTAAATCATATCATTAAACTTAGCTAATTGGTACATATTTTAAAAAGTAACTCATTTAACATATTTAAAATGAATAATGAATTATTTATAATTATTTTTAAAATAATCAAGTAGATTTATTATTTATTTTTATAGCTACAATTTATGATGATGATGTTTGTTCTGATAAGAAACCAGAAGAAAAAGCAGTACAAGAACTTTCAATTTTAGAAGAATTTAAATTAAACTCTAATTACTCAAATCAATACAAAGAGTGCAATGATAACACACAGTAAGCATTACTATATTTATTTATATATACAATTTGTATACCAGAATCTAACACCAGAGTTATTCATTATTAATAATAAATAGTAATAAATAATAATAGTTAATCTTATATCTAAGTGAAAACTTCTCTTGGGAGGTTTTGGATTTCATGGGAGCACATGGGTGAAATGAGTTAACTGACAAATACAGTGACACACTGAAAATTTTAATCCAGTATATCTGTATACATACATGTATATAAATATATAACATACAAATATTTCCTCTTTATAATATTAAATATTATTATTGTTATTTGTATTAATTATTAATTATTATTAACTAATATTATTAAAAATAGTAATAGTATAAAAGTATAATATAATGTATACAACCAAATATGTTATTTGATTGAATAGTTATTGTCAATAGAATGAACATCTTGATAGTTTTTTTAGTATAGCTGTTACTATAAATGTCTGACAGTCATCAGTTAATGTCGACATAAATCTCTTATATTGGTGGATGTTAAAAAATGGAAAAAAAAAAAAAATTGTAGATTTTTACTAGTAAATGTTGTTGGATATCAAGATTTTGGTCAATGTTGACATATACAACATGTGACTATAATAATATTAAACAATATTATATTTGTATTATTAATAAGCTCAAAAAATCTAGTAAATATGTATGCAGTTAGCCATAAAAATTACCAAAATATGATTAAAACGATTATTTTAATTATAATCTTATACTATAAAGGTTTTGTAAAAAAAAAAACAAATTGATTCATATTAGTATTTATATTTCTTTTCCTCTGAAAATCATTCAAAAATATTTGATATTTTTAATATGATATATTGATAACAAAAATTACATTTAAACAATTGGAATTTTAATGTTTACCTGATGTTATTGCATTGAATAATTAATGATTGGCATGTTTTCAAACAAAAATGAGTATTAATTGTCTGTTAATAAATTTTTGTACTAGAATAGGTATTATCAAATTATCATTAATTGAATTAATAACTCACCTGATAAATGTAGATATTTTAAAACATTTTTGTAATTCTTGATTCTTGAAAGTGTACCAAATCCTAAATCACCAAAATATGCAAAATACAATTTTGTATATAGACTAATTAGGTCATGAAACACATTTTGGTATTGACTTGCCATTTTTTTTAACAACCCATAAAAATATGCAAATAAATATTCCGGCTGTCCTTATTAAATACTTAATAGTTATTTATAATGAACATACAAATAATAAAACTAATGTGTATTAGTTAAATAATGTTTTTCATCACACTTTTATCAAGACTTATATAATATTATAAATTAGATATACCAGAAATAAAATTACCAGTATAAACACTGTCTGTCCCTTGTCCTAAAGGGTAATCTTATCTATTTTACTAAATATAGTTCACAAAATTTATACTTGATGATGTCCTTTCTTATGTTAATCCCACTGATCAAGTCCTTAATTGAAAGTTGAAAAAGATCAAATTTGCTTATGTGGCCATACCTTTTATGCCATAAACTTGCAGTTTCAGAGGTTGCTATGTTCTGATGGTACCTTTATTATAGATTTATACATTATGAACACAAAATGTAATTATTAATAAATTCTCTTCTTGGCTGTTTACTGGCATTAGATTAAAACACATTAAACATAGTTATAGAATTTGTATTGCATATTAGTACTATGTTTCCTACATGGGTGGTTGAGTTGATACATCTTTCTTTATTAGGTTGTTAGCATCATTTGCTTCATTATTTTGGTCAAGTTATTAAATATATTACTTTGATATCTCATGTAACCCATGAAATTATTATTTTTAAATTTAGGTTAAGCAGTACAAATACACAAACATTTTCTTCATCATCAAGCAAAACTATTTTCCACACAAATTTAAAAGATACAAAACACTATGAAATGTATGACTCTGCTATGATATTAGATTCAATGAAAAAGAAAATGCGTTTGATTTTGGCCAAACACAAAAATGGTATATTATGTAATGAATTTATGGATATTTATGATGTAAGTATAAAATATGCTCATTGTTTAATTTCATAAATTGTTTAGAATTTAAAGCTAGCAAAATCTTTTTTTTAAAAGTTATTAATTATTTGAAATTTTAATTATTTATAATATTTAATAATTTATGTACTCCTTCTTTCTCACTATATTTCCAATCTATTGAGAGCTGCCTACCTTTGATCCTAAATCTCTATATCTCTATATTATATAATAAAATGTATAGCTAACTTAAATTTGTATTTTAAACTTCATTTGTATTAGTTAATTTTTTCATTCTAAAAAAATTGCATTGTACATAGCATAATCTAGAAAATTAATTATATTTAATAGGCTGAATATAACGGTTGCTTTACTTTTTCTGAATATGGATTTAGAAGCATGAGGGATATGGCATTCAATTTGCCATCCATATTTTATGTGAAAGAATCTGAAGAAAATGGTGAATATGTTCTGTATGATGCTCGTAGAAGAAGTGAATTTGAAAATTTGATTGATAAGTTAGGTAAATGCTTGTATAAATAGGCCTAGCAGTCATAAATTACCAGCATTATACACTTTGCTACTAACAAATATTATGTATTGTTTATAAATTAGTACATTACAATTTATTTTCAGATCCATCACTATATTATAAAAATATACCAAAGACTGTAATGTATAATCTTTCAATGATTTTTGATAAGAATCGTACTGGTATCAGTTTAGTAGAATTGAAGCATTTATACTGTGTATGTTACAGATATTCAGTGTTATTACAATTAATGTTTTACTGATACATATATTTGCTTTTTAGACAGAATTTGGGCGATGTTATGAACCATCAAAATATGGTTATTATTCTGAAGAACACATGTTTAAATTGTTGAATAAAATGATTCAAATAAAAGATAATAAATTGTACACGGTTGATCCTTTCGCCTACATAAATTTTACTGATGATTATGATTGCACAACTCAGAGTAAAAAAAATTGTCTTCCTTTAGTGGTATGTGTTTTAAAAATCATTCTATATTGATTTTAGAATAGTACCTCTTAACTTAAGATTCCCATAAACACCATTAATATTCAACATACATAAGACAAATTTTATTGGCAGTTATAATCCCAGTTCATAAGTTCATGCATTGACATGTTTTTTGCTATATAGAAAAACATACTAAATCTTCACTTAGTAATTGATACTTGGTTTCTACCAATACTGTTCATAACAATACTAATAGAAATACAAATTTGAATAGTACAGTTTTTTGATTATTTTGGTACATTGGCTTATTTGGAATAATAATTTTGTAGTTATTAGGGCATATATCCTATGAGTTGAAAAAACTATTATTAATTCTTATTTATTTTCCTGGAATGTTAACGAAATCCAAAAGATTATTATCTATCACTAAATTAAAATTTTTCCCATGTGTTTAAACTATAGAAATTTAAAAAAAAAAAAACAATAAATAACTGGATTTTATAATAAAACAATACTATACTGTACTATACTAACAATTATTGGACACTGTTCAAAAGAGCTCAAGTCAAATTTTTATATTTTATATTACTGTTGTTTTATATGCAATTTTGTGCCATGACTAACTCTGTATCACTAGTTTGAAAAAATGTTCATCATCAAGTTATTCATTTATGCATTTTGTCACAAGTCAAATTAAATTTACTTTGTTGAGAAAGAGCTCAAGTCAATATTGTTCTTAGTGTAAAAGTTTTTGGACTTGAGCCTTTTTGCGCCAACACTACTAATTATAGGACTTCTCAAATAATAAATACATTTTAAGTAGTGATGAAAAGATACATATACAGTGTCCCACGATGATCTTCAATTTGAAATTATTTTTGTTCTATTCAATATATTTGATTTATTTTTATTTTTTTAAATAATTAGTATACCTTTGACTATAGTTTATATAAAAGCATTTTTTTTTAGGGTGCTCCCCCTACTTAAAATTTTAAAAAATAAGCCATTTTGTAAAATAAATTTTTAGAAAAATGTTTATTGGTTGAAACTTATTTACTATAATTTTTTAAGTTTTTGTAAATGTAAATATTACTTATTATGGTTATATTATTATAATATTTAATCAGTTATTAGTTAGGGCACATGACAAGGATTTTCATTTCTATAGATTAATATCATGCAAAAATACATTATTATTTTATATGTATTAGATAGTATCCATCAATTAATACTGGTAATTTATATCAATAAAGAATTTTGTTATGATTGAAAAGAAAATTATGCAAATTTTATGAAATCATCGAAAATAAGACCATACTTTTCAACAGAAATTTTCCAAAAATCTATTTTACAAAATAGCCATTTTGATTTTTTTTTTAAATAATGTTCATATATAAACTGTAGCGCATAACTAAGCTATGCTAATTATTTTAAAAATATTAAATAGAAAAAAAGTTATTTCAAATGGAAAATTATCATGGGATATCCTGTATATAAAAATATTGGCTGTATCTACATTGAAAATATCAAAATTTAACTACAAAAATTAGTTGAGCGTGTTTAATATATATTTTTGTTTTTTCTATTAAAAAAAGATACAATTTAGTGCATAATTTCTATTTTTGAAAAAATTTTCACAAAGCCAAAATCAATGACTTGTTTATCCCAATTTTCTAGTGAATGGAAGAGTTAGTTATACTGGAGTAAACTACTGTTTTAATATAATTGATTACTTTTAATCTAATAGAATGTTGTGAATTAAGATAAATAAATAGAAATATTAGTGTAACTTATATTTTTATGAAAACATATTAATTTAATGTAGTACTACTATTTTATGTGAATTACAGATGGACCGTGTTTTGTTTAATTATACAGGCAAAGATATTTGCAACGCAAAATTTGATTATTCTCCATTTGAACTAACTGAAGAAAATTCAGTTAGTATTATTACTGCTGAAATTTATAATCCAAATTCATTTTATATTCATTTAAAATCAAAACTAAATACACTGGAAAATCTCATGGCTAATTTACAGTCTGTACTTTTAATACAATTAATATTATATAGTAATTATTTATAGATAATACTTTTGTTTTAATAGAGAATATTATGATAAAAATGAGCTAAAGTACATAGTTTTACCAGATCTTTTAATTCCCGGATTAGCTTGTTGTTTAAGATTTGAAAATACTATAAATTGGCACAGAGCTAAAATTTTGACAATAATTGATAAAGACTATGTAAAAGTAAGTAAAAATGGATTACAATAAATATTAACACTTAATAACATATACTAATGTACACACAGACATCTCTCTCTCATTTAAAGGTGGCGAGAGCCTGGGAATGCTCACAAAGAACATATTATGATTATTGCTTTTATATGAATACAATTACCACACTAACAGCCTAAAATTGCATGCAATGCCACATAACCCATACAATAACACAAAACACCATTTTTACTTATACAATTTTTTATGTATGCATATTCATTTAACAAACAGTACAAAATATTTGTATTGTATACAAGCTATAGTAATCACTATATCATATATCTGCTATAGGACCCCAAACTCCTAATCCCTTAAAATATATATTAGCTGTTTTATTTAAAAATTACCTCCTAGGATAACGGAGACAGATGCAGCCACTGTTATAGAAAATTTAATGTATATCTGTAAAGAACAATAAATTATTTTGTTCAGTTGATAGTGATGCTTTGTCAGCAATATATATATCATTTTATGGTAAAATGTTAAATAGGCATTATATATTTAATTAAATAATATTTTTTTAAATATTGTATTGATTTTTTCATGTTTTTTTTCTGTTTTCCCCATTTATTGGAAAAATCGAAAAATTACCTCCCTTTATTTCCTTTTAGAAAATAATCCACACTTGATACATTGGAGCAAGATTTCTGGTAGAAAGTTTGCACAACAAATCGAGAGGTATTTTGCCATTAAATAGTCCCAACAAGCAATAGTTGGGTCTCTAGGTACAACTAAAATGCATTAGTTTTTTCATTGTTTAGGTAAAAGGGGAAACAAAATGCAAAACATTTTGTTTGAAAACCCAAGTCCAACCATTAGATCATGACAAATATTCTTCAAATAGAAAAAACAACCCCTATTTCTAACATATCAGTTTCAAAAGATGTTCATGTAACTTCAAAAGTTAAACAAAATAGTAAAAAAAAAAACCCCTTCTAATGATAATACTCCAAAAATATATAAACCCCCACCGTTAACTATCAAAGGTGTTAAACAAATTGATAAATTAAAATAATTATTAACGTGTGAAGAACTGGTAGGAAACGAACAATTCAAAGTCCTATCAAATGATGAGAGGAGAATCTTAATAACAAACGAAAGTCAATTCAGAAGTACAATATAAATATTAGAAGAAAATAAAGTTGAATACCATAGGTACCAATTAAAAAGTGAAAAACCATTTCGAGTAGTATTATGAAGTATAAATCATGACTCCGAAATAAGAATAATTACCAATGAACTGTATGACCAAGGCTACGAAGTAAACAAAATAACCAATATACAAATCAAGAAAAAATCTAATCCTAAAAACAAAAACAGTGAGTGGACATACATATGGCTATCATTATTCTTTGTAGATTTAAAAACCACAGGAGAATAATAAAGACATTTACAACATATAACTACTATGTCATCAGATAATAAAAATAGAACCACCATGTAAAAAAAAAAGAAGTATAACAGTGTAAGGATTACCAAACTCTCAGAAACAACATTACTGTCATAAATCGGCTGTATGCGTGAAATTTAGTGAAGGACACAGAACCGAAGATTGCCCAAAATCTAAAAAGACAAAAACAAAATGTGCAAACTGTGGTGAAAATCACACAGCCAACTGGAAGGGTTGCTCTGCTTGCAAAAAAGAGTACACTCAAAACAAGTCTCTGCTGTGCAAAGAATACAGCAGAAACCTGTCACAGCAATTGTTTCATACATGCAGATGACTAGCACTTCAAAAGTCGATCCAAAAACATCTCAACCAAAAGGAAATGAAGAATCAATTACTCTTAATGATATTCTAGTCGTGATAACGCAGACACTAGCAAATATCACAACAAGAATGAACAAACTAGAAATAAACCAGACAAATTTCAAAAATACCTTGCAGAAAATAAAAAAATAAACAATACACTGCGGATCATGGCATGGAACGCCAATGGGCTAGTACAGCGCAAACAAGAACTTGAAGACCTTTTAAACAGTGAAAACATTGACATAGCCCTTATTTCGGAAATTCACTTCACAGCGTGGACCTTTCTTAAGATAAAGAATTACAAAATATATACAACAATTCATCCTAGTAGTAGAGCTCGGGATGGTACTGCTGTAATAAAAAAAAAAGTATAAAGCACTATGAACTCGAAAAATACTCTGTAAATCAAATACAAGCATAAGAAATTAGTTCCTAAACAATGAAAATGAGCCCAAGTGATCATGGCACTTAAATCAGGAAAACCACCAGAACAAGTAACTTCATATAGACCAATTTCGCTTCTTCCAAGCATCTCAAAATTATTTGAAAAACTACTGCTAAAACACTTAAAACCGTTGATAGAAAAAAGACAGCTTATACTAGAACATCAGTTTGGATTTTGAAATAAACACTCAACAATCGACCAGGTCCATCATGTCACCAAAATAATAAGCAAAGCGCTTGAAGAGAAAAAGTATTGCTGCGGAGTATTCCTTGACAAGTTTGGCACAAATGATTACTTATAAAACTATGTGAACAGCTGTCACATACCACTTTTCGAATCCTACCTGACTGGGTTTTTGTGGGAATTCAGGGTCATTCATGAAGAAGCATTAACTGATTGGAAAAAGATACTGGTGTGTGTACCACAGGAAAGCGTCCTTGGACCAATCCTGAACTGAATCTACACAGCGGACATTCCAACCGATAACTGTTCAATGACAGCCATGTTTGCTGATGACACGGCAATAATGACAACAAATGAAGACCAGCATATTGCGACTGATTAGCTTCAAAGGTCCATCAACAATGTTTCCAACTGGACGAATTGGAAGATTTAAATTAACAGTGAAAAATCGGTGCACTTAAATTACACCTTGCGTAAAACCCTCTATAAACCGTTATTACTAGATCAGCAGAGCATCCCACAGTGTGACTCAGCAAAATATCTAGGAATGCACCTGGACTCTCGGCTCAACTGGAAGCATCACTTTAGACAGAAAAAAATGTGACAACTATATTGGCTGGTTGAAAAACATTCTGAACTAGAGCAATCTCACAAGCAAACGCCTCTTGTATGTAATGATAATTAAACCAATATGGACTTATGGAATTCAACTGTGGGATTGTACCAGCAAGTCCAATATTGAGATTATACAATGTTGGCAGAACATCGCTCTCCGTACCATTTTCGCAGCTAACTGGTATTACAGAACTGACATTATCTAGTAATATGCATTGTCCATATCATTATTTACCCCATCAAAAAACTGTCAACAATGTATATTTCATATTGTGGTAAATTAATGAAATAGGTATTATATATTTTCTTTAATAATATTGTTTATAATATTATACAGATTTGTCTAACACTCTTCTTTTCCTACATTTTATCTCCATTTTTAAATTTATTGGGAAAACTCAGTCTAATATCCTTTCAAAAAAAGTTTTATCATTTTGAATGAGAGCAAAAATTTCTGGTAAAAAAAATGTACACGGAAAAAAAGCCATAATAAAAGTCTACCCAAATAAAATGTCCTTTGAGAAAATTTGCAATTAAAAATTGGAGCAAGATTGCTCGTCGAAAAATTGTTCACAAATTAAAAAATAATAATAATAAATAACATTATTGTATTACCAATACATTTCACACTATGCTTAAAATCAAAAAGTATACAATTTTACACAATATGTAATAAATACAATTATATATATATACAATATTACAATATACCTATAGTTAAACTGTTTTCTTAGGTGGCTTATGTTGATTTTGGATCTTATGAAGTTGTCAACAAATCTAGAATTCGACTGCTGGTATCAAAATTTAGTATTGAACCTGTGCTGGCTCTACACTGTTGTTTGTATAGCGATGATGAATTTAACTTTAGTCGAGAAACAAATGAAATTTTTGGTGAAATGGTGGATGGCTTTGATCTAGAAGCTCACTTTCATGGTTTTACATTTCTAAAGGTAAATAGCAAAATTATTTTATATATCATATATAATGTTATTCAATTGTGTTTCAATTTTAGGATGGAATTAAAAAGATGAGATTGCAACTATTTTTAAAAGTGAAGGATATGGAAAGTATAGACATAAACAAATTATGGTGAGTTTACTGATGTAAAACTTAACCTAACATACATTTTTTTTCCAACCGATGGTGCAACCAAGATTTAATTTCGAATGGGAGGGGGGTTATGAATTTCAACAAATTTTGACTGCTTAGTTGTAGGCCACTGTTACAGGTAGATAGTTGGGAAAGTACAGTATATACAATCCTAATTAAAAAAGGAATATAATAAAAAACATGGTGAACAACTGCATGTCCAAAAAATATATTTAAAATATAAGTACCTACTACTGCTGGACAACAATTTTGTGTAAAAATAATTTTTTAGAAAAAGTATTTTTAATTTCGAATCAATTTACAATGAAAAATGAATCTTTAGAATTATGAAAAATGTAAGGTACTTGAGAAATCAGATCATTTTTAGTAACTTCTTGAAAAACAAAAATAAAACTAAATTACTAAATTTTGAGTATACCAAAGAATTAAATGAAACTAGTAGTTAATAATTATAGCCGAGATGAAATCCTTGAATATACTTTTATCCTTTTAATGTAGACAATTTCTCATCTTTTAATGTACCCTATAAAAAATTTGGAGTATTTTCAGGACTGAAGAAAAGAAATTAAGGATAAGTAAAAGTAAAACAGAGTATGAGTTTAGAGAAACAGAATAAGACAGCTAACAACAATAAGCAGTTATAGATGATGTTGAACATTTTAACTATCTAGGATATTTCTTAAAAAACAATGGTGTCTTTTATGATGATGTGAAATATAGAACTAAATTTGATTACAAGGATAAAGTGGATAAAAGCATTCAATGTTTTATCTGACAAGAAAATTCCAATGAAACTTAACATAAAGTTCTACAAAACTGTGGTGAAACTGAGACTGGCTATAGTGTATGGTTAATAATATTGGGTGTGGTGGGCAAAAAAATAGAACAGAAAATGAGTGTAACTGGAATGAGAATACTTAGGTAGATGAGAGAAGATGGGATAGTGAATAATGATTGGATGTCTTAAGAATGATATAAAGACAGCCAGTATTTTCAATGTGGTAGATGGGATCAAGAGAAAGTTTAGAATGAGGGTGGCCGACCCCAAATAGTTTAAATGAAGGCAAAAGATAAGAAGATTAAAAAAGTTTGTTGAATATTACTTTAAATTAATTTTGTTGTCAACATCAGGGGGTTGAATAGTATTCCATCACTCTTCCTCGGCCTAAATCTAAAAGTGTTATACCTCAAATATACATTTTTTAATGGACTCCAAAATGTGAACACTAAAATATATTTTAATCGAGTACTTTGGAATTTTTCTTGTAGTGAATAATTTGAAAATCAAAAGAAGTAGTGGTCTTACCACTTAAAATAAGTATAGCAAAAAATTACTATAATGTAACATTTTAGAGCTACTTATTTCTTGAATGAGCTAATAACAAATTTTAAAAACAAAAATTAATTTTTTGAGATAATGAATGTATTACATTATCTTGATTACCCTGTAATCAACCTTATTGTGTAACCTACCTTTTTCTGTAAACAAGTGTAGTTTTGATTCTAAGCGTTAAGTAATTTTAATAATATTAGTAAATTTTAATTTTAAATATTTCATTGTAACTTAATTATTTGTACTTAATAAAAATAATTTTCCTTAGTTTTTTTACCACTACATTATTATTTATCATTTTTTACTTATAGAACAACTTTTAAAAAACACTTTTTAAATATTATTTTCAGTGCTAAACATATCAAAAACACTTCATATAAATCTGAAACATCAATTAGAAGGATTATGTGTGAAATAGAACAAGAAAAATCTATTTTAAAAAAAATAAATACTCCAAAGAACAAAAATAATAGTTCCTAACTATTAGCTTTTAACTTTACTATTATTATCTTACATTGTAAAAATACATACCTAATATTTTTAAATTATTTTTAATTAAATGTATTTTATTTAAATTTATTATGTTTTAAAACAAAATTAACAGTAAGATTTTATTTGATACACATATAATAATTAAATTAGTATGTTAATTTTGTATTTTTGCATTTTCTGTATTGACAATTATAATAAATACATATTTATTATCATTTTATATTATTGAAACAAAACTTAATTTTAAAATTAAGTAATGTATCACCTGGACTAAAATATATTGTTGCTTTGGATGCTCTTATTTTAAAAATAATTTGGCCTACAACTATTAAATATTATGATACCTAATACGTCATAATGATAAATCATTGTAAATAATAAAGATTCGGTGAAGTTTGGTTAAAATGTCTTGATGATTTAAAACTCTTATTAATTTGCAACTACCAAATTACACGAACTTCCATTTTTTGATTTATGATTAATAATTAGAGTTGTAAATTCAATACACTAAAAAAAACATTTAATTACCATAAGAGCAATTGCATTCAAAAAAAAAACATGCTTAAGCATTGTATGTATTATTTTAAAGTCTTGTAGTAATAGTGTTAACAAATGAGCAACTTAATTAACAACTAATAATATTTATTACACAGAATGATAAATAATTACACCAAAGTAAAAATTATATAAAAGTACAAGGTATATAACTCCCAATATATTGCATATATAACCTCCTATATGCAAAATTTTGAGGTTTTGGTATCCTGGGTTCAGAAAAAATAATGTGATAATATCTCCTATGTGTCATCTTCATGAAAGAATTAATTAAAAATAAAAAATAAAATCTCTTATGTGTTACACTGATTTGTTTGTGAAATACCTCCTTTGTGATTTTGGCAAAACATTTTAACTAACAAAACTTATATGATTGAAATATTGACAATTTATACAATATTATATCAATAATTGTTAAGTTTTTAGTTTAATTTTTCCAAGAATAAATACTTGTATGGTTTTACAATTTTAAAATGTATTTTTGTCAATCATTGACAACTTTTGATTTTTTAAAACGTTTTGTGTCTTCTGAAAAATCAGGTTTTAGCACATTAGAGGTTTTTTCACTGTACAAAATTAGTGAAAGCATCCAATAATAAAATAATATAGTGTCACAAATTTTTAATAAAATGCATATTAAGTATTCATTTTTTTTTAAATATACCTAAATGTATAAACAATATTAATTACATAATATACAATGGAGATATCAATTAACTAAGTACATAATAATATGGAATTACTCAACTTTTATCTAATACAAATCCTTTTGATTTACCTAGAATTCTTTTTATCCTTTTTCTTTCATTATCATTCTCACTGCATCACTAATTCCAACATTTTCAGTCACTTATTGGTCTCTCCTCTTATGTTTCCATATTAACCCTTTAAACATTTTTTTATTTTGGCGCAAATGAGCTGTACCTAAATCGATTACCTTTTTTTCTGGCGCAAATGGGTGACGCCCGTTTCATCCGTTGTAAACACAATAACTCACGTCATCGCCGAAAGTGTGATTATCCCACACGTATAGTGCGGCATTACTGCTACTGCATCAGGTATATTACAGTCAAAGACCGGATTTAATAGCATTTAAAATGCACAAAAATTATATAATTGCACCAAAAAATACGTAAAAATTGCACAGTAGAAATGCAAAAGTTACACAGAAAAAAAATTAGATAAATGTTACTTTTTTTAATTAAAATTGATAATTAGATACATTTCTAAATATTTTTCATTAAAATTAAATCTTCTATTACTTAAAATATGCTTTTACAAAGAAAAACTACGTTCTATGTCTGCACTAGTTATTGGTGCACATATAAAATAATTTAATAAAGTAGGAGTATGTCTAAATTAACATTTGCTTTACCTGACATGAGTTTATAGTAAGACTTTAAAGTTTTATACCCTTCATTTTTTTTCAATTACATACATAAATTTATCTTTAATTTTTTACCATTTGTACCAGAAATATTTGTTAAAATGTCTTCAGTTTTTATAAAAATATCCACGCTAGTTCACTATTAGAATCTAACAAATTTTTAAGATTCATGGATAACTCGGATAAGTGTAATTTTATGAATGCTAAACCACATTTGACTGCATTATTTTGTACGAGCTGTTTCAGCTTTTCAACAGTTGTAGCATCATCTGTTAAACTATCAATCACGTTTTTAAACTCTTCAAAATCATTTGCATAGAAAAGTTCAGCATTTAACCATGTTCCCAATATAGTAATAATGGGTTTGTGTGGTAAAGGTATCCCCGGCATTTCTTTTCTGTATTTATTTATTCTCGATGGTGCTTTTAGGAAAGCTTTTTTTCCTGAAATAAACGTAGAAAGTTACATATGTATTTAAATTTTAAATAGGTACTTAATATATTACCATTGTTAATCAATTTATTAATCTCGAGAAATGATTCTCGAATTTTCTCTAGAAATCTATTAACAGTGTGCGCCATACATGTAATATGAATTAATTTCGGGAAAAATATCTTTTTGTTTTTGCTGTTTTGATCATATAAGTACCAGTATCACTGATAAAAAGTAATAATTTTTGTTCATTACCAGTAAATATTTTTAAGGAGGAATTAATAAACTGACAAATAGTTTTATAATTGGTGGATTCTAGTTCTTTACATGCAACCAAATATGATTTACTAGGCGTCCCATCTAATTTACCAATTAATAAATTTGCAATAGCCAAACCTAAACGAAAATAGTATATTTTATTATATGAGAAATTAAATAAATTATTTATACAAACTTCTTGGATCGGTTGTTTCGTCAACAATTATGTAAACGTAATTATTTCACAATCACTAATTGTTTGGTCCATAACGCTTTTATAAATATTTGGTATGTAATTTTTTTCAAAAATTGCTTTCGTCCAAAATTGATTTGCCAGTATGTTTTTCCAAAAATGATTTTAACACATGATTACCACAAGCTGTGCAAAAGAACATTTTCAACAACAAATGCATTACATATATATTCAAAAAATACAATTTTAGTATTCGAATTTTGAAAAGTAATTAAAAGCTGTTTTTTCTTTATTCCTTTATAATGCATTTATGTGTTGAACTAAAAAAATATACATTTATTTTTGAAATAATAAGTAGTATATTACGTGTAGTATGAGCATAAAATACGAAACTTACTTGTTTCGGAATGATGAGCTAATGGACATTTTTTTTTTCAGTAGACACGGATTTGTTGCATACCAGACAATATATAACCTTTCAATCCAATGGAAATACTTCGTTATTTTCATTGTAAGGAGCAATTCAATTCGAAATTTTACTTTTTAAAAGTTGATTTTATTTTGGGCATTACGTCGAATACGTTCACTGTGCGGTCGAACCAATGAAAGAAATAGGTACTAAGGCACCGACAAGTAAACTCGCACGAATCGCTGTACTACTACGTTGAATTCAATTACCACCATAAATATATATATAGACGCTTATCGCGCGCTGGGCTCTCCAAGCTTCTAGAAAATACCAGACGAACGATAAACGTCTATGATTTAACGTGGGAAAATTGCAAAAAATCGCATTGTAAAATCAAATGGGCAGAATATTTTGAGTATATATCGGCTATATATTTAATCAGATCTGATTTATCTTTAATGCAGAAAAAAAAAAAGTCGCAACGTCAATTATATCCGGTCTTTATTTATAAGTAACTAGCTGACCCGGCGAACTTCGTACCGTCTAACAGTCAGTAAATGTATTTTTTTTATAGTGGTACCTTTTAGGTAATATTAATTAATGTTTTTAACTAACGTAATAAAATTAATGCAAACAAATTATTAAGTTCAATAGTTCGTTAGAATAATATATATTTATATATATAAAGAAAATACAAATTAAATAAAATTACAAAAATCAAGTATTTCAATGGCGGGTCGGCAAGACATTTTCTTTGATGAAGCTATGTATTTCGCTGCATGGGTTACGCTTGGGTTGATTCTCTTCAGTGAAGCACCTTGTGATATACCTACGACATTTTTCGTTTTATTATCAGATATTAGAACATATAAAGCGGATGGTTTTCCGACACGTGAACATGCCACGTACAATTGACTATAAGAAAATCGTGCATTTTCTAAATTCAGACCACAAACACTCAAGGATTGTCCTTGTGATTTGTTAATCGTCATGGTGAATGCAAGACGAATTTGAAATTGAATTCGTTAAACTCAAAGGGCATATCGGTTGGTATCATCGGAATCCTCGGAATGAGAACTTCCTCGCCTATGAATTTTCATATGAGTATCGTCGCGTGAATCACATTGATCATCAGTTTTCTTATCATCATACGCGTGTCATTGCATAATTTTGGTTGATTTAGATTTCGAAGCATGATAACTACCGAACCCACCTTTAGTTGTAAATTGTGCGGTGGTAAGCCAGGTACATACAAGGATTTTACAAATTCAGGTAGATAGCTGATGTCTTCGTTTTCGTTTGTTACACAATCAATAGATTTAAATGAATGCAGAGTACCAACGATTTGATTCTGAATTACAAAGTATAAGTTACCCACGTCTTTATTCTTAGCCGCTAAAATTGCTCGCTCACTCAACCATTCGTTATTTTTGCAGTTAGCAGTGATGTTCTGGAATACATTGTTGATGAGCTCAAATACAGAGACCTAAAAAAACTATATTTGAGCACATTTTTTTTTTAAAATCTTATCTTTTAAAGAAAATGAACATTTACTTTCTTCAATGTAAATTACCTTGAATGTCGGATTAAATCCATGCTCTTAGATAATGTCTTTTATGCCCCAAATGAAGTCATTTGAAACAGCCATTGTATTTTCGAGTATTCGCAAGAAAATGTCGAGGCGGCGGCCGTATAAGTATAGACGAAAATAAATTCATGGTCGAAATAAAATACTATAAGTCTATAAACGACAATACGGGACATTCGTACAAAAGAAGTGACGAACAATATATTTTGTTACTGTTTCAAGAAAGTATCCTCCGATATTGTACATAATTTGATTATACTTGTCTACTTAATTTGATGAATATTACTATTTTTATTACAAATTCTATTATAAATGCATTGCGTCATTTAAATTTAACCGTAGGGTACTATCCTGTTATGTCGACTACCGAAATATTTTCAAGGCTACCTGTATGAAGACGAGGAAGGACGCCGAACTGTATAAATGAAGGTGGTCCAAAATTATCGAAAATCATCAGAATGTGCTTCGGTTAGTAGTGATGTCTGTTTTACATGTGAAACGTGGGAAATTTATTTTTTTTTTTTTATTGTTATAATATAATCTAAATAGCAGAACTAATTACTACAAAACGTTTTTTGAAGACCAAATTGTGTATATGTATATCGAATTTAGGTGTTTCCAAGAATATACGAGTTCTAGATTTAGAGATTTAATTTTTTTTAGAAAATACTTTTTGGTTAGGTTTGAAAAAAAGGCGAGAATTTTGTTAAAATCTGGTGCTAAAATAGTAAATACGTCATTACGGCACTGATTTTCTGTATTAAGGTTAAGTTCATGACTAGAGAAACACTAAATTTTTGCTACGAGCTACGACTATCAGTGTTCTTTCTTCTTGCTCCACTATCTAGTATTCATGATTCTCTATGGCTTTTTTTTAAATAGGTATTTGCATTATTACCTAAATATTTGGTATGATTTTATATAATATATACAATATTACAATGTCCAGAAATAGTTTTATTCCTGGATGTGATGAAGGTTTCAAATCACAAAAAATAAAGCATTAGGTACCTACAGTAAATAAATTAATCTTCAAAGCTCCCAAGGTAAGATACTAAAATCTAAACTTTATTTGTTTTAATTTAGTATTTACATAAGTACATAATTTATAAATGTATTTCATATTTTAGTTATTATTATTACTATTTAAGTTAAAAAAATAGATTACTTATAATTAACTTTTAAAGATTAATAACTTATATACCTATATAAGTTATAATAATATAAGGAAGTTATATGGGATGTATTTAATATATTCCTTTAAGAACTAAGAGAACTTTTCCTGCTGTGCCCTTCTGAGTCATAGGATTTAAATGAGACGTCCACAGACCATTAGTTGTAATTATAAATGTCTGCATCCCGAGAACTTCCTGAAATAACTTTAATAGGAATTAAACCATTATTGGGCCAGTACACTGCCTATATATAGCTTATAGGCTTCCAAAAATCACATAGGTCCAAAAACTTCTATTATATTTTATTTAACTATAATATATATGTATACTATAGTTAAATAATACTTATATATATATATTGATATTATATATGTTACAATATGATATCTTGTATATACTTATTGCTATTATAATAGACAACTGCTACTTAGCTGTGCAGTCTGAAATATCTTACAGAATCTATAATTTTTCAATTACTTGATCGATTCAAATCTTTTAACTACTCAAATATATCATCTGTGCTAAATACTTTTAAAAGTTCTTCAACTTCCGCACTCAAAAATTATTTCAAAATTATTAATAATTATATATTACATAACCATTTATAAATGATTGCTAATTAGTATCTATATAATTTAACTAGTTTTTTTTATTCAATCTTAACTTTAAATTTACTTTAATAACATGTAAACATATAATATTTAATGATACACTTTAAATACATCTAAGCGTACAGTAGTTAATTTCTTATGAGAATACCTGATGGGCTATAAAAAATATATCAAAGTTTTGAATTAATGAACCAATAAAATTTTTAATTAATAAAAGTTAAAAAAAAAAAAATTAAATTGATCACAGTAATTATAATTCTTATTGTATCAATAATTAGATAAAGTAGTTGAATTAAGTATTTGAATCAATGTTGGTGGATACATTGGGTTTTTTCTAGATGTGTAATAGTTAATAAGTAGTCAGGTGCATGTTCAAACCAGCTTTAAATCGCAGGTTTAACATGATGTTTAGTGGCTGATTCATAAAAGACTCAGACACCTTCTGTATTAAAACAAAATAATAAAAGATTAATAAAAATAATTCACATATAGATGCATTTCATTTCAATTTACTATTCAACAAAATAAGTTTGCGCATCAAACATTGTTGTAATGAGCAGGAGTCAAAAATTCGGGCCTAATGTCTAAGACTATGTAATACTCAGGGCAAGAGAATCAGTAAAATCAGTTTCAGTTACTTCCTTTTCATCGATCAAACAGAGCATATTTTTTTGTTAAATTTATAGAATGTAATAAGGTTAAAATAATTGTAGATAGTTTAACAATTACATCTATAATATTTTTCACGGAGAACGATAGAGAGTCTCGACAAAAAGCAGTCATTCTTATGCATTCTCACGCCGCACCTCGCCCAAGGCTCCCACCACTATCAGGTCAGGTGTAATTTTGCGGACTGCCATCGACGACGAGAACGGCAGCGAGTGATCCGTAAGCTCAGTCTGCGTGCGCGAAAAACTACCTTTCTCTTATGAAAAATAGTATAGTAATACTTTAAAATAGTTTGTACTGGAAAAACATGGATTATTTTCCTTTATGACCAGTAAGTGTAATAGATCTTGATATTTCATTACTTAAAAGTTTTATAAGAATATGACAAGTAACATCATTAATACTTGATCCATCATATATTAATAATTTCTTTTTCTGAAAATTGATTAAATCTTAGCTAATAATTTGATGAACATATTATTATTTCTAAACACCATGTGTATACAAAATATTATTTACCATAAAACTGTAGTATGCCTTATTGTAAAATCTCATTAATATGATTAAATTGTGTTAATTCTTTTAAATGACAATTTTCATTGAAGTGTATTTTAAAATCATCAATTTGTGTTGATGTAATATTGAGCAGGTAGTCAACTGAACAATCATTGGTTAGTCATTTTTCTAAATTGTGTGCAAAATATACAACACATTATGAATATGTAGGTAACAAAATGGGAGGTTTAATGATAAATTTTGATTTTTGAATAAAACTATTTTAGAGTTGTTGTTGAGCGGCCCAATGTAATATCACAGTTATTTACATTCGGAACAGTGTTGCGGTGGTGAAATGCAATTACTAAGATGGAGTAGTATATGTTTGTAGCAGTTGATTTTTGCAGCAACAGTGTTCCCATTATGACATTTATGATATAATTTAATAGTAAATAGTTAATGAATAAAATATAGATAAGTTGTTTATGTCAATATCATAAACATGTATATTGTTTGTAGATAACAAATTTATAAGGATTATATAAATATCCATAAGATGTTACAATATTAAAGTATATTACAAATATGTAGTAATGTACTAAGTTTGATCTGAATTTGATGTATTTATGGATTGTTCACTTGTTTGTTGTACATCAGTATGAATGGAAATTATATGTCGCCCGGGTATCATCACCAAGCCCAAAAGTCTAGATTCTCCAGTATCTAAATCTTAACATACATTGGAAAAAAGTTGTGAATCGAAAATGACAAATAATAAATAAAAATAATCAGAATTTTACCTTTTTCATTAAAATATTCATAACATGAACTCAGTATAATATGGGCATCTTTATCAGTACAAACAAATGTTCCAACTAAAACACGGCCATCTAGTAGATGAATTTTCATTTGTTGATTTAACCAAGACATGAGTTTCCGTCTCCCTTCTGTATATTCTTGTTCTGGCTAATGAGAAAAAATCACATAAAATTGAAATTAGTAATTACAAATAGGTATATATATTTTAAATGATATAGGTACCAACAATATAAATGACCACATGACAAATAATTATTATAGATGTGGCTTATTTCTATATTTGTATTTATATGTATATTAAGATATTTTCATTAGGTAACTATACTATGTAGATACACTAGAATAGGTAATTATTTAGATATTTTACATTATTTTGATCTTTCTTTATGTCAGACAGCTAGATTACATTTCTATCATATTTAGTCAAAAACTATACACACTACTCACCACAAAACTGCACATTGAAGATTTTTGAAAATTTTGATTTTCGGTTTCCATTTTGAAGAGTTAAGATATTACATTGAATAATTAGTTTTAACGGATAAATGTACAAATTAAAACGTAGAAAAAGAACTGCAAATTGTTATTTACATTTTACATGCTATTGGATTTATCATTTATAAATTAAAATGTGATAACAATGATTGTATAATATCAAAAATGGTATATTTATATGAACTCTATACTCTATCATATATAAATATTGGACTAGATTGCTAACTAGTGATAACACGAAAGTTTCATTCCGTCATTTAATTTGGGGCTGGAACTATATTATCAATTGATAATTTTTAATCACACTATTACATTATTATTCACGATTGGTTTATGATTTATTATATATATATATATACATATTCTGTAGTCTATAGGCATTCAGTGCATAATCCTTAGATCATATGCTATAATATGATCAAAGACATTATCTGTGATAAAGCACACAACATGATATGTATAGACACGGTCACGGTCTAAGATATAGTAGACTGGTCACGGCATGGTGAACGACCTATATTTTATTTGAAAATAATTCAGCAGAAAAAATGTTTTAAGCAATAAAGTATTTTAGTTGAAAAATTATTTGTACGAAAATAAATTATCAGACACGTATTTTATTAAGAAATTAGTTTTACCAATTACAAATAGATATTATAAATTGTAATATGTATAATTCAATGTATAAATTGATATTGAGTATATAGTAGAGTTAGGACCACAATTAATTCGTAATCCTGGCCATAGTTCAACACCAATCTAAGACCAATCCTTACGTTTATCTGTGATGGGATCGGTGTTAGTTTTTTTTAAATCCGAAAAATCTTTGATGGCATCAGAGGGTCTGTCTTGTGGGTAAATTAGACAAATATCTATATTATCTATAGCCATGGTCTGTCTATTCGCATTTCGCAGTCGATTAGAGCACCATCGTTATCATTTTATTGTTATCATACAAAATGTATAATAATCGTGGATATATAAAATAATAAAATAAATTATTTTATACCTATACCTATGATAATAATGTAAAATATAGATGATAAAAAAAATTCCTTTTTTTTACAAACTCGATGGTCGTTATATAACTAAATGTATAACCGTTTTTGAAATACGGATAATTAGTTATATTTAGTTTTCTATGTGATCTAATTACACATTTTTAAATTAAAAAAGTTAAGTTATAAGAACATTGTATTTTGTTTTCTTATGAAGTATAAACATTAAAATTGTGGGTAATGTATTATAAACATTGAAAGTATGTCAAAATTACAAAATGCATAATAGATAGTTAGGTAATAATAATTATAAATGGTGAAATTATTATAGAATTTTATTTTAATTTATTATTTTATGCGATTTTGGTTAATCCATTAATGTTGATAAAACCTAATTTCAATAAATTTGTTGAAAAAGATTTAAAATCATGTTTCCCGTCAAATGGAAGTTATATTGAATATAATGTTATATGATTGATCTCTCTAAAACATTTTCAAGACAATTTAATTACTTAATGTCGAAGCCGAGCTTTGGCCACTAACTTTTAGCCGTCGTTCAATTCACCACCAACCATTCACCGTAAGACATTTTTTCGTTTAAAAACGCGTCGTTGTTTTCCAACCTACGTTGGTCGGACCATCACTATGTTACATAGATAGATAAGGGGTATTTCATATTAAATGTATCCCCCTCATCTGATTTTCGGATCAAGAATATTTCTAAGGGATTTGGTGATAGTGGTTTTAACCAATTTCATGTCGTTCATTTTCAATAATAAAAATAACTAAAAATGATTTAAACATTTAAAAAAAAAAATTTTTTTTATTATCTATATTTTATATTATATATTTCGGGTAATATTTCGGATGATAACAACAAAATGATAACTTTGGCTCTAATCAACTGCGATTGCGAATTATAGATATTAAAGATCTTAAATATCTATGCACATATTCTCTACGGTTTATAGCACGGACTATGTATCTAAGTATATCCATGGCTAAATAATATAGTTATTAATAGTTATTAAGCCATTGGTATATTTTAGTCCACGGTTTATAGATAATGCTGTATGTATAATCTATAAACCTTGGTTGGCATACACGTAGAGTATAGGATTGCCTTATCCATATGTTTAATATATAGATGTCTCACTCACGTCCACGATTATAGATAGTACTGTCTATAGCCATGCTCGCGTTCTAACCGAACTAATTAAACCCACGAGTTTTTAATTTTCCAATAGATTGTATTCAATTTTTCAAGTTAAATGGTTTATTTTTAAAACGCTTACAATTATTTCAGAAATCAGCGAAATTTAATTATAAAATATTTTGTAAGTTACCCATAACAAAATAACAGAATACTGAATTAGTAATTTACCTATTTTACTTTACCTAGGTACCTATACATAATTTCGTATTTTACAAATTAATAAACCAACTTACAATGTTAAATTATTTGGTTATTTTATTAGAATGAGCGGTAAAGAAGAATTCCTTTCTAAATCTGAGCGCACTACATGTTGGTCATCCCGTGATTATTATTGGGAATGTTTGCGATCCAATAATGAAGAAGCCGCCAAATGTACAGATCTAAGAAAAATCTATGAATCATCGTGTCCTGCTCAATGGGTAGATAGATTTTTAAATATAACCAAGTTATTATGTAAATACAGGATGATTTTTTTTATCATGATACATTTTATCATCATCGATAGGCAATTTATTTCCCTTCCCTACTCCCCTGGTCAAAAATTTAAATTGTTAGAACTCATAAACGGTAAATCTGATATGAGTTGATGCATATTAAAATTTCTAGAAAAATATTTCACATTTAAATCTGTGTTCAAAAAGGGGTTCCCTATTTGAAAATCAAAAGTATGCACTTATTTAAGGTATATGGAGTAAAATCACCATTTATTTCGGTAAAATATATCATATTGTCTATCTGTTTTATTGTTTTAGTTGTGACAAATATTATTTAATTATACATTTTAAATGTTACCTATTTAGTTTATACATTAATACTTACACTTTAATTTATTAACGTTCATTTTATGAAAATATTCATATGGCCATCAATGTACATCTTTCTAATTCAATATTTAACCATAGACAACAACTTAAATAAATTTTAATATTTAATATTGTATCTAATTAAATTTTTACAGGTGAAACATTTTGATAGAAAATTCAACTATTTGAAGTTTAAAGAAAAAATGGAAACTGAAGGTTATGAGCCTTTAAATAATATATGATGTAATATAATCAATGTTCAATGACTATTTTAGTTTAATTGGTAGGTAAAATTCACATTTGTTTACAATTTATTTATTGTTTTATTTTGTATTATACATCTAGTAAAAAATATAAATATTATGTTATATAATAATAATACAATTTTGAAAATATAGTACTTTGGTAGGTACATATTTTTTTAATAGATGTTATTTTAATAAAGACTAAAATGATGTTAAATTATTTTATTATTTGTTTGTTACTTAAAATAGAAAAATACTTGGATTACATTAAGTAAATGTATTTTTAGCACCTAAAACAATATTATTTTTTCAGTTTAATACAATCCGCTACTATATTTCTCTTTCAAATATGTTGCCATCCCAAGAATTACTTGACAAATTTAGTGTTGAAATATTTGAAAAAATACTTCAATATGACTTTACTTATTTAAACGTAAGTATAAATACCTATCCATGCGATTACTTTTCAAATACAATTGTTATATTTATTTAAATATTAAGGGTTATAATGGATTATAATGAATGAATAATAATGTTAACTAATAATATATATTTATTAATTCAATTTTCCGGCTTGCAAATAAATATTTATTTTATCGTAATCTATTACATTTCATAATTATTCTTTATGTTTTAATCAAATTAATTATACAATTAAAATTATTTAAAGTACTAATAATGTATTTTTTTAAAAAAACAATATTTATTTAATTTACAGGATTTTAATCATTTTCTTCAGAAAATTGATTTATATGGTGTTGACTTTTGTACTAAACATCTGAAATATCAAGATTTTTGTAAAAACATCCATCTTAAACTTATTGACATTATTGTAAATGGAAAACAATCATCTGATTATCAGAATTTGGTTCCTCAAATTTTATATCAAACATTATATTTAAGTCAACAAATTATAAAAGTAGAACAGTTTAATAGTACATTAGTAGTAGAAAACAAATGGACTTTTCCTATTAAAACTGAAGATGTAACAGATAATGGTACTCATATTGTACATTTCATAAGTCTTGGGAAAAAATTCAAATTGCCATTAGAAAAATACGATCAATATTGTTTACAAATTCATATTGGTGCTATTAAATGTTTGCAGTTTGAAAAAAAAATTGATTTTGTGGTTGATTCAATTGAAAATATTTGCGATTTATGCTTTCGTCATAGTAAAGTAAATTTAGAAGCATTAAAACATTTAACAGAATGTGTTTCGGTTATAACAAAAAAACACTGGGCAATTTGTTCAACATTTATATATAAGGTTCTAATGGGTCTTATGAATCATCATTTACCACCGATTCATGATCAGTGTATTCTTATATTCAAAAAATGTTTAGACCTTGAAGATTTAAATTTTATATTAAAAACTATCATGACAGAAATGTCATGGTCCTTAAGGATTAAGTTTTATATGTTAACTGTTATTACTTCAAAATATGGTGTAAAGAAGGTAAATTTTATTTTACCTATAGCGTGATTAATCTATCGCAAGACACTCATCTTGAAAAGTATTCCCTTTTTTTCGGAATTTGTTCTATAGAACATTTAGGAAACAAGCAGCTTTACATTTTTACATTTATGTTAGTTTTGGGAGTAAAACCACTATTTACTTTTGATTTTCAAATGACAACGTATACTAAAAATTCCATAAATTGATTCATTGACAAGATATTCTACTTTTAAGATTGTGTCTGGGGAGAGTAGGGGAGTATCATTTGTGTGACACACATTGTGTGGCGTTTTAATAATATACCACTACTCTTTCCCAACCCAAACTTAAATGTGAAATATCTTGTCAATGGATTGATGGAAATTAAAAATTCAACACCAAATTTTATTTTAACTAATACTTCATCTATTTATAAAATTTTTAATATAGGTACCATTTGAAAATCAAAAGTAGTTAGTGGTTTTACCCCCAAAAGTAGGAGTGACAAAAAATAACATAAATGTAAAGTTGTAGAGCTATTTGTTTCTTAAATATTCTATAAAACAAATTCTGAAAAAGTTGATACTTTCAGAAATAATGAGATTCTTATCATAGAATGATCACTCAGTATAATTAAGCTCAAAAATAATATACATTTTGTATTATTTTAGATTTTAGAAAAGTATGATATTTTATCAATTTCAATGTGGAAGTGCTTAAATGAACCATATTTACTGTCCCCTTGTATTGATCTCTACAAAGTATTTATTAAAAATTTGAGTGAAGATGATTACTCTACTTTAGTTATGCAACCAATTATTCATTTTCTGACTACAGATAATATTTCTGAGTAAGTGTTATTTTATTATTTTTAGAGTAATAAACTAATTTCAATTTTTATTTTTTTAACTAATCAGTGTAGTTATGAATGCTATTTAAAAAAAAAAAACAAGATTAAAGATCTAAAAAAATATTAAATACCTTTTGATACAAGGTGGTGCCCAGAAGTGTGTTAATTTGATACATTATTCCATAACATTTTTATTTTATTCTGCACAAATATAAATAAAGAGCTGATACTGGGGATGGGTGCTGCCACTGTTTTAGGTGGGTAGTGGGAAGGTGGGATACTTAAAGTATTCAACGAAAGTTCGGTTACACATGGTTTGAAAGGACTTAATATTTATAATATTCATCAGTTTGATTTTAACTTTTATAAAAAATAATAAAAACACTACATTATACTAATTTTTTTTTTTTTTTGGTTTATAATTAATCTTCTATCAAATTTTCAAGAATTTCTGTTGTCTAACAATGTATCCACAGAGTATCTACCAAATAAAAATATCATAAACTCACAAAATTTAAATGTCTATAAATAGTTCAAAAATTGCTCAAATGTTCTGAAAGTTTAACATTGTCTAGGAAAAAAAGAATGTGAATTTTCTGTCAACATTTTAAGTCTATTAATATTTTAAACTGAATTACATTAAAAAACAACATTTTAAAAAGGTTTTCCTGGGTTTTTTTTTTTTTTACATATTTTTCAGTTTTGCTCAATTTTTGAAAAAACTACACAAATAATCAAGAAACGACTTTCTTGATTATTAACAAGATTAAAATTTCAACAAAAAATGTCTCTTGTTGTTTTTCTATTGGAGCAATATTTATAGTAGAAAAAATAGGCTCTATAAATTTAAAATTATGAAATCATTGTGTCAGAATTTGAAAAAAATTTTATATTTTGTCCTTTTTGATTTTCCCCAGTTATTTTGAATAATTCTTTGGATATTGAAAAAACGGCTTGCGCTGTCAGTGGCAAAATATTAAAAGAAACAAAATCGATCTCTTTTCATTTTTGAATAGGAACAATATTTCTGGTAGGAAACATGTAAACATAATAAAAATAGTAACGCCATGACACCATAAATATTTGCTGTTTTACCTATAATTTTTTTTTTCGAAAATCTATTAGAAAATCAAAAAAATGACCACAATGTACCAACTAGAAAAATTACCTTTCATAAAAGGTGTTATAATCTATTATACATTATTTGTTTAAGGTATATTTTTATTCATGACAACCAAATGAACTAATAATAACTGTTTTTTTATTTCTGCAATTTTTAACAATACAATTTGCTGTATCAAAAATACCAAAAACCTTGTGTCCACTATTCTTTAGAAGTTGAATTATGAAAAATTGTTTCTTAGAAGTTACCTATATTGTATAAGGACTTCAATGCAAAATTTCAAGTTTCTATGCTTAGCAGTTTAGGCTGTATGTTAATAATTGTCAGTTTCTTCTTTTATATTATACATAGAATAGTACTTATTTATTTTAGAAACTAATTAATTATTAAATTAAATTATATGTTTTAGGTTAACAAGATACAATTTTGTGACTTACCTTTTACCTGAAATGAAATCTAAACATAGTAGCAGTTTATTCATGTTATTTAAAACACTTAATAATCAATCAAAATTAGATTTATATCTACAAGTATCTGTATTGAGAATGATTTATAATCATAATACTGAAGTGAACAATTTTGCAGAAATACTTGATTTATCCTTGAAATCTGGCAATACTAAGATAAGATCTGAAGCTTTTTCTATTTTGTGTTGTTCAAAAATCACACCAAACACATTAAATTCAATTTATAATTTTATCGTTGACAATATAAATAGTGACTGTGCAACTTTAAGAATAAAGCTCATTTCTAGTTTAGAATTAATGCTACGCAAACATAAAATAACAAATGATTTAGTATTACAATTTATAAACAGACTGTATGTATTTATCATAAAAAATTTAGCACCTGGTTCAAATTATCAACGGAAAATTACATCTTTAAAAATATACTCAATTATACTGAGGTTTAATAAGAATCAAGATTATATTTCATATTCTTGTAGAAATTTACTTTTCAAAAATTTATTAGACTCTGAAGACATAAGAAAAAAATGTAGTGAATTACTTGTATCACATTTTGTTATTGTAAAAAATGACAAACCATATCTAAATAATTGGATGAAACTTGGTTTAAATCTCTGTTATGATCCTTTATTTTATAAAAATGAAAGCGGTTCAACTATAATAAATACAATAACCACATTGATTTATAAAAGTGGGCTTACAATAGACATATTAGACATAAATACTTCATCCATGTCTGCACATATATTGAATTTGGCACAAAAACAATGTGTTAAACTAACAAATAATTTTGTTAGCAATGTTACGAATGGTACGCTATATGGTTTGTTAAGTACATTAAATCATTTATCTTTTGAAAAAAATTCCCCAGAATCAAACATGTTAAACAAAATTGAGATTGAGACAATGTTAAATCTAATTGAAAATAATTTAAATCTAATGTTGGATACATTGGCTTCTAGAATGGATGATGAACGTAAATATAAATATAATTTATAAAATAAATAATATTATAGGCATATCAGATATTGGTATTTTATATTTTTAGAAAAAACTGAGGCGCCATCTTTTGCTCAAATGGATAATGCATTGAGTAGCTTAATTGAATCAACTCAGGATAATGTCCAAATACCAACAAATCAATTTCTTTTAAATTTTATTTGGATAAATATAAAAGTATGTGTATCATGATATAAGAGTTATGAAATTTGATCAATTTAACATTAAATAATTGTTATAGATTTGTTGTGACAGCGCTTGTAAATATGCTGCAATGTTAGCAATCAAAGATGTTACAGACAAACAATATCAAAATTCTCAAATAAAAAGATGTGCTAACATAACAGCAGATGTGTTAATTAGGTGTAGACATAAGGGAGCAATGGAAGCTACTTGTAGATCATTAGGGATATTAATAAAGCATTGGAATGAATCACAAAACTGGTGTGAAAATATATTAACTGATCATATTAGTTGTATGAAACCCGAAAACGAAATATCCAGAAGATCGGCTGGAGTAAGATATCTTATACATGCAATTGTAACAAATAATAAGGTAATTTTTTTTATGTAAAAATAAAATAATATATAAATATTAAAAACTACAGGTATTTGAAATTACTAAATGAACTAAACTAGATGAACTAGAAAGTGTTAAGTAATAAAACATTAAATTTTAAATTCTGAGCAAACCGAGGAAAGTATTGTTTTTATTATAATTTGTTTTTTTTCTTTGTATAGAACTATTCTACTTTTGCTCTAATCAAAACATGACAAGATATTTATATTAGTGTTTTCTAGATGTAAAATGTTCAAAGAATTCTTGTAATTTTATAGTTATTTATAGGTATTTGATATTTTAGAGGGGTTTTTTTTTGTTTTATGGGTATAATTTTTTGGCTGAACAGTAATGCAATAACAATTTAATACGAGGTTCATTATGAGTTTAGTGTAATAGTTTTTTTTTATAAACGGTATATCTTCAAATTTTAAACATTACAGTATTTCTAAACATGTATTACCTAACTTTGCTCAGAATCAAATTTTGTTAGCTATAGTTTATTGTTGCATACAAATATAAATTAAGTAACTATATATCCTACCTTTACAAACTACACTCCTACAACAGTGACATACCCATTTCCAGTATCAGTTCTTTTTCATAAAAACGTACATATATTATACAACTATTTATTTTAAATTTTAGAACACTGTTGAAAATTGCATTAAACAATTGTTCAATATAGCAAAAGAAAATATTTGCATTGGGACTGATACAGTTATTGATTTACCACAAGCAAGAGCACTACACTTATTAACTGCAATTGTTTCAAATGCATCAATCTCTACAGATAGTATATATCCTTTTATGGAAGATTTGATTATGCTTTGTATTGATAAATTGAATTCCCCTCTTTGGACTATTAGGTAAGTATAAAGGTTATTGAATAAAATTATTTTGATTATTGACCTATAAATAAATTATAACAATCTAAACAAATTTTTGCAGGAATGCCGCTCTCCAATTTTTCAGTTCACTACAAGTGAGGTTGATAGGTCAAAATCGTTTAAACAACACATCTTGGTTATCACATTTACCATTAGAACCTTTATTATATCATTTCCCTCATTTGGTACAACGTTTACAGCTTTTATGGTCTCAAACAAGCCATCAAATTTCAAGTCAAACTCGATTAATTCCATTTATGTCTCTTCTAAAGGGTGTCAAACTACAGTCATGGACTTTGTTGCCCCCAGAATATCAAGAAATTTTAAAAAGTCTTCGTTATGATATGTGGTCTATTGGTTTTGCTCTTGAAATTTATACTGTTAGAAATATGGCAGCCCAAGCTTATGCAAATACAATACAAGTTAATAAACTATCATCAACTTTGAATAAAATTAGCAATGAAATAATAAAATATGAACGAGGAATTGATTTTCCAGAATTTAAAGGTTTTAATCATTTACATGGATTGATGTCGGTGTATAGATATTTAAAAGATGTATATTTTATGGAATTCAATCAGCAATATGCTGTTTTTAATATTGTCCATGAAAATTTACCCCCATTATGTAAATCAATATATATTTCACTAAATCATAAAGTATTGGGCCCAATTCCTTCAAATTCAACCATTGATCATAATCACGTTAAACATTTAATAATAGAAAATAACATAATTCAATCGTCAAACTTATTAATTTTGATGGAATATTATATGAGCACCGACAAGCATACTACTCTAAGTTTTCTAAAGTGTTTTAGAAATTGCAATAAAAGTAATAAAAATGTTTTAATTAATAGATTTGTAAATTTTCTTGATACTAATGACTTGGACATATTCAAAGAAATTATGGTAAATATTGATGCACTGGTTAATAGAAGCTTCGAAGATGATATTATAATAAAGATAGACAATGATTATTTTTCTGCAATATTAAACAAATGTGTATCATGCTCAGAAAAAGAAGTTATTGCTATGTTACCAGTACTCAGTTGGTTATGTCCTAGTGAAGCACAAAATATTTTGTTGCCGCTTATTTGTAAATACATTGATTGTAATGTATATGATTCATCCGATAGGTTTAGATCTTCAAAATCTCTATATTACTTTACCAACTTGAAAAATGATATCAGATTATGGAATACAGTAATAGAGCTATTACAAGATGAAGACACTGATGTAAGAGTAGAAATAACACGATTTGTGAACCGCATTTGTTACAACTGTTCATCTACATTAAATCCTTACATGTGTTTAAGAAAAATGTTTGAAATAGACACTGTATGCTTAATTGTAAACTCAAAGCTAGCATTTACTTGTTTTTGGGACCTTTTGTTATCCGATATCAAACTAAAAACTGAAATAGATGAAATAATTAATCCATTTTTTAATGAACAATCCAACGTATATCAAGAACAATCAAACATCATGAAATTGGCTTACGAAGGTCTGAAATATTTGATACATTTAAATGATAATATTAATTTTTATAGAGAATTAGTAGAAAAGTGTCTAAATACATTAATAAATGAATGCCAATTTAAAGGAACATTTATTGATTTAGATTTAATGATTTTAGATATGTATTCTAGTTTATATTTCTTAAAGTTATATTACAAAAGAGAAATTTTAGTATTATTGAACTTAAAAAAACATTTGCATATATTTTTACCAATATTAGAACTTATGTATTTACCTAAAGAAATTCAAAGCCTAACCATTTAGGTTAAAAGTGTTAGTGTTAATCTCAATAATGTAAATAATAATGTAAAACTAATTTATAGCAATATGTATTTTTTTAATTTATTATAATATATTAATTATTGAATATATCTGTATATTAATTGATGGACATTTTTCTAAGGGCAACTTTGGGTTTATAAATACAAAATAATTAAATTGCTTCTTATCTAACAAATAATAAATTGTTTAGATTAAATTAACATCAAAGCAAATGTCTTATATCCTTACTATTAAGGTAAGACTACTATGACTAATGTTTAGACGAAAATATAAAAAAAGTTGTTGAGATCTAGGATAATTCAACATGAAGATATTTTAGCGCTGAACATTTCAATATAGAGGAAAAAATATATTTATGGATTTCTGAGTAAAGAAAGAAATGAGTTAATTTATTGAAAGGTAGCACATTCTGTACAAAAAACACTACTATACTTTATATTCAACATTTTTTTAAGTAACTACCAAATATGAACCTCATATAAAATGTTCAAGTATTACTAATAAAGTAATAACATAAAATATATTTATGTCCTTTAGTGTACTTAATTATATTTTTAGGTAATAATGTACAACAAAATACAATTAACAACATAGTAAATAAATTAAAAACAAAAAATTCAGAAATAGTTCTAGTAGATAAATCTAACACTATTTTTATCTTTTACACTAATGAAATTCATAAAAAAAATATTGAGATTTTATAAATAATAATAATATTTAAAACTTGACATATGACTCAACTATAATTTACACTAAACAAATTAATAAACTGGTAACCAATTTGAAAGAAATCTTATCTAAAGTCCAAAAGAAAATACTATTAAAATCTGATTACAAAATAGAGGCTCCACACTTGCTTCTATTCATAAAATTACACAAACAAGATAATACGATTCGTCCATTAATTAACTTGAAAACTGCTCCAGCTTATGACCTTGCTAAATATTTAGACTCTTTCATAAAAAAAAAATTAAACATGAATACTGACATTTCTATAATAAAACACTTATGATTTTATTAAAAAAATTAATCTTGAGCTAGGTTACAAAATGATTTCTCTTGACGCTAAAAATGTATATTCATAAAAATGTACATCCATTCCTAAACATGAAACAGTAAATTGCATAAAAAAATAAACTTATACGTAGTAATAAATTTAATACAAACTAAGTACAAGAAAATAAGAAATTATACAATCAATAAATGTAATTATTAATCAAAACTATTTCAAATGTAATAATAAATTATATTCACAAAAAGAAGGGTGGACCTTTAAGTGATTTTTAATCTGAAATTTACATGAACAATTATGAAACCAATAATAGTATTAATAACAAAATATACAATTCATATATAAAAGCATATTATAGGTATGTTAATGATTTTTTCATTTTATTTAGAGGTTCAAATAGACTAGCAGAAAATTTAGTTAATTACTTAAACAAAATAGACAAAAACATTCGATTTACACTCGAAATATAAATAAATAATAAATTAAATTTGTTAGATCTTACAGTTTCCATTATAAAGAATAAATTTGATTTTAGTATTTATAGGAAACCTACACAAACTGATGCTATAATACCTACCATGTGATTCATGTGATCACTCTTATTCTCAAAAAAATATATTTTACTTCAATATTCTATAACCTTGAATGAATTCCATTAAATAAATAAAATTATCAACACGAGCTCAATATTATCTATAAAAAGACTATAGAAATAATTTCAATTTAAATACTATAATAAAAAATGCATAAACGTATTATAGAAAAAATAATACACAACTCACCAATAATGTTGTTAACTATTGCAGTATGAAATATCAAAATAATTATAATAATAATAACAAATTCGCAATAATACAAATAATATAAAAATCACTTTTAAGACTAATAATAATTTAATCAAACAATAGAACTAAAAATCGCCTTTCTTTTGAAAACGCTGGTATATATATAAACTTAAATGCAACTGTAATACATTTTATATCAGTAAGACAAATAGAAATTTTAAAATAATATTTAAAGAATACATTTCTGAAATAAAATGAAAAAAGACTGCTCCTAATTCAAATTTCGATAACCATGCTTTAAAAAATAACTATAATATAAGCTTTGATATTAATACAGACTTAAAGATATTAAATACCCTAAATAACATTTATATTAATTCGGTTTTAGAAGAATTAGATACTATATACAATGAAATAAAAAAAAAAAACGTAATATTTTAAATGTATAAACCGATTTTAAAAATAATATCATATCAATACATTTTAGATAGGTAATAAACAATAGACAGATAATTTATATTTCTTAACAAATTTATATCTAATAATGACCCATTTTAAATAATCTCTCATATTAAAATAAATGATTTCTATGTAATCTATGTAAAACGACAAATTTGTATAATTTTTTTCTATGTATTCTTTCATTTAATTTTTTTATATACAGTCGTGTTTTATATTTTGACTGTGATATATCTGATGATGAATTTTTATTTTCGAAACCGGTCATGTATTACACTTATCATAATACTTTAAGTGACACATTCATTAATTAATTAATTTTTTATTTATATATTTGTTTAATATATTTATTTAAGAGTATTAACCATTTCAATAATTTTGTTTTTACTTTATTGTTTTATTAATAGTTATTGTTTTTTCATTTGTGAAATTGTTAACAATACCATTTGTTATATCAAAAATACCAACAACTTTGTGGTCCACTATTCTTTAGAAGTTGAATTTTGAAAAATTGTTTCTTAGAAGTTATATATTGTGTAAGGACCTCTATGCAAAATTGTAAAATGTCAAGTTTCCAGACCTAGCTGTTTAGGCTGTACGTTAATAATTGTCAGTTTCTTCTTTTATACAAACAAAGAATAGTACTATAATTAGTATTTTAATAACTAATTAATTATTCAATTAAATTGTATGTTTTAAGTTAACAAGATACAATTTTGTGACTTACCTTTTACCAGAAAAGTGAATTTTATTTACAATTAAGTAAGAATATTTATGCATAGTAAAAGTGAGCTTTTTGAGTTTAAAAGTTATTAAAATAAAAATTATTAATAAATACAACAGTGTTTAATATGTTCAAATATCTTTTGTTCACAATGATTATTGTTTACAATACAATATAAATTGGTAATACTTAACAAATATTTTTAAAATGTATTGCACTAACATTACCACCTAAAGTAGATATTTTATAAATATAGAATTTAATTAACAAATACAGTAATTTATTATATTAAACAACTTATTTAAAACTAACAATAGCATATAATATACAATTTATTAAATATTAGTTTTGATAAGTAAGTAACTAACATAATCTAATCAATTTAGTTTTAAGTTTAAAATTAAATTAACTTTATCTTTTGGTAAATTAATACACAAACATTAAAATAATACATACTTTTTCGTTAGGTTATAAGTAAATAGGTACCTACGTAAAATATTTAATTGAAACTCAGTCGTTTTTATCACGTTTCATTTATAAATTTATAAAGAAAATTAGTAATGAAGCTATTTCTCTTTTTTAATTATGTCTTACTTCTAAATATTTTTCACGCTCTTCATTTCTTAGTTTTTTTGATGCTTCGATCATACTTTGCTATTTTTACCTAGCTATTTTTGCTTCAACAGCATCATTTCTACTTAGAGTTTTTTTCAGTCTATTATTTGCATTATTTAATAATTAAATCAAAACTTGTTTTTGTTTAACTTAAAGGCCTACTGTAGATTTAAGTCAATCTTCTAGTTCTTGTATATTTTTTGTTATGTTTTCCATCGAGTTTTTCCCGAGTTATTTTATTGTTGAATTTCTTTGTTCTCCATTGGTTGTTTTAGCTTATTAATAATAAATTAATAAAAATTAAAATAGTCGTAAAAAACGGAAAACATACTTGGCACCACGGGTCTACTATTGTAGGTGAGAAGTTGTGAAGGAAACATAATTTAATTTTTATCTGTGCGTAACGATTAATCATTACTAACGAAAAACGTTTCTGAGCGGAGTTTGGTTAATAGTATTAAGGTACATTATTAGTTTACTTAGTAGTCTATAAAACAAATTTAAATTTAATGCATTATTTTTTTTTTCTTCATAGCATTTTAAGATCAAATCATACAAATTGTGGCATTTCAAAATATTTTCTAATACTATATACTGTTTATCTTTGCATACAGTTATAAATTAATTATCTCTATGTATCCTGCGTTTTCAAATTCCCACCTACAACAGTGGTTGTATCTATCCCATATATCGGCTCTTTTTTATTATTAATGAGACTTAATTAAGCAATTTTTATTTTGAGATGAATAATTTGAGACTTATTGATCAAACTTAATGATTGGTAACTAAATTAACTATTTTACTGTAGTCTATTACAATGGTCTTCAACCTTTTTTCCTCGTGACCCACTTTTTTTGCGACCCATCACCCATGTCACCTATGTTAGCCATGAAAAGCAAACAAAAACAAGCTAAACTTGCTTAATGTCTTAAAATGCCACTAGAAGTGCTATCATATAACTGAATAAATAACAAATTATATTTTTATTATGTGTAATAATGATACGAAAATTAGTGTGACAATTTTTATGTACAAAACTCCATCTCGGCTCGATTTTACACAATGCAATCAGCAAATAATTTTCAGTTTATTTCTTTTGAACATAGGTAGCTAGTAGTATATAGTACGTATAATGTTATTTATTAATATAAGTAAAATTTACTTTTTGCGACCCACCGGTTGAAGACCACTGGTCTATTAGACTATGCTATCACACAACAGTGTGTATCAATTCAAATAATGTAAATTGACAAAAGCGTGTATAATGTGCAGTATAAATAAAATAAGATGAATGTATATCCTTTTATAATACTTAAATGTTATATACTCCAAAAAGGTAAGATATTGAGGACGAGTTCAGCCACTGGTGTAGATGGGAAGTTGAGAAGGTAGGATATAGAGGAGAATTTAATAATGTAGATCTGTAAGCAACCATAAACCATTGCTTACGAAAAAACGATTCTGAGCGGAGTGTAGTTAGCAGTAATGCTTAGTCAACAATATATGTCATTTTGTAGTAAAATAATTGAATAGGCTTCATATATTTTCTTTAATACAATTCGTTTAATGTAGTACCAATTTTCCTGGTTTTTTCTGGTTTTCCCAGGTTTTTCATGTTTGCTGGGAAAATTCTTACGAAATCAAAAAATTACTTTCCCACACAGATTTTCTTTCAGAAAAGTTGTGCACATATAAAAAAAAAATAAACATCTTTGTAAAACCATAAGCTTCTTCTCTCCATTCAGAATTTAAAATTAAAAACTATAAAATATGAAAATAGGATATAGTTTCCTTATATTATGATGAATAGTGTTTGTTTGATACTGAACATCTCTAATCTTTTAAAAATAATTTGCAAATGCTAAAAGTTATACAGTTTAATTGTTGTCAATTGTTCTATTTCCATTTTCTTGAATTTTTATTAAATAATTTTTATCTTTAATACAAACTACATCAAATACATATAGTTAAGATTAAAATAATACTTCAACTAGTAACTATCCTAAATGAATTTATTCATACCTAAAAAATGTTTTGTACATAAATATTTCTCACAAGAAAAAAAGGTTATTAATTGTATTAATTAACACACAATATGAACGTAGAAGTCTTATTTATTTGTAGATACCAAGATTTATAATTAATACATATAAGTAAAAACTGTACTTCAAAAGTAACAGTGCAAGTAATATAGAAATATATAATATAATAAATAAGTATAATCAACAATTTTTTTTTATAGAATAATATTAAACATTTTAATTAAAATTAAAAAAAGAAATAAAACATTGATTAAAATTTAAACAGGTCTGTAAGTATATAATATATTAATATGTTGTATGCAATTACCAAACACATAATTATATGGATGTATTAATTAATCTGAAAAACTCAAATAAATTGACTAGACTTGTTAACTTTTATTTTAATTTGAATACTATTGGCACTTTTAAGTTCATTATACATTAAATGAAAATAATAAACGTTAACTTAAAACTATTGGTTTTAGAAAAAATAAATTAAACATTATTAAATTTATTTTCCCTAAGAAGTTTTAGTATAATAAAACAATAAATATATATTTCTTCAAAAAAGAAACTAATCTTATTTACGATTTACAATAATTTTTCTTAAATAAAACAAATAATCATAATTCTAAATAATGATGCCGAAGTTTAACACCAAATCAAATCAATAAACTTGTATTTCTAATCATTTTTTCATTGAAGTATCAAATATTTAAAAATATAATACACAGATCAAGAGAACAAAAATGGGAAATACTATTATTATTATTATAACTATTTTTTATTTTTTTATAAATTATTCAGTGCCAACTGTTAGCAATTATTAGACATTCTAATTTTATGTTCCCTTCTGTTCAGCAAAAATTCATCAGTAGTAAACAGATTTTATCATTAGCACTGGTTTTTTCTGATGATTCTCAATAGTTATTACAGACTACTAAAAGCTATTTTTTTTATCAGACAAAAATAATACATACAAACACGATACAACTAAATAAATAATATGATAATCTAACAATAAGTATTTATCAAGTTGTATAATTATATTTAAATGTATGCAGTATGATGTATGCAATAAATATTTTAATATGCATGAATAAATAAATATAAAATATAAATAAATGTGTTTGTAAATAGTATACTAATTTTTTGAAAAATGGAAGATATTCAGTGCTAACGTTTAAAATAAAAAGCAACAATATTACAAGAAGAATTTTCAGTAACAAAAATGTAATGAGCGTGCAATACGCTGGAAGATTACTACAATTTTGAATATTTGAAGATGAGATAATAATATATGTGAATTATTTAAAGTTAATGTTTACATTGACTTGAGTTGGATAAAACTTGTAACTTAGACATCAACAACCATCTTTTTGTGTATGTCTGTGTTGCCAACGACGGAACAGAATTCTTCAAAATTAATCTTTCCATCTTCGTCTTTGTCAGCAAACAATATCGTTTTATCAACAATTTGTTGAAGTTGCGTGTCTTTTAAATTATTTCCAACCATCATTTTTAATACCTTAAAAATAATAATAAAATAATAAAAAAATTAACAGATTACTAATTGTATAACAGATCTAAACAATTATGTCATAAACTTTAAACTTAAAAGTTGATACCTGAAATAATTCTCCATTTGAAATGTATCCATCATTATCCATGTCATAGATTCGGAAAGCAAATCGCAATTTAGATTCTTTGTCTCCCTTAACACTAAATTGAGACACTCCTTGTATAAATTCTAAAAAAGAAAAAATACTGTTAAGGATATATTGATTATTAAAACTTAACTTGGATGTTATAATCACCTTTAAAGTCAACTTCACCATTACCGTCTTCATCAAATATATCTATGACTCTTTGTACGAGTGGATTTTGCTGAAGTTCAGGTAATGATAGAAACTCGTCCAAGCTCAATGCACCAGAGTTGTCCAGATCAAGTTTGCGGAACCGTTTGCCCAAACGTCTGATTTCATCAGCATCAACTGTCATTTAATGTCAATAGTTTATAAAAACTAGGTATAAATGCATTTACATAAAAAGGAATACTCACAGTTTGAACATAATTCCATTGGCAATGAGTTTTCGTTACCCTGTGAAACAAAATACACATTTTAAGATTAACTCTTTATTAAATTCCTTAATTGGAGCATAGGTATCGTATATTACACACCATATTTAATGAATATTAAAAGAACGTCAACGGAGAAGATTTCAGTGGCGTATATAAGTTCAATACAAAACAAGTCGTACAAGTTCGCCTTTCTCCTTAGGTTGAATTCGAAAATACGATTGTACTATAAAATATAGATATATAGTAGTACAAATGTCGTATGTGTGAGAGCAATGAGTAGTGTAGTATACACAACACAGTGGGTCAGTGAGTAGAGAATTGTGTGTGTGTGTGTGTGCCGTGTGTATAATGTGTATGAGCGCACGCGTAAAGTGGGGAGAGCTTTTATTTTTCGTCGCTTTTCTCTGGGGAGCCTACCTGCCTTAAATATTACACAAACATTACACACACAAAAAGAAAAAACAAAAATATCGATTTCTGATAACAGACACGAAAACAGCTGCTATTAAATAATAATGTAAAACGGTAACAGATGATAACGCATTATTATTTACCGTGGTTACCATGGTTTATTGTGGTAGTTGGCCTCTGCTCCTACACTATCCACCCAATCAACCAATGATCCTTCTCCGTCTCTATCTGACGTTCGCAGTACTGCCCGGCCACGTTTATCTCCTCTTTGTCGTCTCACTTTTTCCATCATAACCGACTGAATTGTGTTTCTTCGGTCCTTTTCTTTTATCTCTATTCGACCACTGCGAACGCACACCCGTACACGTATTCACAAATCATATTCACGAATTCGGAAAAAAAATGGCTTCAGGCGTAAGTGCAAGTTTCGTATCCAAGATTATCCTGATCATCCCGTTGTTATCGAAATCATTGTATTGTTTTTCAGACCCTGTACACGTATTTGAACAACTTCAGAGCATATAAGGCACTGATAGCGGCTCAGTATAGCGGAGCCGATGTCAAGGTCGACCCGGCTTTTGAATTCGGCGTTACTAACAAACAAGAAAGCTTCCTGAAGAAGTTTCCTCAAGGAAAGGTTAATAAAATAAATCTTATTAGTCTGTGTTGCTTATTAAATAAATGTTGAAACTTTAATTTCTAGGTACCTGCATTTGAGTCCAAAAATCAGGAATATCTAACTGAAAGCAATGCCATAGCCTATTTTGGTAAGTTTCCTTGTAATTGTTTTGTATACTATATTACAATTTAATTTCCATATTGTGGAAAGTCATCCTATAGTTAATCTTATTTTCTATATTATTTGAAATAGTTATTGTTTTAAATACATTTTTTGTCTATTTTACCTATTTGTTGCTAGCTCTATTTTAATTGTATCTGATATCATGATGACACAAATTAAAATACTGTAAAAAAAATGTAGAACAATATATGATGAACTATGAAACATATTTTTTTAAATTTGAACTTGTATACTTCTAAACAAATTTGGTTATATTATCACAATAATAAAATACTACCCTTAAAATGTTTAACTGAAGTAAGTCTTCTAGTAAAAAGCTAATAAAGTTTCTCAGATTCTAAATTATCAAAAGGATTATAAATAATAATTGAAATATTTTTTTATTTTGTTTTTGTTTTAATGCTATTTATGTGTATTATATTATTAATGAACATTTTTTTTCAATTGTTGAATTTAGTGTCCAGTGAACAATTCAAAGGCTCTACTCTGTATGAACAAGCACTTGTCCAACAATTTATCAGCTATGCTGACAATGAAATCTTGCCAGCATCTTATGCCTGGGTTTATCCCTCTCTTAGTATTGCCCAATTCAACAAATTGGTAATGTCAAATTATTAGTTCACATTATGATGCTAAAATATTAAACATTGAATACTATTTTTATAGTCAGTCGATAGAGCTATTGAAGATGTTAAAGGAATTCTGGCATACTTGGATAATTATCTATTAGCAAAGACATACTTGGTTGGTGAACGTATTACATTGGCTGATATTACAGTAGCCTGTTCTCTACTTCAACTATATCAACATGTTTTGAATCCTGAATTTAGGTATAATAAAAATTATATTTTTTTTATACATTACAACCTCAATCAAAGGCGAATCATTTGTTTTAGATTCATTTGGTTCGTAACAAAATGAGGTATATAAACTTATTACAAGTATTGATCTGATGATTTGTAATCATTTATCAGGCGGGCTTTTGTAATAGATACTTTGCTATTAAAATAACTAAATGCATTACATTGGTTGATATTACAGTACCATGTTCTTTACTTCAACTATATCAGCATGTTTTGAATCTTGATTTTAGGTAAAATAAAATTTACATTTTTTTAATACATTACAACCTCAATCAAAGGCGAATCATTTGTTTTAGATTCATTTGGTTCGTAACAAAATGAGGTATATAAACTTATTACAAGTATTGATCTGATAATTTGTAATAATTTATCAGGCGGGCTTTTGTAATAGATATTTTGCTATTACAATAACTAAATGCATTATATAAGCTGATAATTACAGTAAGGTTTATAACAAAATGTCATTAATCAGGTATATTTTTGTATTGTCTTTTGTTATATAGGCATATTATTTTAATATTAATAATGAGTTAAATCATCTTTGTCTAAGGCCCAAGGCCATATTAAATACCCTAGCTATGAAATTGGGATTCAACATGTTACAATTTTATTTTTTGAGATTGGCTATTGTGGTTCTGGGATAGCTTATATTATTAATTATTATAAACATTTCATCATAATGTTGTAATATTTTAAATTAAATTTTACTATAAGTAAAAGTAAGTGTAGTATAATTAGTAATTTTAATGTTTTAGAAAACCATACATCAATGTCAACAGATGGTTTGATACTATTGTTAATCAACCAAAAGTAGTTAAAATTATTGGAGCATTTGAGTATTGTCAAAAAAGTGCTGAATTCAACCAAAAAGTTTACTCTGAACTACAAGGTGGATCTGAAGACAAAAAAAACCAAGTAAAAAAAGAAAAACCTAAGAAGGCAGTAGCACCTAAGCCAAAAAAAGAAGCTAAAGAAGTAGAAGTTCCTGAAGAACTAGATGCAGCTGACTTAATTCTTGCTGCTGAACCTAAGTCCAGTAATCCATTTGATGCCCTCCCCAAAGGGTAATTATTATAAAGTTAAGCGTGAATTTTGTTCAGTGTTATATCATTTTACATTTTATTAGCACATTCAATATGGATGAATTCAAAAAAGTGTACAGTAATGAAGAAGAGTCAAAATCAATTGCTTACTTCTGGGAGCACTTTGATAAGGAAAACTATTCAATTTGGTTTGGTGAATACAAGTACAATAATGAACTACAAAAAGTGTTCATGAGCTGTAATCTTATCTCGGGTATGTTTTTATGACTCAACATTTTATGTATAAGATACCTTTAAAAATAATTAGGTTTTTAATGCTTAACAGGAATGTACCAGCGATTGGATAAGATGAGGAAGCAAGCTTTTGCATCAGTTTGTTTATTTGGTACTGAAGGAAATAGTTCTATTTCTGGTGTTTGGATTTGGAGAGGCCAAGATCTTGCTTTTGAGGTATAATAAACTATTGCACTTTCTAACGTGATATTAAATATTTGTATAATTCCAGATGAGTAACGATTGGAAAGTTGATTATGATGTCTACACTTGGAAAAAATTGGATGCCAACAGTGAAGAAACAAAAAAGTTGGTCAGTGAGTACTTTGCATGGACAGCCACTGATAAAGAAGGCAGGCCTTTCAATCAAGGAAAAATATTCAAATAATTACTACTACTTTGTATTATCACAAAATCATATATTTAATAAAATTTAAAAAAAAATCAACATATTTTTGTTATTGTTTGCCAAGTTTTATTTGAATTCTCTCCAAGCCTTTCCTGAAAAAAATTTAAATATCAAGATAAAAATGAATAATAAAACCAAATGTATGTTAAATTATATGTTTTGTAATTATTGTGTAATGTTACATCAAATCTTAAATTTCAATTGCAATAATTTAAATATCTAAAAAAAAAAAATACTAAGATTACCTAAGAGTAAAATCTGAACCAATTCCTCGTTTCCATTCAACTTTTTCTATGTTTTCTATGAGTTTTGGTAGAAAACAAGTCACAATCTCTGGTGAAAGCTTAATCACATTGTCAATAAAATCAAATACTAATTTTGAAGAAAATGCTAAATGTTCTATACAAAGAGTATTCAGTGAAGATACAATTTCATGTCTATATATATATATATAAAAAAAAACGGTAAATTTAAATTTATTATCTCTTTTTTATCTAAGTAATTCAATTAAAAAAATTGTATACTTTATTTCATCAGTACATTGTGATAAACTTATATTAATCAACGTGTTAATAATCTCATTAGTAATTCGCTTACAAATATTGACATCTTCACAGAACATTGAAACTGAACAGATACGCATTAATGAATGCCGAATAATTGATATTATAACCAATTTGTTATGACGATTTAATTTTATAATACTATTTATGTATTCTAAGATCTGTATGTAAAAATTAATACATTATTCAATAATTAATAATTACTATTTAATACATACCTGTGCAACACTGCTATCGGGTGTTCGATTACGTTTACTTAAGAAAATTGATACAATTAATTCTAAAAACAAGGCACGTTCTGTGATATCATCATCTGGTTTTTCTTCAAAAAACTTTAACAATGGTAACTCATCTGATGGTTTAGCCCCGACTAAAATCTTAGGGAAATAAATAGAAATTAGCTCGCGGAGGCAACGAGCAATATATGGATCTGTTTTTGGGTCTAAAGAACAAAATTATATCAAATATAATGAATGCATTTATAATAGATTCTTGTTATGAAACATTCAGGAATAATGTAATGAACCTATTGTAGTTGTACTAACTCAAATGAAATAATCCAATAAGATAACGATGTACACTGGCTAGAAGGGCAGTTACCACACTTGGATGGGTCTTAGAATTGGGATTCCTAATAGATACGCCCAACAACATGGAATCCAATAGCTCTTGTAGAATAGTATTCGGTTTACCCTAAATTAAAATACAAAACAATTAACCAAGACGTATTTTTCAGAAATATAGTAAAGATTTGTAACATTGTATGTTACACATGTTATACATGTAACATTTCACTAACTTTGATATAAATTAATGGTGAAATTTTTTCAAACATATAACCAATAATCATGTACAGTCTATATATCTCATCATTTTGTTTATGTTGCTTGATTAAAATATTCACCCAAATTTTAATGCTATAAAAATAATCTGATACTTTTTCACATAGCTTTTGGCGCAGTTTAATATCCTAGAAATTATAAACAATATAAAATAAATTATTATTATAATTTACTAGTTACAAGCATGTTAACATAAAATATTATATTTTTCAATTAAATGTCTGTAGTAGTAATTCACAATAATACAAATAATAAATAATAGTGCAGGATAACATATTATTGCTGTCCAATTGTTAATAACTAATTTTGGTACCTTTGTTTGATGATATTTTATAGACAGTAGATCTAAAAAAGTGACAAACGGATCAACACTTGTCTCTAAATCATTTCCAGAATTTGCAAACAATTCTTTTATTTCACTAATATTTGAAATAAATTGAGTAATAGTGATTGTTTCATTAAAGGTCCGGTTTGTAATCAACATAGAACTATGCAGCCATGCCTGATGAATACAAAAAATAAGTACTTTATATTTTAATGTGATAAATATTAACTTATAAAGAGTATTAAATTCAGTGTACAACTATAAGTCTAATAATCAAACAAAATATGTTAATTACCTTAATTACAGCCAAACTATTATATCCAAGAACATTAGTTATGACATTTTCTTTGATTAAAAGTGATAAATATCTGTTAAGCAATCTGAAAATATACACATTTTATTTAACTAAGTCCAATTCTTACAATGGCTTGTTAGCCACCTGTATAACTTTGATAACCAGTGAAATTCGCAACAAATTGGCAAAATTACATCAGTTAACTTAGTGCTAATCAACACTTTAAGAGACATTGAAAGAACCAGAATAAGTAGTGCATTTATATTTAAATAGTATTTTAAATTTAAATTACAGTTGGGGCAATGTTGAAATATTAAGGATCACATTTTTTAAAAAGCTACTAAGAAAGGCTACTCGAAGTTGTAAAGTTGGTAAGGTAAAAACATAGAATAATTTAATTTATGTCTATATGCAACAATAAATCCGAACAAAATTCAATAACATTAAGCTCATTTTGTATTCTTTTAATCACTAAATTCAATATTGTTGAACTTTGCAAAAATTGTTAACTTTATTCAAAACAATATTAATGTAAAACCAAAAAACTTTATCATTTATTAAATTATATTATATCTATAAAAAGCTAAGATGTAATGTAATATAATAATTGATGAAAATGTCTGGTCTCTAATCATTTTTCACTGAATTAAAACAAAATCGAAAATAATAGATACAATTTGGTGTACATTTTCTTATTTTTTTCTTATAATCAGGAAAACTACAAGGAAAATTAAAAAATGACTACTCCAATGCACAAACTAGATGTAACTTATTACTAGAAACCACCTTTTAAGTTGATGATTTTTGCCAGATTTCTGGTAATAGTTGTTTTAGATAGAAAAAAAATGTCTTGATTCACTCTGAATTTTAAAAGGTTAAAATACAATTGCATACAAATGTTTTGATGATACCTATTAATTGATGGATTTTTAAATGTTTTCTTAACTATTTTGAGGATATGAGAATGTTAATTAGATTTCAACTAGGTTTTATATAGCCAACATTTATTAATATAGTTTATAACAGAGTTTCACAACCAGGGTGCTGTGAAATTATTTGAAATATATTTTTTAAGAAAAAAACGATTTCATGAAAAATATAGTGTTGTAAGTAATAATAGTGCAATGTTTTACATATTTTTTTATATCTATCTTATATTATCTATATATATTTTATGTTCAATGTAATTATTTGTTTTATAAAATATAATATGTGTGTATACCCACTACTATTGTTTATACTTAGGCACTTAGCTTAACAAAACTGAAGTTACAAAATATAAATATAAATATACAATATAATATTATTGAGTATAGATGTATAAGTACCGTGAATCAAAAAAGGTTGGGAAACTCTGGTTTATATGTTATGAATGAAAGTTAATAGCTAGTTTTATAAAAACTTAAATGGGAAATTTTGATAATCAATAGTAAACATTTACTTTAATTTTTAACTTAACACTTACATAATACTTATTCCTTGATTTATAACAAAAAAATTGAATAACATCACTTTAGTGTTTGAAAATGCTGGTAGAGATGAAAGAACGGTCAATATCGAAGCAATGTCTGCTACAATTATACCGCAGTCGACTGATAAACAGGACTTTTTCAAAAATGGTAACATATGAGTGTACAGTGAATTAAAGAGTATAAATGTTTCATTTTCTGTAAAAAAAAAAAAACACTAATTATATTTAACAGTTTTTTAGCTATTGATTTTTGATTTTGTTGAACATAATTAACGAGACTTGACAAAAAAAAAATATTTTGTCAAAGATATAATTTTATGTAGTAGGTACAATTATTTGAACTTTGTTGAATAAGTAGTACATATATGCAATGATTATTATTTAATTACTAATAATTTTCTAATGCTGAATTGTTTAATATTTTTAACATGGCCAATAGTGTGGGGGAGGATTGCTGAAGCCTCATTAGCCTTTTCCCTGGGTACACCATTTTGAATCAAGCAATATTTCTAGTAGAAAACGTAGTTTTACAAATTAAAACAATGAAATCGCTAACGCAGGAAGTCATACATATTTGCCGTTTTTCTAGTTTTTCCTAACTATTTTGAAAACCCTTTGAAAAATTAAAAAAATGACCTTTTAATGCACAAACTAGATAAAATTTCAATTCAGAAAAGATGCTACACTTGATATATCGATGAAAGATTTCTGGTAGAAAATTTGCTCATAGACAAAAAAAAAAAAAAAAGATTTACCATAGAAAAACCAATAGACCCTCAGAATCTAAAATAATAACTGTACATATTTAATTTTACTTTTGTGCGTTAAATGCTTATAATTATGTAGATTTAATAATAAGTTGCTATAAATGTAAAATAACATATACCTTAAACTCTTTGGTAAGTATAAAAATATGTTATTAGGTACATGGAAATTTTCAAAATGTGTGAATGGTTCACGGATATGAAACGACAGGAGACAAAAATGTTTCCTACGCGACATTTGTGTCACCTAGTACTATTATATTATGATAGATTAAAAATATCCACTGAGCATAATATCTCGGTATTCAATCTGTAGGTTAAGAATTTATGAGATAAATCGTGAATAAGGATAAGACACGGTCATGATGGGCCTTCACATTTCTTTTTTCAATTAATGTCTATAGAAAAACAACGATAGAAAATTTAACGATCCCGTAAAAATAAAAAAAAGTCATCAAATTGATTGATAAATAATTTAGAAACCGCAAGAGGTTTCTTTTTGTTCAGGACTTAGGTATATGGAGGAATCTCATTTCTATACACACAATATTGGAGTGCGATTGTACGAGTAAAAATACGACCATTATAATGTAGGTACGGTTCAAATGAGAGAGAATTATTTTGCATAATTTAAAGATTTTAGGGTTTTTTTTTTTTTTTTCTAAGGCATATAACTATTGATTTTTTTTACACTCGCCGTCGGTAAGTAATATTGACAACAACCCGCTGTGTAGCGCGACGGTCGCAGCTTTCGGGTGGACGACCTATGATACAAATATACGCGACGAACGGGTAGGGCGTAGTCTCGTTCCCGCGGACTTGCGCGGTTACGCGAACTCGGACGCGTGGAAATAGCAGACTTATAATATTTTTATAATTCAATGGTGTCGTACCTACGACAATCAAATGTTTCGATAATTTGTCAGCAAGTATTTTAACGTTATTTTTTTTTACTCCGAAATTTGCAGTCGTCAGTCTTATAAACAAATAAATACGATTCGTAATCAAAAATAATATTCTAATAACAATTTGGTGTGAACGCTGAAAACTATTTTTTTGTTTTTGTTGCTTATATTCGGTAATAGTAGTATAGTAGCAGTATAGTAGTATAACGACGTTGAATAATATTATAATAATACTCATTAGACAAAAAAAAAATATGCGAATATCTACCTAAGATACCTAGTTAACTAAATATCACATATTCACAACGTTAGTCGTCGATAAGATATCATTCGTTTAAAAATATTTGAATATTTGATACTTCGCGCTCCTTACCATTACAAGATTACCGACTACGTATCCGCGATCGTCGTGACTTCACGTTCGTGTTGGACTGTAAGTTTCATTTTATTTCATTGTAATTTGTTGAGTTATCATCGAAAATGCCAAAAGAAAAACAATCTCTATACGGCCGTTTGAGTAGCTACGTTGCGAAATTCGGTTCCGACACTTTTGCCGCGACTGATAGCTGTTTGTTCTGTAAAGTGTGCCAAATTACAATAAATTCCGAAAAAAAATTCAACGTGATCCAACATATTCGTACGTATAAACATACAAAAGGTCTCAAACGGAGAGAATATCAAATTCTGGAGCCGAAACAATCTTTAATAATTGGTTTGCCATCTAGATCGCCTTTTAATACGGATTTGTGTGAAGCTTTACTGGCCGCCAACATTCCATTGAATAAACTTTCCAACAGTAAATTTCGTACATTTTTGGAAAAATATACTGGTAAAAACATACCATTCGAAAATACACTTCGTAATGAATACATTGACGACGTGTACTACACAGTTATTGAGAATATTAAAAACGACATTGGCAAAAACAAAATTTGGGTCTCCATTGATGAGACGTGTGATGTAGATGGACGCATCATAGCAAATGTTATTGTGGGAATTCTCAAGACTGATGTTGCTGGCAGTAAATTTTTAGTACACTCTGAAGAAACAGAAAAAACCAATCATACAACCATTTGCAAACTATTTGAAAAGGCAATGGGAATCATATGGCCTGGCGATATCCTTTATGACAATGTATTGTTATTTTTAACGGATGCCGCACCTTACATGATAAAAGCTAGTTCTGTTTTAAAAAGTTTGTATACAAAAATGGTTCACGTTTCGTGTGCTGCTCACGGAATTCACAGAGTAGCCGAAGAAATTCGTGGTCAATTTCATACAGTAGACGACTTAATATCAAGTGTAAAAAAAACTTTTCGGAAGGCTCCATCTCGAGTTCTTTTATTCAAAACTGAGGCACCTGGGATTAAATTGCCACCAGAGCCCATTACAACACGCTGGGGAACATGGCTAGATGCAGCAATATATTATTGCGAACATTTTGAAACAATTGTTCGTATTATTAATTTACTAGACGAGAATGATGTTGTTAGTATTCAAAAAGCTAAATTATGTATATTGGAACCAGAATTACAAAGTGACTTGATTTACATAAAATCAAATTTTGAAGTACTGACTGTAGCTAATAAACAACTACAAGAACAAAATGTTCCATTAGCCGACTCCCTTAAAGTTATTGAGAGTATTGAATCTAAATTTCAAAATTTAAAAGGAACCCACGGCCAAGCAGTGTTAACAAAACTAGAAAATGTATTTAAAAAAAATGAAGGATTAAATACTTTAAAAAAAATATCAAAAATCATAACAGGAGATGAAGAACCCACCGACCTTAATATATTGGCAGAAGATATTACTTGCAATGATTTGGTATATTTCAAGTATGCTCCAATTACCTCTGTTCACATAGAACGATCATTTTCGCCCTACAAGACTATTTTAGCTGACAACAGAAGAACATTCATATTTGAAAATGTTCGAAAACAACTTATAGTTCAATGCAATTATAGAGGTGATTTTTTTTATAAAACAAAAAATATTTTATCAATAAATTGTTTCATTTTTTTTTTTTTTTTTCAGAACGTTTGGTAACCAGTTTTTAAAGGATTTTCTTTCAGTATACAGAACTTAATCTATGCACATGATTATCCAATAAATAAGTTACATAATATTTCATAATACTTTTAAAAAAAATTACAATAAAATAATTACTTAGTTAACCTAAATTTTTAATTAACATGTTTTCATTAGATTTTATTGTATTGTTATGAGATTATATAAAAATAAACTGTAGGTATCTATGAACTAATTATAATTGATTATCAAAATGTATTTAAATTATTTCAGTATAATATTTTTGTTTGATTTAAATGTATGTTTGAAATTAATATTATACAAATTTCTTAAAGAATATTTCCGTCATTATGCAAAAAGTAACATAGTATATAAAAAAAAACATGTTTAAGTGTTTTATTTCATCCCTCTATATTTAGGTACACTCAAATGTCTTAAGTGCTATCATAATTAGTTTAGAAACATGTAATTAATGATTAAAATCAAAATTTCATAAAATTAAAAAAATATATATTTAAATCATTTAGTCACTTTTTGCATAATTACGACTTATATCCTATAGTTGAAAATTCATTAGGTAAAAAATAAAATTAACTGTTACCGATAACTGTTTAATAATTATATTAATAAATAATTATATTGTTACCATGTGGAAACGGCATAAGTTGATCATTCGCTAAATTTTTAAGTTTCTCCAGTATGAATAAAGTTGTTTGCAAAACTTCATTTTCATCCAACGGTTTTATTGTACTAAGATAATTTTCAAACCAAATACCTTTACAAAAATTTTTATAAAATAATAAACACACTATCCTAATAGCAAAAATTTGTTTTAAATTACCAATAAGAGTATGTTGGCCAAGAGCTAAAGATTTGCTGAATGTAAATATTTCTTTAAGTCCGCCCAAAAAAACAATAATATATTCTTGAGATGTAGTGCTTAATGTATCTGATAGTGCAGATCCATATGTAGTCATTGAAGTGTTTCGCTGTGAATGTAATATTAAAAACGCTACTGTACCTTTCCAATATGTTAATCTAATATTTGGATCCAATTTTTGTTCAGAAATTAATTTTACAAGATGTTGGTATTTAAGTGCCTAAAATTGTAATAAAAAAAAAAATGATTGGAATAATTCTTATCATGAGCATATTATTTATTACTATTTGTGATGTATCATCCGACATTATAGCCAATGTTAAGAACAAAGTTGTAAAATTGTAAAACCCAATATCATTAAATGACATGAGTTTACTTGGTGAGAATTTTGAATAAATTCTTCCTTTTAATTGATTCCAATCTTTTGAGTTGTATTTTATATTTTGTAAATGAAGACCTAAAAATATAATTTTTAGAATAGTTAAAAGTAAATTTTATATAATTATGTAATTTTATAAATTTAACTTTCCCCTAAATTGTGAGTTAAAAGTTTTGATAACCTGAAAATAATTTCATACCAAGTAATCGTTGAAACAGTTGAAAACTATTGTAGTTGGATAATAATTCAGCTTTTTGAGCGGAAAATAAATTTGTCATTTGAATAAGAAGTTCAGAACCATTTTTACTAAAACCCCAAAAATTCAAAATAAATATTTATTTAATTAATACAGATAATGCATTATTTATTACCTGATACAAGCAATGTTCTGAATCTTCATATCAGATGAATAGAATGTAGAGTTAAATCTTTTATGAAAATATTCCCATAATGTAATAACAGGTTCAGTAATAGATGAAGTTAATACAGCATTTTCCATTAAACAAATTGACAACTTCAATTGGGCTTCATTAGGGTTGTTATTAAGAAGTTCTTTAATAATAGATACTAAACTGCTATCTTTTAAGTCCTTATTAAAAACATAAGTTATTTATTTTGATAGTTAAATAATAGTTAATTGTGTTAGTATTAAATAGTATGTAAAAGATTATTAATAAATATACATCTGGTATTGTACAATGGGCTCAGGCTAAAACTTGTAAATAATAATTGTATTCCTATTATAATATATGAGATTAAAAAAAAACCCTAAAATGTGTTCATTGTACACAAGAGTACAATAAATACATTTATTTTTTACCCAGTTCATTAAAATATAAAAATAAAGTTCCTTAAACATTTTTGACAATTATTATTCTCAATTTGATGAGTTTTTTTTTCCCTTAGTTTTTACAACAATATGCAAACAAATTAAAATTGTAATGACAAAATTATTAACTATAAAGGAGAGTCCTCAAATCATTGTGTTGTTTTATTTTGTGTGTTTTGAACACAACATGTTTCTTTTTGATTGCACAAAATAATTTGTTACCCTTTGTTCTATCACCATTTACTATTCACCACAAATTTGATTCAAAATATAATATCATTATTATATTATTAAATATAAAATGTTTTGTTATAATTAGAAGAAAGTTATATTACAAGGTAAATTTAATTTGTTTATTAGGTATTATTTACCTTCAAAAATTTCATATTAAATTATTAAATGACTAATGTATTCACATTAATTTAATTTTTAAATAACGATAAAAAAAACAAAAATAAATAAATAACTAGTAGTGATCAATAAAAAAATGTGTGATCATAATAACTGATATGACGTTACCAGCTATGATCAGCATGGCCAAAAGTTAAATTTATTCGACTTTGCAGTAGTCATGGTAACGTCTTAGACGATCAAAATCTATCTACCATGATAATATGAGCCAATTAGAAGTATTTCACACAAAACAAAATGACACAAAGAGTTGAAGACTCTCGTAAAGGGTATAATTAAATCATTTTAAAAATAAGTTACTAAACTTAAGATTTTTTTAAAATTAACTGTTTTATTTTGCAAGTAGACTTTAATTCTCACATAATACAGAAGTTAAAAATACAAACTAATAGTTTTTTTTTGTTCTATTCAGAATCTAAAATAATTAGAACAACTACTATCTGATTATTTAATTTTGAGTGTTATTTGTATACTTTTTAAATAAGATATTATTATAGAACACAGATACAACTTACTATAGATAATAATATATTAGATCTCTGTAAACTATTTAAAAACCATAATTGAAAAATAAGTTCTTCACAATCTACTACATTGACATGTGTGCAAATTGTATTGAAAAACTGCCAAAAGTTCTGATAAAAAAAAAAAAACCACATGACAGTCAAACCAAAAGTTAATAATTAACAATTATTTATAAATTAAAACTGATAAAAAAAATAATATTCATACGATTAACTTACCTCTGAATTGTGTAATACTTGTTTATTAATTAAATACTGTATGAGAACCAAATAATCATAAGTACATTCACAAAATAGAGCATTTTTGGAAATGAGATCTTTGGATTTGAGCTATAATGAAATTAAAATTAAAAAAAAAAGAAAGGAATATTAAACAAATAGTTGGTTATTTTACTTTTTTAAATCTATTTCTAGTCAATTGTACTAAATCATTTAAAGCACTCTGCAAAGAACATTTTAAAGCATCTCGACTTTTAGGTAGTTCAGAAAGCAGCGACAATTGAAACCACCGAACATCCAAATGACTATGATATAAATGGTAATAAATATTGTTCTATATATAGAAAACAGAAAAGTAGTATTTAATATTAGTAAATAAACTTTGAACTATTACATAACCACATAAGTGCCCGGTAATAAAATTTGTGAATAATTTTATTGCAATTCATCAAAATCTTCACCATTCAAGTATTATAATCAGGGCATGGACTTTTAGCACTTTAAATCTACAAGTGTTTAAAAACGCCAAAGACCATGAAAAAATCACTTAAAAACATTTAAAAGGTAAAAATGGTAAATGATTTAAATGCCTATCTGTAATGGTTTTAACTTTAAATACAATATTTGAATGTCACAGAAATTATCAGCAAAAAGCAATTTTTTAAAATAAAATGTAAATATTGTAAAAAAATACATTAATCATCATTTTTGAAGTATTAAAGAATTTATATTTAATATGTTTGAGTTGGCAAAGGGGAATTTTATACTCCTTTACTGTTTTTGCATTTTAAAATATTTTTTTTTACTTTTTAAATGCTTTTTTGTGGATTTGTAGTAAAAGTCTCGAGCCCTAATTATAATATATATGTACTTGATAATATTATAATGTAAAACTAATTACTTTGCTGTCAGATGAAGACAACGCATGTTGTATAACAGTTTCCGATAAATTATGAAACTGCCCTAGAGTTGAGTATAAATTTTCTAGTTCAGATACAACTTTTTTTTCTTGAGATTCCATCAACCAATTATAATTCTCACATGAATTAATTCTATACAAAAACTGATATTATATTTTGTTTTCATAAATGGGTTGTTTAAATAGCTATTTAATACCTTTTAAAATTGTTCCGTAAAAATAAAAGAAACTCTGCAATTTTTTGTCTAACATCAGAATAATTAATTTTTTTGCAATTACTTTGATCATGAGACCTAAATGTTTTATATTGATCTCGCGTAACAGAACTTAAAATTAACAAATGTTTTCTAAACATAAAAATAAATTAAACAATTACCTATATAATGTAGATACTTATAAATAGATGATTAAAACAAATCAAACCAATATTTACTTACTTTGCCATTTTAAATAATATAGGAATATCATACAGTAAACTATGACCATTATGAAATGAATAACCAAATAATGTGGAATGATCATATTGAATTTCGTTGTCATTTACTGTAAAACTATTGTAATTTTGTTCATTTCTGACAAATTCTTCATTTGAAATATTTGACTGACCTTTGCAATTAAAACAAGCCACTGCTGATTGATCTAAAATTTGTAAATTATTAATACTGGGAACTACGTAAATCTAAAACAACTATATGGTTTTTGTTTGAAATTCACTTACCAGCGTTTTCTAAATTTTGTTCTGCAGTGAATAAATGCATATTTGGTTGGAGTATGGCTTTTAGGTTTATAAACTGAAATGTAGACGTCTCACAAGTTGGAATAGTAGAGTTGTGACTACATATAAATAATAAAATAATGAGAAATACGCCGCAACTTGAATAGTATGATTAGATAATAACGGATGTTCAAAAATCATACAATTATTTACTGAGATTAAAACGAAAAATATTCAAATACCTATGGATATGGAAATATCGAATAGTCATATATACATCTATATATCAATAGTCATATTCTGACATAAAAATATAATATACCTATTATCTTTATCTGTGTATTGGAGGGAAATATCAATCTTGCTGTAACATAATAACCTTAATTTACCATTGAGTAACGAAATTTAACACGTTTATTACGGCTAACCTGTAAAAGGGAGTCTTACTTTACTGCGCTTCAAAAATTGTATAAAACGGCCTCTATATTTATTCATCTATGCTCTATATGGTCCATAATTCATCGGTATTCATTTTCCCGTGTGTTTCCCATTAGATTTTTAATCCATCAGAAGGATTTCGAACAATTTTAAACATTTGATTGCTTCTTAATACACCCGATGGACAACCATAGACATATTAACAATTATTGGACAACTAATAAACATGGCTGCCGGCTGGTGCGTGAAATGATAGAAAGGATGATGAATTGAAAATGTTTATTATCAATAGACAAGTAAATAAATATTATATATTGATAATAAAATCAATTTACCCATCGATAACTATATAGAAAAAAAGATAGCCGACTACCTATAATAGGGGTGACGGTATTATTTTTTTTACATCGATATTTCGGTATATTTTGTACCGATATGAGTTGGTACAAAGAAAATATCGAAAACACCGAGAATATTGAATATATCGAAATAATATTTCGGTATTATTGGTAAAAACGGTTATTTGCTATTTTCGATAATTCGGTAAAAAATTTTTTTTCGTATTTTTGTATCAGAAAGCATACTCTAATTACCAAAAGTCTAGCAATTTGACTAACGACTACTGCAATACACAATGTGTAAAGCTATAATCTGCAGCTTGTAAAAAAATTTTAATAGACATATTTATAACCAGTGCCTTTTTTTTAGGAGTGGAGAAGATGGGGTTTAAAAGCTGTGGCAAAAAAAAATACACAAATAAAATAAAATAAAAATGTCATCAAATATTGCTCAACAAAAATTCTACTGCCCCCCTCACAAAAAATAGTTGTCAATTATAGGATTACACACAAGGGGATACCCTAGTTAACCTTTAATTCCAAAGTAAACCTATTCTGAATAGCGGACATTATTGCTGTAGCTAGGGGAGAAGCACTTTAGGCACGCCCCCTTCGATTTATTTGGTTTAATATTGATTATTTTGGTATATTTTGTGGTTATGAAAAATAGTTTGCATTGTTCAAATTATTAGCCCGATTTTTTTTTTTTGTGTTACGATACGCTGCAACTTAATTTATTGTACGAGTACAAAACCACGTCGGATACGTAGGTACAAGAGAAAACGTCTTAATTTTAACACAAAAAAATCTATCGAAGAATATTTTAGTAAAAAAAAAGTTGTAACGTCTAAAAACGATCATTTTTCGTTATCAAATGACAAACATACCTACAATCGATATGATCGATCGGTTAATAGATTACGTCTGGCGTCAACAGATATGTTATGTCATCGTGAACAATAATTCTCCTCCCGCGCAAAGGTTTATGCAATCGCAATCTTTTACAATTCTTAATAATATTATACTTCTGACTACGGGTTAACGGCCAATCAGATCACATTTTTCTTATCGTCAAAAACGTCGGCCCGCGGCGACGTGTGCCACAAACGTCTCCGCGCTCCGCTACCTAGTTTCTCTTTTTGTGTTCGTTCCATACCTTCTTCGTGTTTACACCGCGTCTCCTTTCTTTGTCACCAGACGGTCTTTCGATACAGTTTTCTTAATAAAACACTCCTGTGTATTGCACGGATTCACGTATTTTGCCGTCAAGAAAAGGTTGTGTACCTTGGCACGTTTCATGATGGTGCCTCAAACGAACCAATGCAATGAGCCCCGATCTGGTCCGCTGGGCGGAACGAATGGTAATGTGCATGGGATTTAATAATTGGCCGATACCCCGTTAGTTGGTAAGTTTTTAAGATAGTTCAGTTAAGGTCCCCCCCCCGTATAAATATTTTTATCTAAAATGTTTATTTTATTGTTTATGTTAAATTCTTCCGGTATACTTGTGGGGATCAACCAGCTAAATTTGTGTATCCGTCTCATACTAATTCCCGCGTTCCACATCCTATGTGCAATAAGCAAAAACCCCTGGCATTTTGTTTTTTTTTGTTTTTTATTTTCTATTTCCTTTAAGTGCTAGGTTTCGCAACCACGTGTGTGAGCATCTAAAATCAAGGAATATATATATATATATAGTGATCGATCTTCCCCAGTTCGCGATCCATAGTCGGACGCACTCCGCAGGGCCACCAAAACTACGGACCAGTCAACATGGAATAAAAAGCGTTTCCGCTACCCTTCCCAATGGTAATTTGTATGACCTGGCAATCGCATATTCCTGCCGGGGTCTCTCCAATACTTAAGGTGCCCACGAAAGTTTCACGTGGGAGTTCACTCGGTCTATACCCATATCGGTTATATTCTTTCTCAAGTGACGGTTTTTATGCTCCTGTGCTTTTCTGTTGCATTAACTTAATTTTACCTTTTGATTGATAAGTTAATAAAATAATTCTATATTTTCCCCAAAAGAAAACATTTGTTTATTTATTTAAATTCTCCTTTTTTTCCTCCCCTCCTCACAAAAATTCTAGGACTCCTTCGGACCTCGGTCCTAGGTTGGCGACCTTGCTCCTAGGCGAGTAGTCAGCTGGGCGCTCAGGTTGATTCTCCAACAAGACCGCCCGACCCGGGACGTCTCAAAGTATATACATTTTGTACACCTATGGAGTTTGAACCTTGCACCCCGAGATTCTCATTCAAAAAATTGACCATTATGTCACAACAATTATTAATTTTAATATGTAAAAATTTGTATATCAGCGTTCTATTTAAGGTGATATCTAAATACATGGGGTGGTCAATGTTCTGTAATATTTTTGCTAGCCATTCTATATTAAAACGTTTCTTAGCGTCACGGTTCCGTCTGGGTAGAAGCAAAATATCTGTTTTGTTTGTGTTAGATATTAATTAGATACTGTTATAAATAAATTCATAATTTTTAGCGCATTCGTTAATTTGCTTTCTATATTATCGAAAGTGATCAAAGTTGTGTTTTGAGCTATGATTGCTGGCAAATTCTATAAACATTACGGGACACTGTACTAATAGAGTGGCGTAAAATGTCTTATCAGTGTTCTCGAGATTGAGATTAATTTGCCTATATTTTGCCCCTCAGATTGATGTAAAATATTGCTTTTATTACAAATTTTATTGGAAATGGTTAATTATGATTTATTTTCAGAAGCGGTAACTTATATATTTGTAGGTTGTAATGCTTTAGTATTTCTACAATAGTTATAGTGATAAAATAATTCTATACGTTATGTGTAATACAATTTTATACATCTTCGTATCATTAAATATTACATACTACAAATGAGTAGACTCACATAAAAAGAAAAAGAAAAAAATAAACATCTTTGTAAACCCAATATATTCTTCGCTTCATTCAGAATCTAAAAGTCATTTTTTAATTTTTTTTACCAAACATATAAATTTAATTCAAATATAAATATGTGTAGTCCTTACCTCTGCGAGTTATATTAGAAAAAAAAAAAAATTGATTATATTTATCTCAGGAGACATTTCAATAGGTATACCCATGTATACCTATGGCTTCATGGAATAACCTGTATAGTTACTGTTGTTGACTTTATTAACAAGGAGATATTTAATAATATTCCTAACATTATTGCTATTATAGTTTTTAATCCTTATTATTATAACTATTATAAATTTATACTAGCCAATAGTAAAAAATAGGTATTAAAATATAATTACTTTAAGAATTTAAAAAATTTCCTATCAACTATATAAAAATGAAATAAATATATTTAATTATTTAGGTTTCTACACAAAAACATACTTTACTAAGTTAGGTACCAAATTCTTTTGAAAATATATATGGAATTATAGTTAACTGTTTAAAATAGGTACCTTTAGTAAATCGCACTTCAAGCTTGTTTTTTTAAAAAAGAAATATATTTTACCAAAATAAATCCCTGAAGGTTTTAGGATATTTGTCAACGAACGACATTTCGGTAAAAAGATATTTTGGCAAAGGAATAATTCGTGAATACTATTAAAAAAAAAAAACAAAAAATGAATTTGTATAATGTATGGTTTAACACCTAATAATAAGTAGATGGACATTCTTCGCACGATGGGTGGGCCACTGTTGCAGGTAAGAAGTTGGAACGTAGGATGTAAAGGGGAATTTATATTTATATAATTTATATTAATTTATATATTTGTATGCAACGATTAATCATTGCAAACATAAAATGATTCTGAATGAAATTCGATTATACATGTTTGTAAAGGCCGTAATATTTACAAGTTTCGTCAAAATTTGATATTAATATTCTATAAATACTCAATTTTTTTTTTTTTTTTTAGACACAAAGTATGACTTATAATTAATTTCCTATTAAAACAAGCAATTAAAAGCAAGAAAAAAAGAAAAATACATATGATTACAAAACCAATACATACCTCGCTTCGCTAAGAATCTAAAATGAAATGTATGGAGTATATTATGTGTATAATTCAGCGTTTCCCAACCTTTTTCCCTCACGGCACACTAATCCTAACCTACATTTAACTGTGGCACACTTGACACTGACTTTTACATGTATATATTTTTGTATTTTTTATATTAGGATTTTACCATATTTATACCAAAATAGTTGTAAATCAGTAATTTACTAGTAAATAATTTAAAATGATGTGTTTATTTAGGTTACGAAAATTCATGTAAAATCTTATTTTAATTTATTACAAATGTTAAATTTAATGATTTGGAAAAACATATATATTAAGATTAGTTTATACAAATTTAATACTAATTTATACTAATGAGAAATTTTTGCCTAGTTTCCCTTTATTATAAGTTTTATTCATGGTCGAATGG